CTGAACCGGTCGAGGACCCACCCTTGAGTGAGGAGGAGCTGGCAAAGAAGCACGAGATTGTCAAGGAACGAAATAAAGTAAGCTTTCTCGTTTGAGTCCACATCCATCTTACTTCATTATAACAGAGCATTGCTCACTACCTCAAGTACCACGCCCGAAACATTCGCGGCAAATATTTACGGGCAAGGACTCATAGCCCCTACAACATTTTATTCCACCGCATGAAAGCCGTTCCTCGCCCCCAAACGAAAGCTCCAACCTCAACAGCAGTACCAGCACGAGCATGCTGAGGAACTTCGCCCCATCTACCTTCAAGAGGCCAGCCGCATCAACGACAGTAACCCGGGGGCGAAGCCTGTGGTTATAAACGCTCCCTTTCGCCAGAGCGTCGTCAAGAAGATTTTCGAGAACCTCCCAGTGGAAGTCCAGAACGAGTATGAGCAAAGGGCGCAGGACGAAGCTACAACCAACAAAGAAAAACTTGCCATTTTCGATAAGGAGGGGCCGCCGGTGACCCCAGAATTCCGTTCCGAGTAAGTTGTTTCTTGGGGGGTTGTTCTTCTTGCGCTAAGCTGGCTTCAGATGTATTGCAGACTTTAAAGACTTCATTTGGCCCATTGCTACACACTTTACGGAACTGACAGGTCTCCACTTCTTCTGCATGGTTGGCGGTCTCAAACCCACTGAGCAAGGTGGCGAGATTTGGACCTCATCGTAACCGAAGCCTTCCCTATTTTCTCACTCCAACTTACTATACTTCAGGGTCTATCATGGCGTAAATCGAGCCACTGTCGGAGTTGCATGGCCCTCCTCCAACAAGCCACGGTTCCAGACGGACGTTGTGGGTTTTTTCAGGGAATATCTGGAAGGTTGTTTTAGTGAGTGAATCTCTGTGTGCCATAATGATGCTAACCTTTGTTATTGTAGCGGAATCCGATAAAGCAGATGCGACCTTGGGTCGCCCCTCAGGCCAGAACGCGGACAACGTCCACTTGCCTGCGAAAGACAACGCCCAATCCACGTCCAATCCAGCTCCTGCAAATCCTTCCCAACTCGATGGTCTACTCCGCTTCCCAGACGACCATGAAGAATTTGATTTTCAAGTCACACAGTCGGACTTGGAAGAGTCTGACTCTTCGGACTCTGATGATTCCGAGTCAGACTCTGATACCGACTCAGGTGCGGGCAAACGCAAGGCGACGGTCACCGAAAAAAGGGAAGGAACCAGCAAAGTCGACTCAGAAGGGCAAGCAGAAAGCCAAGAGCAAGGCGACTCCAACGGTATCACCAACGGTAGAGTCAACGCAACTGGACACGAATGGTGAGGTTTTATTTTGAACGACACTGAATGTTGACGGTTATGCAGCAAACACCGGCCCAGTACAGCCCATCGACTCGTCTGGGGCAGCTGCGTCGGGCTCTTCTTCAAATCCAAGTCCACAGCCAACTGGCGATCTCTCAGCATCTTCCATCGTTCAACAAACCGCAACCGCTGCACCAGCTATCGTCCCACAAAAAAACAAGCGCAAGCGACCAGAACAGGCAGACGATGACAGTTCTACGCACAAGCGCCCAAAGCGGGCAGTTGAAAGCGCCAATGACCGTGTCGTTTACAAAAAGAAGCTGCAGATAAAAAGCTCAAGCAAGCTGAACGTGAAGCCGCGGCTAAGGTGCAACGGGAGGCGGCGGCGCAAAGTCCGAAGAAATGAGGATTCAACGAGAGCGCGGAATATCACGAACAGGGATTGGCATTGGCAAGACAAGCCAGAGAGGCAAGATTGGCAAGGGAGCAGCTGGAGAAGGAGGCGGAACATTCAGCTGTAACTTCCTCTTTGGCTTCAAACGACCCGCCAGTCAATCTCGAGTCGAGCCAGCAGGTCGCTTTCGCTGCATCCTCCCAGGTGCCCCGCGACGACAATGCCGCACCTGCATCCGAGTTGATAGCATGCCCACCTGACGCTCCGACATGGTTCAAGCATATGTTCACCGACATCTCACGTTTCAAGCTCGGTCCTCGCTTTGTGCAGTTGATCAAGGCCCTCGTTTTGCTAGAGGCTGCATACGGCTACCTTGATCGTCGCGCCAAATTGCCAGCAGTGGGCCGTCCTGGTCAAATTGGCGAGTGGTTTAAGCACGGTCGCGTCTGGAATCCTGAGGCCATGAAAATTTCCGACGTGCTTTCATATGGGAAACAATGGAACTCTTGGTGGCGGAGTCGGCAGCCTCCGTGGCGCGTTCCTGATTCCGCCGCGGATGATTTGCTCAAGGTTGCATCTGAGAGACGTAGCTGGGGTGGGTTGGCGTTACCAGGCACCAGTGGGATGGGGGTTGTGGTGGCCTCCCTAAGTTGGTGGGGCCGAGAAGTATGGGATAAAGGCAACGAGGCGGCTGCAGATTGGGAGAAGGCTGTCGACGATGTGGAATGGGTCGTGCAAAACCTCACGAACGATGCTGCAGCAACCCTGGACTTTTTGACGAAGGACAAAGGAGTCAATGCGAAAAGCCAGTAGTGCAATACTAGTACTTGACCAATCTCATTCCAATCACTTGCTACGACTAAAGTTCGACCATGTAAAAGCAAGTAGTATTGCTGTAGAATGAGTAGCTATTTACAACTGGAGTTCTACGAGGCAAATTCGGCTGGGAAATGAAATCCACGAAAAGACGAATCTACCGTGCTTGCGTCATACCATGAGTATTTTCGCCGTATTGCCCACTGCCGGCGACGGTCAAGATTGGGTCGATAATGAATGCGCTGGCTGCACGTCGGACAACTGTTGCTGTGTCTGTCGACCAGCCAAAGCGTTAAGCAAACGCAACAGAAGTGATGACCGCAGGGGTCATTATTGATTCGGAAATGCTGCGAAATTTCGCGCAGTCTGTATAGGTCAAGGTTAAATGGAGGACGGACAGCAAATAGCACCTCTTACCTCACGGGAACAGACAGTAGCTGCCCGCAAAGTCCGCACAAGTCGGCAGAGTCAGTGACGACGACGGTCGACATCGAGGGTGGCCGTGCTTTTCCACGATACAGGCTTGCGCGTTTGGGATTGGAGTGTGCGTCGAAAAACGGTGGATTACTGGAGGGGTCATGCCGAAAAGACTGTGGCCTTGTGGGATTTCATCTGCTGACCGAGGGCGGAAATGGGGTACTGTAAGATTTTAACGAGGAGTCAGTCGTGAATGTTGCAAGAGGGAGAAAGCCTTCACCGAATAGTAGCCGCCTATTGCTACGAGTAGGCCCGGGCGTAGTACCAAGCTCAGACTCGGGCGATGATGTAGAGAGCTCGGGATCTCCTCGCAGCATTCGAGCTTGAAGTTCTTGCCATTCCCAAGCAAGTGCCGCAAGTGTTTTGAATATGAGATTTTCTTGATTTCCCCGGCGCAAGGGCCCGAGTCAGTATTAGTTTAGCATCGTGTCAGCCACGACATGACGACCCTGAATCCTTCGGATAAGTAGTTGTAGTTGTGGCTCGGATTTGGCTCGGGTTTTGCGACATTTGATGGTCATTTGGCGACGTCACGCACTCACACTTGATTTGATTCTTTCCATGATCCCCTCATTGTCATCGAGATCCTGTGGTTGTCAGGGAAAAAGGCCCGATTTAAGCGTGAGGTTGTCGGCTTCGACGCTTCAGCTTGAAGTGGGTTATCGAAACAGTAAGTAAGTTATAAACATCCTCCCCGGTCCAAGTTGAGCAACTCACAATGTCTGCTCCCCACACCCCCCCCTCGTTTGTGTTCCTTTCTGAATTTGGCGTCGACGTTGACGATGCTCTATAGCCCGGCGCTCGCTTATTCGTGGTCGGTCGACACCCACAGGCAGTGATACTTCCTCCCCCCCCTGCTCGACGACCAAGAATTGGAGGCAGCCCAAGGACCGTGACTGCCAGCGGCATGCATTCAAGTTCGCCGGAGTCTCGTCTTAACGCTACCACTGGCAGTGTTCGTTCTTCTCAGTCGCCGCCGACAACCATCTCCTGCGATGAGGACCCGGACTCCGACTTGGCAGAGCTCTCTGATAGCGACAGCCAGAGCGAACCTGAAGAAGGATCTTTGCCATCCCCAAGCAACTTGGTCAATGCAACGGCAAATCTTTCCGAGTCCCTGAACTCCAATTTGGTTGAGTCCGCCGGTGAGTCTACGCAGCTAATTCTCGCTGCAGCTGTACTGATATCAACGCGGAATATTATTCCACTGAACGACCTAGCTCAGTCCTACGTCAACTCATCGCTGCAGAGGCCGACGCGGAGATTATGGACCACAGGGCTCAACGGGCAAGCACCCTCACCTATCCAACATTGTCTCCCACTCGTCGACCAGCTCCCCGTTTGCGCGTCGGTCGGTTTGATGTGGCGAGTCTACCTGCAGATGTGCAGGAGTTTGCGTTGGCCGAGCGTTCGCGGGTTTTAGCCTATACCCGAAATCCAACCCCAGGCCAATCTATTTTATCTCGTGGACGTCGTTCTGTCGGAGTCCGTCCTAGGATGCCCCTCTCAGCGTTGACGCGGCTTCAACCAACCTCTTCGTTCCAGGCCTTGAATCCTTCCTTCTTCGAGTCGACGCCATCATCCCAATCAACCACTGGCAACGCCGGTGGACGCGAGCATTCGCCATTGGCGAGTCCTATCACGATATCGCGCGGACGCTCAAGCTCTAGCCTAAGTGGGAGTGAAGGCGATATCTTGCAGCTTGGGGAGGAGTTTGATGGTAGCCGGGTGGACCTTAGGATGGCTTTGGGCAGCCAAGTTGAGGGGGCATCGGTCTCAACTTATGATATAATCTGCCAATACCCTACCTCTCATCAAAACTTTGACTTCGAGTCGTAATTTCAGTAGATAGAGCTTTGCGCTTCGTTAATTCGCTTGTCCCTAAATTTTTGATCCCCAATCAACGAGTCCCAAACGCGTGCCGCTTCTAAACCCGTGACCGTGGCGTGGCAATTACGTGTTGATGCTTATTTTTTCTTGCCTTATTCCTCTTCACTCTCCACAACCGACATGGCGCCACTGACTTTGGCGCAGCGCAATGTGTACGCCGACGAGAATGCGGACTTCAACCCGACCGACGAGCATGCGTATATATCTGCAGACAACACAAGAGTTGTTACAAGTGCTTTCAATCTGTCCCCCAGCAAGCGTCCCCCGAAAAGGGCGCGTCTACGAATCCGACCCAAGACTGCAGGATTGGGTCCCCGTCCCGGATGCCACCATGGATGAGGTAGATGCTCTGGCTACGTCAGTCTCATCTTTCGACGTTGACCTTGACGAAGTCGTGACAAAACGCAAGCGCTACGAGTCGGTACGTGTCCTGAAACGAAATATGCGAGAAAAGAGCTTACGAAGAATGTAGGATGATCCTATGGAGGTGTGGAAAAGTGTGTCGGGGTTGTTTCTCGACGAAATCGTACGACACGATGGTTTGGGTCAGCGAACCCAGTGCGCCGTCTGCCCGACCAAAGTTAACCAGGCCGGCCAGCGCTTTTTTCGATGCCGACAATGTGGGGTGCAAATCTTCTGCGAAAGTTGCGTCAAAAAACAGCACCAATGGTCACCTTTGCATACTATTCAGGTCAGCCTCAAGCATTTTTCACTGTGGGCCGACATATTGATCCTCGCTTGGTAGGAGTGGACTGGGAGCTTCTGGACAGAGGTTTCGCTCTACCACAGTCGAGTGGAGAGCGGGGGGCGCTCAGGCCTCGGCGCTATGTATCAACTAGGACATTCGGGTGCTACATGTCCCTTCCCTGGTAATCGGCGGTCAATGGTTGTCATCGACGTCAATGGAATCTTTGTCGTTGACATACAGTACTGCGATTGCCACAATACCAATGGCTCTGACATGCTGCAGCAACTACTCCGGAATGGATGGTACCCAGCGACAACCATCAACCCAGCGACCTGTGCCACCTTTAATGTGCTTGAACTGTTTCGTCTGCTCCGCACCATTGGCAACCTCAATGTCCATGACTTCATGCGGACTTTGGAGAGGTCAGGCGACCCCACCTTAACCTGCGACACTCCTGTAAGTACACACGATAATCTCGATCGTCGTAGACTGATGGGATTCAAGGATCGGTACAAAGCATTTGGGCGGATGGCTCGACAGTTTGATTTCTTGAAGCGGATGAAGCGAGCGGGTCGCGCGTACGAGGCTGATGGAATGGCTACAACGCCACCCGGTGGGTTAGCAGTATTATGTTGGGCGTGTCCAGCGGAGGGAAGAAATCTCCCCGAGGGGTGGCGTAACGTGAAGCCAAGCCAACGGTGAATACCCATCTATCTTTGGAAAAAATAGTAATGCGTTCAAGCTATCTTTACCGATTAATCCTCTCCATCGACGCGAACTTTCGCCTCAAGAATCGCCTTCGACCGAATGAGCATCAAGACCTGTCGTTAGGCTCAGGCTTGGGATATTTCGTGGAGTCATCATCGTACAAGGATCACCTCCGAAGCTATGTCAAAGAAAAAGATGTGAGTACTGTTTTGGGCAGCGAGACTGAGGTTTATGCCATGGTAACCCAATAGGTCAGCTCTTGTGTTGCCTTTGCTGCTCTGCTCCAGAAGGAGACTCGTTTAACGACCGGATTGCGTGTTTCTGGGGTTGCCGGATGTGTTTGTGCCCGTCATGGGCTGGTGCGAGCTCGAGGACTAGGAGATCTACAAAAGGGAGAACGGTATGTCGCGTCAAGTTGCTTATCTTTTCGACTTAAGGATGACCTTAGGTATGCAAATGTGGATTGGATTGTGGCATGCACACTCTGGACCGAGCGGTTAATGGAGTATGGCTTCGCCTATGACATCGTTTGCCAATGGATGATAAATTTCTTCAAACGGCTGGCCAAAATTCGCGAGGGGTCGGCGGATACAACCACGCTTACTACCGATTTCGACGACCTGGAGGTGGTTTTTGGCGTGCCTGTCTGGCATGCAGGTGCGCACGATCTTCAATGTAGAGCACATCTTGCTCTGGCTTACCTCTTGGGCATGGGAAAGACCGATGGAGAGGCGATGGAAAGGATATGGGCTAGTTTGAACCCCACCAGCTGGGCTACGAAGGAAATGGGCGAAGGAGGTCGACACGATGTATTGGAGGACAAGGTGGATCATCTTAATTTCGAGAAAAATCTGGGACTAGGTATGTGCTTGGATTGCTCTTTGACTACGTCAAACGAATCATTGTTAGGAAGGGCGTTGTCTCGCAAACTCATCGTCGCCATCTCGAACGCCTGGCGTCAAGGCAACGAATTTGCGGAATTCGACCAAAGCATCAACAAAGTCAAGCGAAAACAATGGCGAACTCTCATGGACAACTGGTATAAAGACCCGACCCAACCAAATCCGTTTGTTCTGCAGGGTGGAAACGCTGGTCAGTGGCTGGACTTGGCTGCATGTTTCGGCTAATGAACGACGAAAACCAGCTGGCCCTACCGAGCGGGAAATTGTGCAAGACTTGAAGAAGGAAGAGCTTGAGGAGGTCAGGGCTGGCCGAATTCCTGTCTTAGAAGGCAAGATGACGGTTGTGGCTTTCATCAAAGCGGGCCTTCAATTGCAAAACTTGCAGTAGGTTGACCTACTCCTGCTCTCCGTTTATTATTGACACTTGGCAGGAGGCGAATCCGTGCGGCTCTGAAAAACAAGTCCTTGACAGCTGACCGTGCAAGTCAGATTCAAGAGCTGCGACTATCTCTCGTCAAACAAACACAGGCTTTCCAAAAGCTGCAATTAACTTACATGCCTGGGGTCGAGGGCTTGCGTCAAGCGGACGATACAAAACGCAACCCAGATCAACCGACTCCACCACCAGAAGACACGAAGCTTTACCTGCCGTCAGACCTCACACATACTGAGCGTTTGCAGGCATGCGTCCAACGCGTTGTTGACACCGAGGTCAACCTTCGCCGTGGTCAATGTACCGATGCTTTGGTTGCCCTGCGGGCAAAAACTCTTCGCCCAGACGCATATGATCTGGTTTCGCGATCGCAATCTTGTGGGTCAAAAGGCGTGGACTCGGTCAGTAACACTTATGGGGCGTCTTGAAGAAGGCATCACCAGAATCGTGGCTAAATATCGTTCTGCGCAAGAAGCGATCGTGAAGCTAAAAGGGCCCGCCTTTGCCCCGGAGTTTCAGAAGCTGGAAGATGCAGATGTGAACTGCCGAGTTGTGGAAGAGAACGACATTGAAGCAGCCCAACGGCTTAGAGGTGCCGATGGTTCCAGAGGTGCTCGAAGCGAACCTAGTACCAAGCGCCTTCGCGGAAAAGTGTCTTGGATTTGGCAGGCCGAAATCGGAAGCGAAGCCAAAGAAATGCATGATGGTATGTGTGAAGGGTTTTCATTCAAGTCATTATTGACTGGTTTGGTCAATAGCTGTTCGTGTGGAGTGGTCAAAAGCCAGGGCTCGTCGCGTGCGTTGGAACAAAGAAGTCGAACTCATCCGTGAAGAAATGAAACATGTTTTGCGTTCATTGCGGTTTGCGCAGAACGAGTGGGCAGCACGTGCCACCTCTGCGAGACTCTTTGTCGACCCAGAGGTGGCGAATGGTCTGCGCGCGTATGCTCTTCGCCAGGTGGAGCTACACAAACGAATAGCTGAAGGGTTCTACACCGAGTGGCGGAAATCAGTTTCGGATGCGGTGAAAGAGGTTATGGCTCAAGATGGGGCTCTGTATCGACATTTGCTGGATGGAGACTCAGAGGTTGGTGGAATGGCTGAGCTAGAAAGCAACAATTTGTAGGATGTTTTAAATGCGTCGAGTCACAATGCCTCGAGGCACTCAGTTACGTGTGAACGTGACATTCGTCACGTGCATGTGACGATCGCGACTTACCCACTTTCTCCGATGACCACCGTGCTCTGGGTAAGGATTGCCCAGTGGCACTGGTAATTCGTTGAATCATCATGCTAGAATATCGGTGAAAACCGGGTTCTCTTTGAGTTTCGCTTTCAAATGGCGCAAGTCGTCGACGCAGCCGAGAAGGCGGAGGACAAAGCCCACGCTTGGCGGGTTGCATGGCGCTGGATTAAGGTCTTCTTCGTGGAGCATACACCGAAGATGCTTGACCCCGTGGCCGAACTCCTTGGTCAACGCCACCAGGGAAGCCGAACGCCAAAAACAAACGGAATATGTTATGGCATGGGAGATGTTACTACTGATAAACGCAGACGACGATTGTGTCACCACACCAGACGCTACAGCTATATGGCTGAACATCTGCGAATGGCAGGAGTGTCTGATAAAGGAGGGGCACTATCTCCAACTGCAATCGAAACATTTTTCCAGTGAACTACCCGGGCCGAGCGCTGCCAATACTAACAACTCCGAACCTCTCGTTGGCTTGCGCTACGGAGGCTGACGAAATACAGGTAATAACCAGGAATGCTGTGCTTTCCTTGACGAAGATCTCTGCTGTGCTTACCTGGGCTCTTGAACACGCCTTTGGCCCGCTGTGTCGCTACCTCATCGAGGACATGTTGCTTGTGCAAAGGTTGTCGCATTCGACCACCTGGAATCTAACACCCAACCGTCGGGCTGACGTATTCTATCTCGCATTGAGGTCTCTGGAAGCGCTCGGTGCTTTCGACAAGAAGAACTTCAAAATGCAAATTTCGTCAATCGCATCGGAGCTCGACAAACGGCGCAGATTCTGATGCTCTCTCTGGATATAACGACAAAAGTCTGTGGCCTGAAGGACTCGCCCTTCCATTGGGCATTACCAGTCATGTCAGTGGATTCCCTCAACTTCCTCTACCGATTCTACAAGAGTGAGGAACTGAACGCCGCCTTGCACGTCGAGCTGAGGCGGAAGGGAGTATATGGGATGCTGATCGACTTATTGGCCACTCTCTTGACGATCGACGATTTCACGGAACTGACGGGAAACGCTGCACTGGGGCGATGGATAGTAATGTCAACCTGCTGTTGTGGTTAGCACAAGCGGAGGAGACCTATACGAAGGCGATCGTTCTAATGCTCACCAACTCAAAAAGAATTCGGCGCTGCCCGTCTTATTGGACTTCCTGCTTCACAAGGACTCCACTCAACACACCAAGCAACAGGTGATCGCCTTTTTGCACTCCGCACTGGGCCAGACCATGTGGAATCCACGAGTCTTGAAGGTTTTGCAGGCTACCAAAGGAAAAGAGACATTGGCCCGATACGTCAACGAAAGCAGCGACAGATCGTTGTCGGGGCTCAATAAACAATTTGAAGAAAGCACAAACCTGTGAGAGGTCCTTCAAGGGGTGGGGAGAGAGCTCGTGTCGCAGGGAATATGCCAAGGGGTAAGTTGTCATTTGAGCCTGGGTGTATAATCTGAGTCTTGATAGTGTGGCCATGTTGCCTCCAAAACGTCCTTCCAGACTTGCTCGGCATGCAAGGAGGTGTATTACTGTAACCAGTAGTGTCAGAGGAACAATCGAGCGTCCCACAGGATGTGCTGCAGTAACCTCGCGGTTTCGCTCTGGCGTGAGCTTTTCTTTGTTCCAATCATCAATTGACCTGAGCTGACTGGATGGCAGGTGTCCAACATGAGAGCATCGATAGCGCAACACAGAAGTTCATTCGTCGGACGATCACCAGGTCCTTTCGTACTGGCTTCCAGTCGATTAAGAGGCTGGCCTTGGTAGCGTTGGACGAGTCGGAGTACCTATCGGTGGTTTATCGCTATGATTGCGTGCCAATGAGGTATGATTGCATTCGCTCCACGAAACTGCCGGAGGTGCCTGGCATGGAGATGTGGGGGGGCGACGTGAATTTGATGAACATCGTTGACCTCGTCGAGGGCAAACTCGCCGTCGATGCGGTAATCCTGCCAGTCTCGAAGACGAAAACGGTGACTTGGACTGTCATTCGTAGGTGCACAGAGCGAATGGATCGTGCTTGGTGGTCTGGCGACATCCCGAATGGTTTGATGTACGTGTAGGGCTGAAATGTATGTACCATATATCAATCAAATCTTCCGCTGACAGTGACAGACTGCGCCAAGACTCCGCGTTGCTACGTGGCCTGATTTTTACACTGTCTGGGCGTCTGCATCGACCACAGTCTTACCCCTTCCCCCCTGCTTCTGACTTTTTCCATCTGCCCGCTCATCTCTCTACCGCTCCCGCAAGGAATCTGCTGCCCAGCCCCGTTCCGCACCGTCTCCCTCCCCTTCACCTTCCTTATACATATGTGTGTGTGTGTGTGGGTGTCGGAGTAGCTAAGTATGTGCGCATAAATAGAGAACAAATACAATATATGAGTTACATCGAGCGATCCAGCGTAGGGCTGGGCTGGAATTTACCCAAAATTTACCCAGGATTGATTTGGCCCTGAAAGTGACTAGACGGCGAGTATCGGCACGAGAGGATCAATCAACCTGGGTGAGCAGGGTCGGCAGAGGTAGAGTTGAAAATGCAGTGGCTTTGCCAGGGGGGTGGTGGAGCCAGGTGTTTTGCAATCTGATGTTCTGGCAACTGCCAGCAGTGATTGAATCAGGTTACAGCCACGGGTGATGCGGAGACTCCGGCAACCTTAACGGGATCCATTTCGACGTGGTTGTGAGAGATGATAACCCCCAGGTACTCGATTGACGATTTCTCGAAGTCGCACTTCTCCTTGCGAAGGTACAGCTTGTGCATTCGGAGTCGCCGAAGGACTTCGGGACGATCTCGCGGTGCTTACGGAGGTCCGAATGCGCGATAAGGATATCGTCGAGGTAGATCATGACGTCTCCTGAGAGAATGAGATCCTGGAAAATGTCATTCATCATCGTTTGGAAAGTCGCGGGGAGTTCGTCAGGCCAAAATACATCACCAAAGGTTCGAACAACCCTCGATTGGTCCGAAAGGCCGCCTTCCACTCGTCTCCTTCTTTAATCCGGACGTTATTAAAGCCCCAGCGAACGTCGAGTTTGGTGAAGTAACGGGCGCCCTTAAGCCTGTTGATAAGGTCATTAATCAACGGGAGGGGTACCGGTTCTTAATCGTCATCGCGTTGAGGGCGCGGTAGTCCTGGACAAACCGAAGTCCTCCGTCCTTTTTCTTAACGAAGAAGACGGGGGAAGCCATCGGAGATTTCGAAGGGCGGATACGGCCTGTGGCAAGTCCCTCCTCGATGAACTCGTCAAGTTCGCTGTTCAAGGGGGAGATCGGATACACCTTGCAATTAGCGGGCTTCGCGTCGGGAACGAGTTCGATAGCGTGGTCCCAAGCCCTCCGCTCTGGTAACGTGTCGAAGGACTCCTTGTCAAAGACGTCTTGGAACTCCTTGGCCCAGTCCGGAATTTCCGAAGGCGGGGGGGCCGAGTTACGGGCGAAGGCCTCTGCAAGGTGTTGGGACACGGTGCTCCCAGCGCGAATCTCCTTGATTGGGCGAAAGGAGGTGTAGAAGATGCGGTTGCCGTCTTCAAGATGCTCGTCGTCGTCGAGGTCTGGCGAGGGACTCGGAGGGTCCGAAGTAGCTACGAGTTCGTCGTCAGCATCGTCTGGACCGGCAATATCGATAGCGCAAACGGTGGGGAAGGCGCCCGAGAGCAAACGTGATTTGAGGAGTCGGAGGCGCCGAACCTCAGCGCGCTCAGTCCGTTCCTCGTCGCGGCAAGTGGAGCAGCTTCGGGGGCATTGACTCATTTTCACCTCTTTCGTTTCCCAGTTGATCTCGGGGTTGTGTTTCTTGAGCCAGGAGTATCCGAGTATCAAGTCCTGTTTCCCAAGGTGGGTTACAGCCAGCTGAACGCGTTCGGAGTGTCCGTTGTACCGTAGAACGGGTCCGCTGACTGGAAGAGACCCAGCATCATTGGGAGTACCGTCGACATTGTAGACCGGTATGGGTACTGAGAGATTTCGGACTGGCACGTTGTTTCGGTTGACGTATTCTGTGTCGATAAAGTCCGAAGTGGCTCCGCAGTCGACCAGACCTGAGAGGGTGAGAGGGAGAGCTTGAGCGCGTTCGCAGTGGACTCAAGTTCGAGAGGAAGGTGGAGCGAGTTAACCCCAGGAGCGGCAGAGATGGTATAGCTGCCAGGTAACTTTTTCTCCCAGGCAAGTCGGCGAATCCGAACGGGGGCTTCGGAGGGGGCAGGGGGTGCGTCTTTTGTTTCAGGCTCGTTGTAAGGCAAGGGAGTTGATTCATCATACAAACAAGTGAAACGATTTATGGACGCGAACGAGGGCACACCAGTCACTCGTCAGGGGGACAAAATCCTCTGCCGGAGCCTCCGAATGCGCCTCTGCTAAGGCCGCGGTGTCGGACAACCGCGCAAGTAGCTCTCCCAGCATCTCATCGCCAAGTTGCTGGATCACCTCGTCGAGGATGTCCATATGGCGAACATCGGGGGGAGCGGACAGTCCCGAGCCAAGTGATTGGGGTCGCCGATCTGAAGCAGGCTCGACGAGGGGCGCCCCGAGCCCTAGTACGATCCAACTCCATAGGGACGGGAGCCGGAGGTACCGGGACGGGGGCGCGGGCCGCGGTGGCGCAGGTGCGGCCACCGGGCGGATGGGGAACGGAGTTGCCGAACGAGTGATGGGGAAGGCGCCGCGCGGAGCTCCCGGCGGTCCGCGGGGTAGCCGTTCCCTTAATGAGCTTCGCTCGCACCAGGGCTTCATATTGTCGGAAAGCCCGAGTGCGCCAGCCCAGATAGTCACGGAGGTCTGGGGGGTCGTTCGAAGACGTGATGCCGTTGTTGATCAGGGGGTCAAGTCCGTGGCGGTACTTGGTCACCTTAACCAACGCGTCTTCGAATCCGGCGAGGTCCATTAGGTCCTCGAAGTCGTCGGTGTATCCGTAGACATCCCGCGTTCCCATGTGATAACCCGCGCTCTCCAACTTGGCAAGCGCAAGGTCCTGCTCGTTCTCCTCAACGAACCGAAGGCGAAACTCGGAGAGGAATAGGTTCCACCGAGGGAAGGGGAAGGGGGTTTTGCTCCCATGACGCTCTGCCCACTGCTGAGCAGGTCCCTCCGCCATATAGGACATGGCGTAGCGGACGGCCTTTTTCTTCGCTCGGCTCTCCGTTGACCACGAAGGCCTCCGGGGCAAGCCGAGCGTAAGTCTTGACCGTATAGGAAGGCGCGGCCGCGTTTGCGATCCCCGTTAAACGCAAAGCGGAGGGTTTGGTCGTAAGACCAGTTTTGAGGCGACAGTAATATCACCAAATAACGCATCCGCGTCGGGGCATTCGGAGATGCCGGGCGGTTCGGGAGCTGCCGAAGGTGGTGCGGCAGCGAAGCCTGGGAAGCAAGGTGGGTGAGGATATTGGTGAGGTTGTCTAGTTTCGCCTCAAGTGCGTCCATGCGTCGTCAGCGTCCGGAGCAGCTCCGGTGGACATAGCGGGCGTAAAGACGACAAGAGCAGAGGAGGAGGGGTCAAGTGGCAGGGGCGGTGACGAGGGGGGTACGGACTCGTACTCCGAGCCTGAATCAGCGCCAAACCTGGCAATCTTGACCGGTTAATCCCGTAGAGAGTTTCTTCTGCTGTAAGGGCAACCCTGGAGACTCCGACGAAAGCCTAGCAGGGGAGGATCCAAAGCGTGAATAAAAGCTACGGGAAATACACGGAGGGACCGACCTAGCAGGGGAGGATCCAAAGAGAAGAAACTCTAAGGGTCCGCCTGCTAGGGCGCCAACTATATACTGGTCGTCCGTAACTGCCGACGTAGAGCGCAGAAGGCCTGAGCGGCGTCGCAGGCTCTGTCCCAAGGTGATCGTTGGGAGGGTCTTGACGGATCGGTGATTGTGCGGGCGAAGGAGGCCGTGGACGATGGTCGGGGTGGGTCGGAGCGTCCGAGGGGGCGCCGGTCGGATGCGCCTCGGATGCGTTCGGAGGGTCCGAAGGAGGCCGAAGCGGGGGTTCCCCTGACAATCGTCCAGAAGAGAGTCGCCATCGTTGACACCAATGACATGCTCGGGAAGCTTTTGTGTTGCGAGAAATGTATGGAGCCAGTCACGAATACGACGGGCATGGTGGGTGGCATGGCCTTGGGAGTGCGCGATGAGAGTTGATGCTTGACGCCAAGTATAATTGAAGCTGGGGTCGAGGTAGATGTTCAGCGTGCCTTGCATGGCAGCGAGTCGAGTGCGGAAGACGATATCGTGCTTTTTGTTTTTGCTTATGAGCTCAAGCTGCTCTGCTGCACGTCGAAGGACTGGGAAGTCTTGATAATGCAGCCGATTGAGTGCTCGGTCCGCTGCTGTCTCTGGGGAGAGGTCGGTAGGTGAACGACCATCAGAAATGGCCTCGAGCATTCCTCGAAGATGTACATGGGCCAGGTTAACAGGGTCCATGCACTTTTCTTCGATGGAGTTGTTGCTGGGGGGATGGGGATGGGGAGATGCCAGTGGGGAGCTTGACAGAACGACAGAAGGAGTGGGCGGAGGAATCTACTTCGAATCAGCCAATGTGGAATGGAATGACCACAACGCACCTCTTGAATTTCATCCTCTGTTTGCATCTCATCCAATTCCGGCTCGTCCACGTCCATTGCTGACTGGGTCTGACCCGCGCTGTCTGTTGCTTCCACCGTTGTTGCTGTTTCCATCGTTTCCCGTGTCTTCGGCTGGCGCATCATGAACGCGAATGCGTTGCCAAAGCTTTTGAGCTCTGCAACTTGGCTTTTCCGCTGGGATTCCATCTTGGCATGGCGCTGCTGTCTCCGAACCGAGTCCTTTGTGTATATTGTTGGCCGCTTGCGTCCCAGAGAGTTGACGCGCGTCTTCTTGTGCTCAGCAACAGCCCTCCTCTATGCGGCTCTCTGTGCCTCCACCATATGAAACTGTGCCAACTCCTCCTCCGTTGCTCCCACATCTTCAGCCACGGTGACCAGCACTTCGTCGTCGTCCCCGACTCCCGTGATCGCGTCGTCGTCCGCAAAAGGCAGCTCTTCTCCAAGGTCAAGCTCCCACGTGCTGACCGGCTTCTGAAGTCGTTCTTCCCAACTGTCAGCTGTCTGGTCACCGTGAGTGCAATCGCGAGATGTTGATGAGGTCTTGGACCGAGCAGATGTGCCATTGGCACGAGAAGCGCGCTTCTGTTTGGTAGATTTTGGCATGCTGCGACGCGTCGGAAGCCTGTCACAGCGGTGACAATACGTGACAATACGTAACCGGATGTCGCATTCCGGTCCGGGCCGGCGACAAAATTTTGGTCGATGAAAAATAAAATGAATGAAGGCATGGTAAATTTGAGACCTAGCATTTGTTGCATGTTACTTTAGCTCTCTATTCCACATGTTTCCAACTTTCCAGCCCATTTGTTGCCACCACTATAAGGGCGCATCATCGGTGATCCAATCAGCTTAGTCAACGTGCGGGGTTCCCACGCCCTCTACCTTACGGCAGTAGTGACCATATACGGCCAAACGGGAGTTGCGCCAATATGGTTCGGGCCGTTCGGCAGTGGGCTGTGATCACATTATATAAGTGCAGACGTAGCCATATATGGTATCACACTCAGTTACAGGAGGAAGCTGCGAGCCACTAAGGGTCTGCAAAACCTTCCAGAGTTGAGACCCAGTTGATGTTAGACATGGGGAGGGTAATACTGGTCAATTTCCCAATATGGTAATTGTCAATTGTCATTGGTCAGATATTTAGTCAGAACTGACAATTGACATAACAAATAGTTATTTTCCCCAAAACCTAATTGTCACCGGACCCTATGATGGGCGAAAGTAAATGTTTTCCGAGTCGACGCGTTACACTTCGTGTCACGGTCCCATGATCATTTGGTCTGCAGCGAAGCTAAAAGACAGACAAATGTTTCGTTTCTAGTAACTAGTACATACTTACTTTCAACTCTAGAGCTTCTGACTAGCCACCTAATCCATTAAAACGACACCCAGTCAATGGGGGCCTTTCCATAACTCGGATTAATATTGTGTGTTACTCTCACTTTTAGCGGTACCACGACTAGACTTAAGTAGTTGAGAAATACAATTTGGGAGTTTTGCGCTTCCCATAACGCACTTACTCCAAATGTAACTGTTAAAGTAACTGACTTGTAACTGACTGTGTTTTGGCAGGTCACTCGGACGCAGTTTTCCTCGGTTTTCCCTCCCATGTATCCCACCACACCGTGACGTTGCCCAGCGGCTTGATGGGTGGAACTTAGGGTCATAGCAAGCAAATGGTGTTGGAAGGAGGGTCGCGGCTGTTGGCGGTGTTGGCATGGCGGTGGACCTTGGTCGTCCTTTCTGGCGCAACAGTCAGCCAAAGATAGCCAAATATGCATTTGTAGAGAACACTACAAATCTAAGGAAGGGTAGGACCCCCTCCTCAGATTGAAGAAAAGTAAGAGAGTGTATGGCGTTCTCTTCGGGGCCTCACGCAGATCCGGCTTCTGCCCGGCATCATGTTCTGATCAAAGTAAAAGCACATCTGAGGTTGTGGAAAGGTATCCGATTGACAATTACTGCCAGTTCAAGGTCATCCTGCTACTCATACAAACGTTAGAGCGGGGTAAAATTGAATGTCCTGGTCTTACCATGCGTCTCGTCTGCCATTCTGAAGCGGACTTCCCCATCGACCATGCAAGAAGGACTGGGGAGAGCGCCGTTCCAAAACTCCCTGGCCTCAATAACCGTCGGCTTTTTCTCCTTCTTGACACGTGGTATAGCGACCAGCGAGTTGTCGGCACAGCGAACGAGCAGTGCTCGCAGCGGTTTGGCAAATGACACAGAGCCTGGAACCGAGGAGGGAACGGAGTAGTGGGCGGGCAGAGGAGACGGTGGTAGAAACGGATCATGAAGTTGTAAACGAATGCCGTTTTGTAGCCAGGTCGTCAATACACGCTGAATAAGGAGTCAGCAGAGTCTAGGGATTTATTTAGATACGTGCTTGGTGTCCAATGGCTCGATGTAATGTGACGATGCGCTGGGCAGACATGTTGCCGAAATCCACTATAGCATCAGCGGTCGTGATAGCGCTGGCGTGTTTTGTCGATGTCTCTGGCGGTTGAGGGGTTGATATGGCCTGGGTGTTGTTGAGTGAAGAGGGGGAGATAGCCGCAAGCACGCACCGTTCCTCGCTTCATATCCCGCAAAACATCAACCAATAATTTTCCTCCGACCTCTGCTAGCTCGTCACGAAGGGAGATGAAAGTAGCGCTGGGAAGAACTGGCTTAGAGGTATCAGATACGATATTTGGGGGAAGAGACAACAATACCAGACTTGCAGTCCTCCAAACTGGTCCCTTGTCCACACCCCGCTTCAGCATTCGGACGACCGACACTCCAGTCTCGGCAACTCCGTCAAGGATAGCGTGTTGTATCGGGGCTGGGCCACGATACGCGGGCAGAACCGACCCGTGCACATTGAGTCGGTGGTCTGGCGCGAAACGGTCAAGTTGGGAGGGGGTGAGGATACGGCCAAACGACGCAGTTATGAGAAGGTGGTTTGGCAGACGATCAAGGAATGGTGAAGGAGGTTCCCAATGCTTGAAATCGGGTTTTTCCTCGGGGATGAAGGTCACTGGGATGTTGGCGGACTCTGCAAGAGTACGAAGTGGTGCTAACCAATGTTTGGCGGGAGGTATTACAATAGGATAGCACTCACATCTCCCAACGCGTGTATCTGGGTGAGTAGCGACGGTTATTGAGTCCCAGACATCTAGATATCGAAGTCAGGAAACGGCAAACGTTTGAGCGAGGTGGTGGTTACCTGGTGAAGCGTGAAGACGCGCAAATATGGCGCAAGAGAACTCATCTCTTCCGAGGAATAGAATTTTAAAGGGATTCAAGTGGTAGGCGCGAGAGAAACTACGTGGACATTGGTGCCAAACGCGTAGACAAGAATGCAGCATAAAATCTCTGTCACGTCGGTCACATCATTCGAATTGATCACATCATTTGAATTGATTACAAGGTGATTGCAAGGTGTACATTAGGGTTAGGGTTAGACTAGTTAACGAACATAAAAAAATGAATCCCCTGACGACACAAGCCAGTAGTGCAGCGGCAAGGTCATCGCGCCGACCTGTTGCAAGCAGAGCAGGACGACTGGGGCGGCAAAAATTAGATAACCAATAATAGCCACGGTGTGGCCATAAAAGTGGTTAAACTTTTAAGAACAGATACTACACTTGATCTAAGCCAAAAGGCCAGAGTGGTAAAGATTCAGAATGGCAGACAGTTGCTTTTGAATTAGCCAACAGCGCACGGACCACGTCCTGTCACGTGCATTGATTCCTATCAATAACATCAAATCTTAGTTGTTGTCTCTCTCAACTTCGATGGCTTCAATACCTATCGAGCTGTGGGACGAAGTGGCATCCCTTCTGGACGACGACCCATCCAGTCTGCGCTCTTTGGCCTTGACTGGGCCCCGCTTCATTGCCCCAGCACAGCGGCGGCTCTTTGCAAGAATACGCATCGTTTATCGCAGACGGAATGCCACCAAGTCCTCCGATATCACCATCTCCCGATTCGAAGACATTCTTTCCTTCTCTCCGCATCTCGCAACTTACGTCCAGACCCTTACTATCGCATTCTCTGATTCGAACTTCCAGAGCCGTCGCGAACACTCTGCTATGGTTTCACTCCTTCCAAGTTTCCAAAGGGTCGAGCAGTTCTGTCTCAGCGGCATGGATCAAATTCACGGACTGGTTTTTCCCACAGCAGCCGGTCTCCCGGGCTATGTCGTGACAGCGCTCAGACAATTCCTTTGCAATACGCCAACACTCCGCCAATGTAAGCTCCATTACATGACGGAGACCCCGACGTCAATACTTGTCCCGCTCCTCAGCGTCCCTTCTGTCGCCTTCGATTGGGTTTCCTCGTCCGCCCAGTCTGAGTCTTTGGATTCTAGCTTGGCCTGGGCGTCCACACTGCCCATAAACCCTCGCTTACACACACTCGATATGAGCGGCGGTGGGGAAAGCCTCGCTGCATTTGTGAATATTTTGGTCAGTAGTGAAGGAAGAAAGCACTCACGACGAATCCGCAACTTGACCTTGGAAGCTGGGTCAAACCCCAATTACGCTCAACTACTTCTCGTGTGTAGCGAGGACTTACAGCGACTACAGCTGGGCATCCCGAAAGATTGTTCGTCTCATTTGCTCCAAGATCCCCTATACTGATATGTTGGATCGTTAGCCTTTGTAGCGACAATCTCGCCGCTTCCTCTTCTGTCGGTGCTTGAGCTGAAACTACCCGTCGATTCTCATGGCCATTTTTCTCCGAAGCTACGAGCGCACATAGCCACCATCGTTCCCGTCACACCGCGTCTCGAAACACTCAAACTGCTGTTCCAAGTGTTTTCTCCATACCTTGAAAAGTTTTGGCAGAGAAATGGGGGAGATGTGGTCGCATGGGCACCGTTCGGGCTGGACTTTCCTGAGAGATGCCCCTCGTCTCTTCTTAGTCACCTCAAATGTGTCGATTGCATCCTGACCATCACTGGAAGCGAACGATCACAGCGTGCTTCGAGCCATTCAACCAAATTTTCGGACCTTATGCAAGGATATATGCCTGGAATCGCTTTGGCGCCAAACCACCTCAAATTCACCTGTTCAGTTCGCTCTGACTGAGACTCCCACTATTATTGTCTATCCCTCGTGCTAGCAACTTCTTGATACGTTTACGACGTTGTAGTAGAGTAAGTACTTATCTGATGGACTCTATTGCCGCTCTGAACAAAATTCCCAGCAACAACGTTCGCACATGTTTGCAACTGCGAATGTCGGCGGCGTTCATCACTCTTCAATGGACTTGTTTCAATCTGCTACGCAACAACCATAGTAACCTTCCTCTGCCATGATTTTCGAGACCCGCGCTCTTTTGACTTCGCGCCAATCTCGGTCTGAATATATACGTCATTATTCAGTCCAGTCGACCTATAAAATCATACACTCCCCAAACCTCACAAGACTTTTCCGCGCGATTGAATCCCCGCATCTCGGCAGATGTTCAGCATTTTGGCGTTGTTCGCCATACTCCAGCTGGGTAACTACTCTCATATATATCTATTCGCACTTCTTCTGCTGAATCTTATTCTTCTTGTAGCAACGGCACAGACCCTCAAAATCGTTACTCCCATTCCAACGGGCGATGTACGCGCCATTGTGGGCCAAACAGTCTCGGTTTCTGCATTAGGTGTCGGCGCGGATGGAAAAACGACTTACCTTGAAGTTGGCGCCGAAACGCTTGCTCTCGAGGTTTCAGGCGGCGTTACGAAGACATTGTTGACGGGTGAAATACCTTTTACTGGTGCGTGGATTCATTTGGATCAGAAAGCCTTCCTAATCTCGTCGACCAGCCACTTTCGTTGAAGATGCATCCAACTTTATAATTGGGACAACAGACAGTGGATTGTACGAGTCTTGTTCGTTTGGCGCGGACGGGACTGGCGCATGTGTGAATCAATTTGTTTCAGTTGGTGCATCAACGACATCCACCCTGACGAGCACTTTCACCGGTCCTGTCGTGCCCTGGTATACCATTAACGCAGCGGCCGTGACAAAACCGGAAACCGCCGCCTCCAAGCCCATTGGTAGTTTAGCAAGTTCAGGATCGTTGATGCCATCTCCTTCGCAGAGCACCTCGTCGAACAATGCTTTATTTAATCCTATCCCATCCCGTTGGACTTTTGCAGCAATTTCCCTTTCGTTCTATGTTTGTCTCTAGCTAAGAATATATTTTCTCTTCCGATATTACCGAGATCAAATTTCGCGTGACCACTTTTCTTGGAGTCTACACCAACCTTCTCGGTCCTTTCGCCCGATCTCCAATGACCAAAAACTACAGAAGCCCTGGAGAGCCGGAACCACGCTACTCCTGCTCCTCATGTCTGTACCACCAACCATACCAGGCACTGGTGCCACCACGCCCAGCGGTCGTCGTCCCGAAGTTGAGCTCACTGACCAAACGAATCGACTACCCTTCAAGAAGCTGCTGCCCATATTCCTCGGGCTAGCCCTTTGTGTAGTCGTTTCCACACTCGACTCGGTCATCGTCGCCACAGCTTTACCGACAATATCCTCGGCATTCAACGCGGGCTCTGTCGTCTCATGGGTCCCATCAGCGTATCTGTTAACTTCGACATGTTTCCAGCCGCTCTACGGAAGGTGCGCGTCTTTTCCAACACTATACCCTGCTGGCTCAAGTAACTATAAACAGATTTTCTGATATATTCGGCCGTAAAAGCGCGCTTTCGCTCGCTATGGCGCTCTTCATGTTCGGCAACCTCATTGCAGGCTTTTCCAAGACTATAATCCAGATGATCATCTTCCGAGGGTACGTGGATTCTTGTCTGATTTTCCGCTCAGTACTCACCGACCATTCAGAATCGCTGGGGCTGGTGGTGGTGGTCTCGTCAGTATGATGCAGATTGTAGTTTCAGACATTGTCAGTCTTCGCGAAAGGTGAGCAACCTGAGGCCCATTTGTCACATGCTAATAAATCACAGAGGGAAGTACCAGGGTATTATTGGGGGGAGGTAAGCTCATGCCTCAGAAGGTGACATGAATTCATCTAACTTATTCAGTGGTCGCTATTGGCTATGCAATCGGACCAGTAATCGGAGGAGCACTTGCACAGAGTGTCGGTTGGAAAGTGCGTGCCCATTGTACTTTTATGTGCTCTGGCTTATCGCTTACCACAGTGGTGCTTCTGGGTTACTATTCCCGTGTCGTTTGTCGCAACTTGTGTGGTTGTGTTCATACTCCCTCTTAAGCCAGTACATGGGGAGATATGGTCGTATGTCGACCATCAGGTGTGATTTTTGAGTGCTGAGCCAAGCCAGAAAACTCCGTGCTATCGACTATTTCGGGACATTCCTCACTCTTATTGGCTGCACTCTGCTTATCCTGCCTCTTATTTGGGTGCGTGACCAGACTCATTCAGAGCCACATATCTGAACTTCTGATAGGGAGGTGTTGTTTTCCCTTGGAAGTCTTCTATTGTCCTTGCACCACTCATGTCCGGCTTCGTTGTGGTTGCGATCTTCTGTTTCTGGGAGTGGAAAGGCGCAAGGCTGCCGATCGTGCCGAGTCAGTTATCCTCTGTCCAAGCGCTTTCCCAGAAGTTGATGATGTTCAGTGTATATTTTCAAACATTCAACAGTAACTGGCGTTTTCATCGCCATGTTTGTCAAGTACCTGGCTTTCCTTTTTCCGCTATGATGACTTATCGCACGCAAGTGGCTTTGTGTTTTTCTCGACATTGTACTATCTGCCGCAGTTTTTCCAAGTCGCCCTCGGTTACAATCCTCTGCATGCTGGTGTGTGTCAAGAAACTCGTTACTTCCTTCGACCTCATCAACCACAGGTCTTTTCCTCGTGCCTCTTTTAGTCACACAAATAATAGCAAGTTGGTGTGCGGTTCGTTATCTTGTATGCGTTTTCGACTGCATGATCAACTGTTTCAGGGTATGATGGTCAGTAGAACGGGCCGTTATCGGGTAGATCACTCTTTGACCTGTCGCTCAATCTTTTTCTTACCAACATTTTGAAGGCCATCATTAATGTCGGCTTTGGTGTTTGGTCCGTTGCTTGTGGGTTGATCTCTACTGTTCGACCTGGATCTCCAAAGGCAGTTCTTGTCATATATATGATGCTGGCTGGGCTTGGGGCGGGAGGGACGATGCGTGAGTCTAGTGTTCAGACTTGAAATAAAATGCTCATATATTCTCAAGAAACAACGACGGTTGCTGTCCAAGCCAGCGTTTCTCGGCGAGATATGTCGGTTGTTACTGCGATGCGGAACGTGCGTTCAATTATGGGCTTATTCTGGTCTTGGTCTTGATCCTAAACTACAGTTCATCCGACTTCTTGGGGGCACTCTTTCGCTCGCCGTTGCCTCTACGCTCGTAAACAACAAACTCCGCGCCTCTCTTGCGTCATTTTCCATCCCATCTTCGACCATCACACAGGTCATCGACGACCCTGCTCTCTTGCACATGCCTAACACCATTAACATATCTGAATCTACCGCGCATTCGGTCCTTTACGACGGTTATACGAAGGGCTTTAGCGCGCTTTTTGAGATGGACGCGGCGTTTACCGTCTTCGCGACCGCTGTTAGCGTGTTACTCATTAAGCACAAAGAGCTGACGAGGGGTGATGATGAAGCTCTTCGGCAGCAGGCCATACAAGAAGCCTTGGAGCAGAAGATGGCAAAGAAGGCAGGGAGGAGCGGGACTGCAACCCCGATGCCAAGGGAGTTAGAGAGCGGTATGGCGACCCCTGCGCCGGAAGCCACACTTGTTGGCCACGAGAGATCTGGGGAGAGCATAGAAATGGCCCATGTCAACAAACGCTTGAATGAAGCGAGCGGTTAGGATGAATTAGACTGCACTTCGACTTTAGATACTAGACAGATATTGGAAGTTTGAGCCAATTTTTGTACACCAGTGTCACCACCGAGTCAGGTTGGTGATGTCGTCATCCATCTTGACAGCAACGTCGATGTCCTTTCAATTGCAAGGCATTTGAGCGGCCCAACACCAGCCTATCCTGCCGTTCACGCGAAAACCTGGCTTTACTTGGGGTTGCTCCCAGGTATTCGCCCGAGCTGCCCGACAGGATTGGCGCAGCGACAGGTTGAATGGTCTGGCTCTTGCATGTAAGGCAAAATCGACTGTCAAATGCAGGTATATAAGCCTCACCAGAACCATCAACCTTCTATCCCTTTTTCCAGGGACCCCCGTGCGGGATGCGATTCTTCGATTTCCTCCTGCTTTCATTGGTAGCGGGGGCCTGCAAAGCCTCAACAGTCGACCACGCCACTGCAGCTGCATCGCAGCAAGCGTGCCAGAGAATAGCTGGCCATCTCGGGGCCTCCATTGTCCAGTCATCCGGTGCCGCATACGACTTTGCCGCCAGCAATGCGTGGAACTTCGCCAACGCCCTTCTCCGACCGACGTGCATCGTCTTCCCCAGCCAGGCGGCCCATGTCCAGGCCGCCATGCGTGAAATATATCGCGCCAAGTCGCGTTTTGCCGTCCAAGCGGGGTCCCACAGTGCGATGAAGGGGTGGAACAAGTGAGTAAAATTTTTTATTGGATTTCAATGCAGAGAACTAAGTGGTATACAGCGTCCAAGACGGCGTTCTCATTGTTTTTTCAAACATGAAAAACGCGACCTACAATCCCGCAAGCGATTCGATAATCCTGGAGCCGGGAATTCATTGGGGGGAGGCAACAGCGACTCTATCGCGGTTTGGTGTTGCGCCCGTTGGAGGTACTGTCCCTCACCTTGAGTCTATGTCGTTTAACCTGCCCCACTATAGGTCGTGTTGGGTAAGATTTGGACAACACTGAAACAAAGTGGCTGACACGCAAAACCAGGGACGTCGGAACGGGCCTGTTACTTGGTGGCGGTCTTTCCTTCCTCAGCCCTTCGCAAGGGTATGCGGCGGACAATTTCAAGGCCCTCGATGTTGTGCTTGTGGACGGGAGACTTATAACTGCAACCGCAACGAATCAGTACTCCGATCTCTTCCGCGCCATGAAAGGCGGGGCCAATCGATTTGGGATCGTGACGAGATACGAAGTTCAAGCGGTCCATGTCGGAACTGACGACGAGACACCATTCTTTGGAGGATTCATCATTGTGTGTGTGTCAAACATGTTGCGGATGTTCCCTCATTCAGCAACAGTACGATGGCTCAACGGCTGAAGCTCTGAGTAAAGCCACTGCGAAATATGTGCGAGAGGTCAATGACCCACAAGCAGGTAGCTATCACCACCGACCGCATCCGCTTTCCTCACCATCTCCAGTACTTCTGACCACATTCACGACCATCGTTCTCCAGGGAGTCCTGCAAACAATCGCGGAGGTGTTCCTCTTTTACAGGGGCACTTCCCTTCCGCCATCCATCTTCGGCGACTTCCTCGCTATCCCTGCCCTTGTCACGCAGGTCGGGCCACTGAGTTACACCCAGGTGCTCGCCACAATCGGTCCCGAATCCGTCAACGCTCAACGGGGCTTCGTCCAACATATGGGTGCCTCTGCGCTCGCGGGCCAGGAGCAGCTCTACCTCGATGCGCTCACACACTACCAAAATTTCACCAACACGTTCATGAACCCCGCTTCTGGAGCGGGCATGAACTACTCGACACTCGCATTCACGGCCGTACCCGCTTCGCAAATTGCCGCCGGCCGCGCCAAGGGCGGCAACGTCATGATTCCGGCCAATCTGAAGAAGGGGTTCGCGGCCGTCCAACTCGCCCAGCAGTTCAATCCCGGCGTCTCGGCCATCCCGTCGTTTGTCCAGCAGGGCATCGACCTGCTTTTCCGACAGTGAGTTGTTTAAAAAATGTTGGCTGCTGACGAGATTAACCATTGGGATCAACTAGAGTTCCGCCGTCGCCTGGGCTGCCGCTCTGTAAGTGCATCCGCATGATTGAACTTGAAGTAGACACTGACGGATCGAAAGATGTGAACGAATGCGACGCTGGTCAAAAGGTGTTCGAGTCGTATGGCGGCTACGAGCTCCTCAAGGCGACCTATCGCAAGTATGATCCCGAACGGTGGGTCTTCCGAGTTGGATGTTGCCTTCTCGTTAAACTGAACACTGGCAGGTTTAATGTCCAGCACTGTCAAGGACCGATTGGGTTGTAAATCAGAGACACTCTAACGCAAAATATATTTTCATAAGAGCTTATTCGCACGCAGCTTGGAATCTAGAGCGTAGATTTGATGGAAATCAAAAATTCTGCACGGAGATTCACCTTCTGCAGGGAGGTGAATCTCCCTGCTCAAGTCCAAGCCTTCAGGCTTGGTCTAGAGCACCCAATAGATCAAAGACCCGAGGCCCCGAGTGCTTGCAATCAGAGACACTCTAACGCAAAATATATCTTCATAAGAGCTTGTTCGCAGCTTAAAATCTAGAGCGTAAATTCGATGGAAATCAAAAATTCTGCAGGGAATCTCCCTGGCTTGGTCTAGAAGGCTAGTAGAGCACCAAATAGATCCAAGGCCTGAGGCCTGAGGCCCCGAGTGCGAGCAAACAAAGATCACGGCAGGCTCCACTCACAAGAAATTAGAATAGAAATTGCAGCGAGAGAGAGAGAGAGAGAGAGAAAAAAAAACGCGTTTTTTACTGCTGCTCATGAAGCTCTATAGCAAAAGGCTTATTTGTTGCCCAAAGCTTCGATGCCAGTGTCTTGACATCAGCATAAACTATCGCCCTTGTTTGTCAGTTTGCTCCAGTTTCAGTTATCGTGACTTGATGAATGGGAACAATTAAGCTTGGGATGACAAGCACCGCGCTGGGTGGCGTTCCCGGCGCTGTTTGAATAGTTTCCGGGCCGTACAATATACACGCCGCGGCGATGGGTACAGTAAACACAGATTAGGTCGAGGCAAGTACACTACCATACTTCGATGAGGTCGAAAGCCAACAAAGGGGTACCGGCTTTGGCTTCAGTGGAGAAGCCGGACATGCGGAGGCCCATGAACTTGGTGAAGCGGGCGTAAACGTCTTCGGCGTCCCACTCGTTGAAGGCACTACGGTTCACTACAAGCATGCAGTCGAGACGCCGCAGTTTCGGGAGGATGGCCGCCGAGTGACGGGGAAATGACTCTTCTACCGCGCTTGAGTAGGGATCCATCCACATCGTCTGCGGTGCACAGACGTTGCATTTGATGGTGATGGTCTCCAGTGCGAGTGAAGCGCATGCCAAGTTGGCGAGGTTGGAGTTGAAGTTCTCAGGGAACGAGCCGTTCTCATCGAGGTAGACCCGGAGCTCAAGCGCGCGGAGAAGGGGAAGGGTAGTTGACGTTGCCTTCGGAAGGAGAATGGGGACAGTTCCCACTAAAACGAACGAGTCAGATATCAGACTCCTTAATGATCAACAAGATAGCTCACCGCTAAACGTGATGGAAAACCGCTCGAGGTTGGAACCACAGACAAGCATGAGCTGATCGATGTACCGCGGTCGCTCGGTGCTAACCTGGAATTCGAGCGTTTTAATCTCGGTGGCATAGACCAGGCCTTGCGGAGAGACAAGAAACTCGAAAATGGAGTCCAACAGGGTAGACTGCATTGTCGCCAGTTCGCGCAGACGGGGTTTTGGTGATGGTTGGTCGCTTTGAGGGAGTGGAAGGCCGGATAAAAGCCAGATGAGCTCGAATGAGACAACGGGAACGCCCATCGCCGCGAGAAGGAGGGCGGGTGGCGGTTCGCAGAGATATCGAAGTGCAAGTCGTTGAAGCGAAGGGCGAGCAAAGGCAGCGATGAGGGCAGAAACCACGTGGTCCGGTAGATTCTGCATGTTCTCCCTTGAGGGTATGGAGCTGCTTCCGCTGACAACCAGATGCTGCAGACGATGCACACGACCGAGCAAAGAAATTGATGCCTGGTGGTCCACGTGCTCTTTGTTTCCCGAAAGCACCATCGTTAGGTCCTGGACATATGAGGCTAGTCGCGGAGACTGCGAGAATATATTTTCCACGCAAGAAATCGAAACCCCGTCTGCTCCGACTCCTGCATAGACAACAACAAGGGTTTTAAATAGAGCGCGTTGGCTAGCGTAGATGCAGCCGGTACAAACGAGTGAAAGAGAGCGTAAGGTCTCCTTGTCGGGAACAAGGGAGGCGATTTTGTCGACAAGTTCTGGGGGAAGCGGAAGAGACATGAACGTTCGGGAGAAGAAGTTTGGTGAATCCTGATATGAGGCACTGCGGAGAAGATGGTCGAATCAAGTCATGGCAAACATCTAGCAGAAGCGTCGATACTTACCCGCGTTTTCGAGACGACAAGGAAGATCTTGAGAAGTCGGAGGATGGGGGCTAATGAGATCGGAAGAAACTACCAACGGAGCTAAATAACTTCGGGCTGAGTGAGCCGAGACCGAACGTTCAAGGCTTCAATCAGTTGGCAAGATCGACGACCCGGAAGCGGAGGAGCGGAGTGGTAAAGTCCGCGTTTACTGGGCGTGGCGCCTTGAAAGTTGACAATCAACTAAACACTAATCGCCTGCTGCTAGGCCGTCAGGGGCAAGTAAGACTTGCTCCAAACCATCTGTCCTTGGTTATGGGCGGGCAATGTCAAGAAGCAGCGCACAAGGATCAGTTACTTCGAGAAACCATGGCAGATCCGTGTTCGAAACCCATTTAGTGTCGTTCTCCGCACTAGTTTGACGAGTGGACGTCTCTGAGAGAGACTAGGAAGAGTAGCAGAGTCCAGACTTGGATTGAAGTGCTGACCTCCTAGTCAGCTGGTTGTTTGGTTACGGGCACCGAGTTACAGTACACAGTGCAAATGGTTGGGGAAGAGTAAGGTTGATGCGAATCTGTGCACGTGCAACATATGCTGGTGCGTGCGTCGCCTAACGCTAGTCAGGCGTGGAAGCGGTCGGAGACCCTGGACCAAATACTTACAAGCGGTCATGGATGGGACGGTGTAGACGGACTTTATGCACACATATGTCTGGAGGCGCCACTACCGCTAAGAAGTATTATCCTATTTCCATGGCCACTGTCACGGCCTTTCTTGCCCTGTAAGGACGTCGACATGCTCTAGATTGACGAATCACCAGACGAATCGTGGGTTAGACCCGAGTCTACGACGACCAGTCCCTCAGCCTACAAAAAAGCAATGGTAGACATGTCAAGTGGACTCCGACCTCTCTCATCCAAGTTCAAAAAAAAAACCAAATCCATTGTCGCGACTCGCGATTAAGTATATCTTAGTATGAATAATCATTCAGTATTAATTCTACGTTGCGCAGGCGAAATCCCAAGAAAACCACCACAGCCCAGCTAGATGACGACCCCAACGCGAAAATGCACATCATATGCTTGTCCCAGCATCTGTCCCTGGGTACCTAGGAGGAGGAGCATCATTGTCGTAGATTTCCGCGTTCTGACCCTGGAGGCGTGAATGCAGTATCCTAACAAGCTCATCGGTGGGGAGTGCTGAGGCTGTTATAGAAGCCGGAACTGGTTCGGCTTGTTCAGCGATGAACGCAAAGTCTGTTCGCGAGCCATCTGACAGCGATCGACTCGTACTGGGTCCGGGCTGGTGGTGCTTTTCCCGCTGACCATATCGTGCATGAGGAGTAGCAGCCGTGAGAGCGCTTGACGAACTTTGAGAGACAGGCGAGGTGAAGGGACTAATCGTGGTGGTCGACGGCGGGTTAATGCTCGGACGGACGGAGGGTATGTCCAGTGCTGGGCCTGTCAACTCCCTTCTTGAGTTCTGCCGCCGACGTCGAATCCAGAATAGTAGCCCCACACAAATCAACGTCACGACAACCGCCGCGACAATGCCCCCCACCACGGCTCCAGTGTGCGATTTGGGATGAGGCGCCGCGGAGGCGAGAGTTGTATTGGAACTTGACGGTGGAGCTGACGATGTAGGGCCTCCGCCTGACGATGACGTAGTTTGAACAGTTTCGTTGTGCAGCCCAATTGCAGCAACAAGCACGCCAAGAGCTGATGTCTGGTCTATCGAGTTGAAAGTCGTTGCGGCGGGGCCGATCCAGTGCCCATAGGTGTCTGAGCCTGACGACCGCGCAAGGTCAAGGACACCGTTGTACTACTAATATAAGCAATGGATAAAAACGTAGTGAACAGAGACCTACTTGTACAGCGAGGTATGCTTTAATGTATTCCTTCAGCGATGAACTTGTCGCGTTGCGACTATACGCAGCGCTGAGCCCACGAACAACAAAGAGATCACCACCGGAACCTCATTAGTATATGTCAGCACAATAGTCATGAGATGAAAGAAAACACACCATGTGCTTGGTTTGAAATGATTCCGTTCGCGCCTTGCCATGCCGGAGAGAGTATTGCAGCTTCGACAAGTGAGGTCAACCTAACTACGAGTTTGAATGACTGGCCATCCAAGGACTGAGGGCATACTGACAAGCGTTGGTATGCAGAGTCCTTGGTGATATCGACGAGAATTGCCAACACCTCAATCGCCATTCCCGAATCGTAGGGTTGTGGCGATGTACTCAATGAGCACGAGTCATTGCTACGGCCAGAAATTCCATCAAGGATGATGTTCTGTGGATTAAGCCAGTGTGATTGCATGAATGTGATTGAGAGCTGTGCAGCAGAGAGGTAGTCAGGTTTAGAGGTGCTCGCAGCCAAGAGCGCAGAAAGGCTAATAGAAAGTATTAAATGAACATTCAGGAAGTAGGAAGAAAAAGAAAAAAGACATTGCAAAGTGCCCAGTCGACAGGCCAGCAATCGAAGGGTCAGATACCGCCGTTGTCTACATCAATCATCAGCGCAAGTCTTTGATAAGATAAACTATTGAGACCCCGAAAGTCCCTCCAGCCATTGTTTCTGTTTGACGGACGTAAGGATTTGATAATTGGGACTCGTATCAAGCACGTACCGCCCTGACAAGTTTTTGCCAAGTCGAAGTTTTTCAGACCACTCTTTTGTCTGCCTGCGTCGACGTCGGCCTGAGAAAGAGTATATTTGCTGCCGATATTCCAGATGCCGATTGCATATTCAAGGAAAATGGGGTCCTTATAGGCAATGTAGGCTTGAGCAGCGGCGTATCCGTAAATCCTGTGTGCTGATTACTACTAGAGTAGATGTACAGCGTAACTTCATGCTTACAACGTATAATGAAGCTAGTGGAGCTTGACCGTCAGCAAGGGCCGAATCAAAGAAAGACACGCTGACACTGCATCCGATTTATATGAATTAGGAACAATATAAGGCCATCGGCAACGCACTTCAAGTTAGCGAAATTACTGGAGGCTGTTTGGGCGAGGTTAAAGTATCGCGCAAGAAGGTCATGGTGCTGATTGCTACTTGTAGCGACATCGAATCCAGCGAGTTGAGAGTAGAAGATGGCAGGAATGAGATAGTCAGCGTCTGCATCGATTCGGTCAGCAACTAAGAAAAAAAGCCACTTCTTGACACGCACCGGAGAACTGCCCATCCGTCCCAATGTGATCGATGGTCTTCTGCACCGCCGCATTGACGGTACCAATCCTGTCCGCGACTGCAGTGGTGATGTTTGGTTTCTTTGGAAAAGCGTCAGCTGGGCGCTTTTTTTGATTGAGCGACTTACGCGCCAGCCAGGCGAAGCAAGTTGTGCCCATAGCGGTGTCCAGTATCCCGCTAGCACCAGCACCGTTGAAAAGATATGGGAGGACGAAAACAAGAGCATCGCGGCTACCATCGGGCTACGATTTGATGTAAGCTCGCCTCTATAATGTCCTCGGGCGGCTATGACAGTGGTCCTGGTTCGACTGATTGTCGTAGCATGACAGTCGACCGCGGATCCGGAAATGGTCAAGGAAACCGAGCTCGAGGCAGATAAGTAGTGTTTCTGGAAGCAGCTCGGGCCACCAGCGTTTTCAGGGCCTCATAATTGAGATGGTGGAAGGTCAGACACTGACTGGGTGCCTATATTGATGGAAGTTGTGTGCAATGGTGGCGCTTTTCATCTGCTCTTGTTTCAGTCGGTAAATTGCAATGGAAGGACGCTTCCAGTGTCACCGGAAGTGGCGTTACTTTGGGAAAACTGCGCTATACTTACTATCGGACCCTTTGCGATCGCAAATGCCACTGACAGTTGGTGTGGCGAGGTCGCCATCCTTGAGGATGACAGCTAGCTGGAGCGTTGCCTCCCGTAGTCAGACTACTGTAAACCAGCCTATAAGCGGTTTTCTGGCTTGAGGTTGGCTCGAAGATTTCAGATCACGTGCTACTGCCGTGACGACGGCTCGTCAGCAAATGTTGCCCAACAACCCCAGTCCTCTCCCTTCCAAGAATGAAAATGTTGACCACGCATACTTGTGGCAGGCATCATAACTCTTGCTCAACAAGCCGCTATCGGATGCTAGGCCCGGATCGGCCCGCAAACGCTTCTTGAATCAATCCTAAATCAAACATCGTCTTCAGCAACTTGAATCCAATGCATGTTCCTGCCAACCTCGTCCTCTGGCTCTCGTTGGTACTTCCGACCGTAACTCGCGCGCAGGCCCACACGTTGGCCACCGCCGCACCACCACGACCAACATGCACTGTTGTCCATACCGACATCCCCGGTGCGGATGATTCTCCCAGCATCCGGGAAGCAATAGCGAACTGCTCGACGAATGCAACAATTCTGTTCGAGTCCGGTGCGGAGTATAACGCGTACGTGTCCCTTCTCCTGTACAGACTCTTGAGGTAACCGAATGCAGTTTCACGCCAGTCATGTTTGCACTTGGCCAGGATGTTACTATCGAGCTTTTGGGCAACATCAGCCTCCCGGACAACATAACCACGGTGCAAACAGGCGTTTCAAGCAAGCTATATCGGTCTGGGTGGTTCTCTTTTACTTCCACGGGACCTGGGGTCGCTCTCGTTGGTCCCACAAGTGGTACCGGAGGAATCATCCAGAGTTATGGACAGGTAAGTCGACGCCGATGTGTGTGGATGATGAATCTGAACCTTACTAGGCGTGGTGGGATGCCGGTCAGCAGACGAATAGACCCCTGCTATTTGCGTGGCGAGTCAAGTTGGGGTCTTCTCTGTGCTGTCAAGCCCTGGCTCACTATTCACTGTAGCAATGGCTCCATCTCACATGTGACAATAAGCAAGCCCATCGGAAAGAGTTTCAACATCGCTGGGAATGGGAACATTATCCAGAATGTGGTCATCGATGCAAAATCCGTAACAGCTTCATTCCCTTTCAATACGTGAGTGTTTCTACCGACGAAAGTATGTATACTCAGGCTGAAAGTACACAGCGACGGGTTTGATGGTGTGTCTCAGCACGCTCTGAAGCTTAATATTTCTTTATGCTGGTGCAGTTGGAGGAGACGGCAATACTATTCGAGATTCTCAAGTGTCGAATGGTGATGATTGTGTTGCTATTGGTTCGCCTTGCTCGAATCTCCACGTAAAAGGCTTGACGTGCACCGGCTCGCATGGGATCTCAGTTGCGGCAAAAGGCGGGGGTCAAGTTAGTGTCTCCAATATCCTCGTCGAGGACATTCTTTTCGTCGATTCGCTATATGCGGTGCGATACAAGTGAGCCATACTATTCTCACCAAGGATAAGAAGAAAAGACTGAACTAATCTAGGTCCACTGCCGGCAATATTGGCATAGCCAAAAACATTGTCTACCGCAATATAGGGGTGAAGAATGTGACTTTCCCCATCTATGTCACCCAAAAGTGCGTCTAACCCACCTATTGCACCAGATAATAACCCCTATCTTGCAGTTACTACGACCAAAGTCAAGCTCCGCCGCCGCCTTCCAACACATCAGTTACCATCGACGGGCTGAGTGTCTCTAACGTCGCCGGGACCATCAATTCTCGGAGTCCCGGGGATGGCTCGTGTATCTCCAACCCATGCTGGTACCATGTTCCGAACGCAGACGGCACACAGGCAATCATATTCGACTCGTTCTACCCCGGGACTGCAAAGGAGATCTCTGTTGCGAATGTGTTTGTGGTCCCTGATTTGCCGTGGAAGTTGCCGACCGTGCTTTGCAACGCGAGTACGACTCCGTTGGACATAGGATTTAAATGCTGGGATGGAGTCTATATTCCCACACTACTGGCATAGTCAAATCTTCACACCAGGTCCTTGTTATTGTTAAGATCCTTCACCTATAATACAGAATTCGGATGTCTGTCGTCGTAGGATAGCACAAAGCCCCGGCATAAGCAGAAATATGGACATGGTCCGCGTCGCACCCATCCAGAGTCACCACGGCCGCATCTAGCAGTCTGGAATCCGACCGGTAGCCGGGTTTTTTCAACGCGCGCCACGCGCGTGTGACAATCGTCGATGTCAATGCATGGGCGCCCTGGTCGGAGGGCGGCTTTGGAGGCGGGACGATAAGTTCTCGTGATGGTGAGTAGTACACTGAAGCATGCCCAGAGTAGCTCAATCCACGTGGTCCACGAAGGAGGTTTGGTACGAGGGAGGATCTTTGCGAAAGAAGAGGACGACCTTCATGAATCGTGATCTGATAGCAGCGCAGGATGCGCCTTTCTGGGAACCCGTAACTCTGGGGAATAGCACAGTAGACCCATACTCGCCACGTGTTATCACGAAGGGGAGATTTGTGTATGACGAGGTCGCTATCTCCTGTAATGTGACTCCGGACAATTGTGTGCTCCACTGTAGCAGATAAAACGAGAACATCGACCATACAGACTGAGGAGACGAGACGGTCGAATGTTGTCACCCGAGTCCCGTAATTTTCGAAGATGTCTGCGGAAGGTATGAGATAAAGCATCTCTGCTCCCTTGCGAGCTGTTTTGAGCACAACGTGGTCGGTGATAAGTCCTATACGACTGAACATCCCCTGAAGCAGAATAGTATGAGCATTGGTAGCTAGACAAGTGTTAGTATGAATCCTCACCATCCCGCTCACGCACACAAACTGCTTGCGCTTCCAGTCAAGGAGGAAATTGGCCCGGTCGGAGTTAATTTCTGCAGTGCCAACATGACCTTGGAGCGAAAAGGCGTTGAATGGACCGTCTAGATTGGTATCAAGCGTGCGAGTAAGTAGCAAAAGGCTCTGACAACCAGTTGTTGGCTCGAACTCGATAACAGTGATAAAGCTGTTGGCGATGAACGAGGTGATGCAGAAAGCCAGAACACACTCTTACTTGCGTCGACCTGGAAACATGCCATGCAGTGGGAAGGTCCGCTCTCCAATCATCAGCACCATCCATTCGCCAGCCTTGTCCGGGTGGGCACAAACGTCAAAGTCCTGGACCGAACAATGGTCTGTCGTGGGGATTTCCGACACATATGTCCATATATGTCGTTTTTCGGCGATGCTGAAGCACTGCAGGTGCCCTTCATTGAGGAACAACACATAACGCCCGTTGGGGACCAGCCGGGTGTCGTCGTCCCAGTGGAGGACACCTGGCCCTTGACGAATTGTTGCTGGGATCGTGATAGCGGCCCGAACTTCAGGTGTAGACCGCGTCCATGTCTCGGGGCCAATAACGGCGCGTTTAACTATCGAGATGAGCTCAACGGAGGAGAGCTCAGATAAGTTGGGAATATCTGATTCCAGAATCCACTGCTCTTGGAGCCGGCGCACTATGGCCCTCCAGACTGTAGTATGCTGCGCGACTTCATACAATCTTCGACATGTCTGAGGGCGCCGTGAGGACTTGTTTTACGCAAAGAATGTGGGCGACTGACGCTGGAGAGTGCAAGAACTGACGCAAGATCACAATGCCCGAGAATGTCGTAGAAGATGTCGACTGGTAAGTGCGTAGATAGATGCTGCCGCGAGTGTAATGTGGACATGGGAGGGTCGAGATGATGTGACCGTAACCAAAATTCAAGTTATTTTCCTGAGTGCGGGTAACAACGACATACCAAGTTGCAAACAGAAGGCGGGTGCGTGCCAGTGGTCAGCGCGAGAGACCTCAAACATGTAATAACATCATTCGAATTGATTGCAAGGGTGTACATTAGGGTTAGGGTTAGACTAGTTAACGAACATAAAAAAATGAATCCCCTGACGACACAAGCCAGTAGTGCAGCGGCAAGGTCATCGCGCCGACCTGTTGCAAGCAGAGCAGGACGACTGGGGCGGCAAAAATTAGATAACCAATAATAGCCACGGTGTGGCCATAAAAGTGGTTAAACTTTTAAGAACAGATACTACACTTGATCTAAGCCAAAAGGCCAGAGTGGTAAAGATTCAAGATGGCAGACAGTAGCTTTTGAATCAACCCAACAGCGCACGGACCATATCTGGCACGTGCAATGATTCCAATCAACAACTCGTTTCTCTCGTCATGATCGGACTGTTGAACGAAAGTGAAAAGAGTTGTATCGTTCCTAGAGGATGGCACCTTCAGGTTGCGCTCTTTGGCGCCCATGTGTTGCTTCAGCACAGCGCCAGCTGTTTACTTAACACTCTTGACTGCGGGTTGTTCACTTATCACGGACGAAATGTCACCAACTCCAAGGCCCCTCACAATCCTTTCTTCTGGAGATCTCGCGAGCGGATTAAGTTTTATTTTGCACTGATTTACGAACAGAATTGTAACATATTGCGACCCTCGTCAACCTCACGGAACGAGTCAATGTTTGTAGGTGGATCTATTATCATAGCTTCGCACGCCCACCGACAGCAAGCTCCGCCTTTGCCCTGTCCCGCAGCTCTCGTCGCAATATCTTGCCAGCCGCGCTTTTGTCAACAAACTATCAAATTCTACCCAACGAACGTGAAAGATCGCGCACCTCTTTGGAACTACATCCACAACTACCACCCCTCCACGAAGATACTTATGCTTCGCGACACGGGATTCGAGCCATTTGGCAACGGAACGCCCAAACCCTGGTTCGTCTTGCTTTTGTAGCTCCTGAGGCCGAGCGTGAACAACATATGCTCTTAGTGGTATAATGAGATGAGCTGTTGTAACTGAAAGTAGAAAAACACACCTAGGCAGCTCAGTCGCTTGTTCGGCGCTTTCGACACCGATGACCGCTGCATCTGCGATATCTGGGTGCGTCAAGAGAAGTGCCTCCAACTCGGCGGGGGGTACTGCGAAGTGGTATAAGAAACGAGTTTTGACCAAGAAGATAAGATAGAAAATGACCTTGGAAGCCCTATTTGTTTGTTAGCTCCAACAAGCAAACAAAGCAGAAAAGCACCTTATATTTGATCAGTTCCTTGCGGCGGTCCACCACCCAGACAAAGCCATCTTTGTCCTGCACCACCACATCACCAGTCTTGAACCACCCATCCGGCGTTATCGTCTCCTTCGTCGCTGTGACATTTCCAAGATAACCCTTCATCACGTTGGGACCCTTGACCCAGAGTTCTCCAGGGGCTCCTGGTAAGGCGTCAACGAGCCCATCTTCATCGTCGACGATGCGTGCTTGGAGGTTTGGAATAAGTGTACCAACACTCCCCACTTTACGAGCCGAGTCTGCAAAAGTAAGGCAATAAACACCGGTAGTTGTTTCCGTGAGGCCATAACCTGAACCAATGCATCAAGAAAAGTAATGGCGGGAAACCATGCCGAACCTTGAGTGATGAGACATCGCGAACCCGGTTTACGTTTCGCCAATAGACGAGTTTTCACCTGTTTTACGAGTTCCCCTCCGAGCGGTGCGGCCGCAGAAAGTAGATATTCCAGGCTCGAAAGATCATGTTTGTCGACAACTGCAGGACGATTGGACAAATTGAAAGACCTGAGGGGAAAAATGCTTACTGGGATGTCTCGCAAGTACGACCAGGACCGGCGGTACGATAAATGCAAGAGCAACACGGTATTTCTCGATAGCTTGGCAGAACTGAACAGGTTCAAATTGCGATTGGATAAGGACGGTCCAGCCAAGGTAGAACGGATTCATCAAAAGAAGTGTGGCACCTGCGAAGAATGAATTTACGGGCACAGGGACAAGGGCTGGCATACCATAGATGTGGTAGAATGGCAAGATTCCGAGTACAGTGTTGTTTCCCGACGCGAGAGACGGAAAGAGGTGGCGCATCATGGCGAGAACAGCAGTCAAATTGCGATGGCTTGTTTCAACACCCTTAACATGACGAATTAGCCATAAAAGGAAAAACAAAACAGCCAGAAGCGCACTTTGGGCTTGCCCGTCGTCCCAGAGCTATAGCACAGATAGACTGTCTCATGGGACTCGCCACCCTCAAACTTCTCCTCCTGCCCGACTTGTAAACTGCCCATCCCAAGCAGTTCCTCGAACCTAGCCCATCCACCTGCATCGTTTCGCAAAGTAAAGCCGAGTTCAGAGGCCCAACGCAACTCTCGCAATCCGAAAACGATCACACGCCTCATTGCATCTTTTTCGTCCATTCCGAGCTCAGCGAACATGGCCCGAACAACAGGAATACCTTCGACTGTCGTTATAAGCAATTTTGCCCCGCTATCCTGGTACTGGTGGGCGAGTTCGCGAGCAGTATATGCGCTGTTGGCGAGTGTGCAACGGAGACCAGCTGCGATACCTGCAAAGCCCTTCAATAATGATAACGAAATGAAAGTATACTAACTTCCACACAGTGCTACCGGCCAGGCGAGTGCATTTGGCGCGTGGAACAACACCACCTCTCCCCTTTTCGCGGAGTTGGCGGTATTCGCATGGTTGCGCAGTCCAAACGCGAACCGCAGAGCCAGGTCACGGAGCTGGGCTCGACTGAGCGATGTCCCAGACACTGCATCGATATAGGCCGGCGCTGAAGCGGGGAAGCCACCGATGTCGGCCTTGGATGGGGTTTGCGAGGCAAAAAGGTGGGTGAAAATGGATGTTTCGCAGATGGGGACGTCTGGAAGCGGGGATGTGTAGATTTGGGTCATCGGCGGATGTAAAGCAAGCGAAGTCGCTCCTAAAAGGCCCTGTTTCACTGTCAGCCACGCAAGACATGGTCAACGTCGGAAGAGAATTGGTGATGATGCCATCAGGTCCGGGAAACTCGTCATAATTCATTCACCATGGTGCTCTGGTATTGTACGTAGGAAAGAGTAAGTATTGGAATTAGCAGGTATTAAAGGTCTATGGCCTCGAAACGTTTACATTCAACCTGCCTCGTCTTTCAGGTCTTTCCACTTCGGTAGACCGAAAAATCCTGGCAGCAGCTGCCAGGATAGTGTGCGGCTGTGATCCCACGTCTCCTCACCGGCTTTGTCACAATAACTGCAGAAATGGTCATCGCGCACGTTGTCCCACAGTGCCAGCAGCGGATAATGCTGCTCCGCCCATCCTTGAATGAGCTCCAGATGCATTTGTGGCCGCATAGTTTCGCAATTCTCGTCTGTACAGTCAGCGTCAGGTATGACACTGTCGTCGTCAAATTTCAGCCAGCCAAATGTGTCGTGTTGGTGGCTCGCAATCTTCTGCGCTGCAACAGCAAGCTTGATCCGCAGCCGGGAACTGGCAACGATACGCGACCCATCCTTGCGGCGCACTTTATTATTTAGAATGGATTCCCAGAAGCCTTTAAACGAAGGTCAATTGTGAGTAAACATACGCACAAGTGGGTTGACTTTAAGGCATTGCAACGCTAACGCAGGAAAACTGGTTCTGATTTCGTATGTGTCGACCTCGATCAGCAGCTCAAGCTCTAAACCAGCCTGCGGGGCCAATCGCGTCGGCACCCAACGGCCACCGGCAATCGTCTTGTCGTAGGCTGAGAGAGTACTTGGAAACTCGAGATGAATGAGAGCGACAGCGTGTTTGCGAACTCCGGCCATGTCGTATTTCTGCGCAAGCCTGAGCATTGTTTGTATCATGGCTAGAGGCATATTTTCTCCATATTTGTAGCTGAAAACACTATCAGAAAGTCTCCAGATAGAAAAGGCCACAACAACGCACGGATCGTAGAAAAGGTCTAAAAGCAACGTCCAATCCTTCGCACTGTCTCCCGGAAGTTCGACGGTAGGAACATTGTCCATTGACGGGGGGTTCGTAGGCTGAGGCACGGAGAACATATCGGCGAAGACGGTTGAATGTTTCGCAAGCACGTCGCGATTGACGCGAAAATCAACCCCCTCGACCTTGAGAATGATGTCACCATAAGGAAGCCAAAGCGGCCGCGGAGGTAGTGGCGCATTTGAATCGACGCGTTTTCGTTTGGTCGCAGAAGTGTTAGCTTCGGCCATGACGCGGTGGAAGTTGTTGACAAGGACTGCGCGTGCGTGACAGTCACCGGCAGTCACAGGTCACGACTTTGTGACTAACGCGACGATCAAGCGGTGGTCGTTTCCAACGATTCATGTCGCAGAACCTAACTTTCGCTTTGCTTCCACCAGATGTACTGTTCAGCATCCTTCTCTACTGCGATGTGTCTCGAGTACTTGCTCTCTCCCATGTGAGCCTTTCTCCAATGGGGGCGCCGCCAACAGTCAAGTTACCCACCCTCATCAGACATGTCGGACGCTCCGCGACATAACACAGCAGCCCTATGTCTGGATATCACTAGCCCGACGACTCCAAGCCAACGGGATCCTTGAATACGACATTGCCAATCTCATTGACCTCTCAACCGATAAACTAATTGCAATCGTGAAACGGACAGTTGTTGGACCAGCGACCTGGAGTGCTGACGACTCGAATTTATCTCCTGTTATCCAGCGCATAATCACCATCCCCGTAGACACTCGCCCTCAACCTGGCGTGCTACATTGGGAGAACGACGCGAGACTAGTTCCTGACGCGCGTCATGTCATTTATCGAGACAACGGTCGCCTACGATGCTATAGCGTCGCTGAGAAGAAACTCACGTGGACCTTCACGTCTCAACTCCCAACGGGGACTCGCCCCTCGGTCATAGAATTCAGCATAAGTGTCCATCCACATCAGGGTGGTGAGTGGATTGTGGTGATCATTGGAGAACGCACCTTCCCCTATACCTCTGTCGATGACCGGAAGAAGTGAAACATATGTTTCTATTCGTCCCGGGTTGATTTTCTTCACAGTTTCGTCACCTGCATAGCCCTAGAGCCTGCATCCGGCCGTCAAGTACCACTTATTGTCGTCCGAGCGCCAGACACGGAATTCGACAACCCATTCAGTCGGTTTGCAGTGCTGGGGACTGCCGGGGTTGCTGTAGTCAATACTTCTCAAGGGACTCACTTGCTCCTCGACTGGCAGCGGAAACAGGTTATTCTCATACAGCACCCTGTGAGTATTTTATGTGTTGCCCCACCAACCATAACATCCTCTCTTCATAGAGCCGTTCGGGACGTATTGGGCTGATCGCTGATCATGCACTGATCAAAACTTCGTTTCGAGGAGCCGAGGTCCTCTGCATCGTCCCTCTCGCCGAGATATTCGATAAACATGGGACACCTGCACCTGATCCAGAGCTTGTCCATGACCGCCCTATCTCTGCCGCTAGTAGATGCATGGTCGATGCTCTCGTATATTCGGTCAGATTTTCTTTAGAAGTCATCACACACGCACCATCTCCCCCAAGCGGAGCATCGGATGAAATTTCCGTCTGCCAATCGCCCCTCAGAGACGACACGTGGAGAGTTTGGATATATGTCAGGTCCGATGTGGACAAAACTCTCCCAGCGAGTTCTAAATCGGAAAAAATGACCCACCTCTTGTGTTGCTATGATATCACACTCCATACAAACGACAGCGTTCAAGCCTGCACAATCCGGCGGCGACTTCGCGCACCTGCAGCCCGCTTGTATATTCGCATGTCGCAGGGGATCAGTTTCTCCGGCCATGCCCAAATATTCGACGCAGTTGGCCAAAGATGCCAGTTCATCGTCCCTGCCCCAATACCGTTTTCCAACAGGCCGAGATTCGAGATTCCACGCCCTGATCAGAGCTCAACTCCGCAGTCCGACTTGGGTTCAAGTTCGGCAAGTGCGAAGAATAATGGCAAGGTCAGTCTTGAAGGCTGTGGAGACAATGTCTATATCTCGCCTTATTCCGGCGCGTTGGTTTACTCCACTGCATTGAATGTTCAAGTTGTCTATTATCTTTGAATACCAAGTTAGTCGAAACACAATGGGGAACTCATGGGATGGGATCGCAGTGTTACGCTTATTTCAGGGGCTTGCTCTGTGACCAATTTCGAGTCTACTTTTCGATACTTCACCAACCGGGCCAAATGAGACTTCCATAGACTACGCGATAAATATCGACACAAATGATACAATCATTCTCATGCATACCATTCTAATGAAATAGGTCATATAAATTATATAATTTCACCAACGTCGGTCCCCGGGTAGGCGGGGGGAGCCTCGTCGTCGTCCAACACCGTTGAATCGCGGCGATGGAGCCAGGAATTCAGTACACGCACGGGCTTCGCAGACCCTCTTGAGGGTGTTATGAGCTGACTTGGTCTTCGTTCTGCCAGTGACGACGATTGCATCGAGCATGGCTGTTTGGGCTGCAGGAGATTCTCCCAGTTATATCTTGCGACAGGAGCACTCGCGGCACCTGTCAGCCCACTGGAAGCTGCCTGAGAGATATGAGAGGTGAAGGGACTAAATTTGGTGGTCAAAGGCAGGTTGCTATCCGGACGGATTTGGGCGATTCGGAATGGTACTAAGTCTGGTGGTGAGCCGATTAACAGACTTCCCGAGTTTTTCCGTAGACAGCGAATATAGAACAGCGATCCCATGAAAATCAGCAGTATGACGGTCAAAACAGCCGCAATAATGCCGCCCACCAGCTGGCCTATGTGCGATTTGGAATGACGAGTGGACGGAGGACTAGGAGCCTGAGTTGTGCTGGGGCTTAAAGTTGAGCTTGTCGACGTCGGCCCTCCACTAAATGTTACAAAAGAAGATGTAGGTTGCGGAGTGTCACCGTGACTCTGCAGCCCAATTGAAGTCACGGAAGAGGAAGTAGGTGGTTGGGTGTCATTATTCAGCCCGATTGCGGCGACAAGTACAGCGAGGGCTGTTGTCTGGTCTTTTGAGCTGAACGTTGCTGCTGCAGGTCCAATCCAATGTCCGTAAATGTTGGAATCCAAGCCCTGAGACCGCGCAAGGTCAACGACGGCATTGAACTATCAATAGTGGCTTAGCCAATCGAAACATAATAGTAACTCGAGACTTGCCTGGACAGCGAAATAATGTTTGATGTATTCTCGCAGCGGCAAAGTAGTCGCGTTGCGATCATACGCAGCGCTAAGCCCACGAGCAAGGGAGACATCGCCGCCGGAATCTATAGGACCAGCATGAATACTCACACTGAGGCCGTGAAAACAAACATACCGTGTGCTCGGTTCGAGATGATTCCATCTGCTCCTTGCCATGCTGTTGAAGTTATTGCAGCCTCAATGAGTGAGGTCAACCTGATCGCAAATTCAGATTATACTGGATGCTGACACTAGCCTGCTTACAGGCTCCGGGACGCAGAGTCCGTGGTGATGTCAACGACAATCGCCAGTGATTCAATCGCCATTCCCGAGTCATATGGCTGCAATGCCGTGGTTAATGAACACGAATCGTTGTTGCGGCCCGAAATTCCGTCCAGCATGATGTTCTGTGGATTGAGCCAGTGCGACTGCATGAACGCTATCGAGAGCTGTGCAGCAGTAAGGTATTTAGGTTCGGAGGTACTTGCAGCCAAGAGCGCGGAAAGACTATAGGAGAGTATCAAATGCATATTGAGAAAGTAAAAAGAAAGACAAAAACATTGCAAATTGCCCGGTCGACAGGCCAGCAATCGAAGAGTCAGATACCGCCGTTGTCTGCATCAGTTGTCAACGCAAGTTTCCAACAAAATAGAAAAATAAAACCCCGAAAGTCCCTCCAGCCATTGTTTCTATTTGATGGACGTAAGGATGTGATGGTTGGGACTCATATCAAGCACGTACTGCCGTGACAAGTTTTTGCCAAATCGAAGTTTTTCAGACCACTCTTTTGTCTGCCTGCGTCGATGTCGTCTTGAGAAAGGGTATATTGGTTGCTGATATTCCAGACTCCGATTGCATATTCAAGGAAAACAGGGTCTTTGTAGGTAACATAGGCTTGAGCGGCGGCATAACCGTAGTTCCTGCTCTAGTTCTCAGAATCATCTGGGTTTTAGAATCGGGGGCAGAGCTTACAGCGTGTAATGAAGCTGTTACGCCCATACTTTGTTAGTTATGGTGTGAGAATACTAGAATCGGAGTGCTGACACTGATACCAACTTGAGCAAGATGTCAATACCAAGCTGACTACGCACTCGGGGTTTACAAAGTTTGTGGATATTGTTGTTGCAAGCTGAAAGTATTGCACCAGACTATCGTGATATTGTTGGCTGCCTGTCGCGGCATCGAATGCCGCGAGCTGTGAGTAGAAGACTGCCGGAACAACATAGTCTGCGTCTGCCAGTTGATTTATTTATTCGATAACTTCAGAGACAAACCTTTGGAAACGTACCAGGAAACTGACCATTAGCTCCGACGTGCCCAATCGTGTCCTGTAGCGCCGCCCTTGCGAAGGCAATCCTGTCGGCAAGTGAGGTCGTGACATTGGGTTTCTTCGACAGGCCTGAGTCAAAATAGGGGGCATGTCTTGCGTATAACAACTTACGCGCCAGGCAGGCGAAGCATGTTGTGCCCATGAAAGTGTCAAGAATCCTGCAAGCCGCAGCAGTGTCCTCAAAAGGACTTGAGAGGGCGAACCAAACAGCATAGCGTCCAGTGCGACATCATGTGGGCTCCGTGATGTACCAACTGGGCGTCAGCAGTAGCACTTAGGGCTCGAGAAGGAACGGCTTGAGAACGTTTAGAGGACCGGGAACAGTGATGATTGTTTGGGCGCTTTTCCAAGTGATTGATGTGACTTGTGTGACTCGATGTGACTTGTGTGACGCGATTGCATTTTTATATCACCTCAAAAGCGCATACGAAAGACGATTTCCTTCCTTCTCCTCGGTCCTGTGATCCTTACTGGGCCTTCTTGTGGTCTATCAATCGCTAGCGACATTCGCAATAAGTCGTGTGTACCTCGCATATCCATTGTCGGATTGTTTGCAGTCTATTTCAAGTCGCGGACTCCTTCTCTGCGAGTCGAGTAATGAAGGTGGAGCCAATCTGCCAAAGAAGAGAAGACACCGGAGGAACAGTGCGTAGCCATAAGAAGCTATCTTACCTTCACCGGTCAGACCTGCGCGATAGTTAGGGCTGTAGACCGTACCGTATACGGCTACGGCCGTGTACGGTACGGCCTCTGACGGCGCCGGGACGGCCCCTACGCCGTACCGTAAGCCCTCGAGCTCGAGGCGCTTACGGTACGGGACGGCGCCGTCACGCCGTATTACGGTGACGGTGACGGCCAGCTAGGTCACTGGGTGTGACCTAGGCTAAAGGTGCCTCCGAGCGACCGGGCCGGGACGGGTGGCAGTGCCAAGCGCCCGCCTGGAGTGCTAGGCTGCCTCGGAGGCTAGCCAGGCCGTGTTGGCTGACCACCGACAGCGGCTGGGCCCTAGCAACGGGCATCCGGAGGTCCGATACCCGGCGGATCGACGATCTCCGGATCAAATCGCGCGCTAGCCGAGCCTTCGCCGTATACGGCGACCGTCACCGTATACGGGACGGTCATTACGGCGTCACGGCCGTCCCGTCGCCGTCCCGTACACTTGCGCACCAGGGTGCCATACGGTACGGTTACGGCGCCGTATTACGGCGTGCCGTACGCCGTAATATACGGCGACGGCCTACAGCCCTAGCGATAGTGATTGAATCTTGAATCTGACAGTCCAAATTCATACTTACTGTACGGGGAGGTATCATTGTCAAGACACTATTAGCTGAAACTTGGATTATTGCTCATTGACGAACGATGGCGAAATTCTTGCTCTGGCGGGGTCGCGTAGCCCACTACACCAACAGCTGCCATGGGTCGACCGCGTCGAGTCTTGCACAAATGACACAAGGTCGTTAGCGGGGCCATGCATGGTCAGTAAAGGCTGAGTAATTATCGATCGTACTATCATTCGACAGATACGCTGATAACTTCTTCAAGTCTTCAAGTTCTTGCCAGCTGGCACCGCTTGTAACTTGAACAGCCCATGTCGACAAGACTGTTTGTCTTAGTAGTTGTGACTTGAATTTCTTTCGAAGGTAAAGAGGGTTGTAGCACCGGTGGAGAGGCAACTAGGAAAATAGTTGAATATCACAAGCACCCAACTATCACCAGAACAGGAGTACTCGAACCAAATTACGTCCCACGTGTGCCCCGCTCCGTTGGTGGATAACCAGGTGGCTGCTCCTCCCCTGTAATCGCCACATTTCGAGACCGTAATATCTGAACAAGTTCATCTGTGGACAGCCTTGCCGCGGACACCATCAACTGCGGCCCAGCATCATTGGTCTCCAATTCCTCCATCTGTGCAACAGGTCCCCGTCGTGCGGCCAATGCACTCTTCGAAAGCGGAAATTGCGGCGCAACTGTTGCTGCTTCGACATCAAGCGGAACAGCGCGTCGCCGGTTATTTCGCTGAATGTTTCTCCTTCGCAGCCAGAGTATAGCAGCGAACATCGAGAGCAGCAGAAAGCTCGCAATAACCCCACCCGCTACTGCAGCGGAATTGGATCGGTGATTTGGGGGGCTTTGGGGCTGAGTGGAGATTGATGGGAAGGAGGTTGAGGACTGGGTGGGTGTCGGATTGCCCGAGAGGTTCATGGCGGCCGAAGTTTGAACAGGGAGGGGCAAGTCGTTGAAGGAACTTGAGCTACCCCCATCTCCATTATCGCTACCCTGCTCAACAAGGTAGTAGTCAACCCATAACGATGTCCCCGAATGATAGGTGAAATTGAAGGTGTGAGAACCAGCCGCAAGCGCAGGTGAGGTATACAGTTTCTGATTATATTGAATCTGTTGAGCAGCCGGGGCATTCTGCGGTGGTAGATCAACAGGCGGGCCGTCGTCTATCGAAACAGAAGCAGAGAGTGGAGCGTTTAAGGCGAGTGTTGCGGGGTCTGTCAAAGCAACGGCGCCATAGAGAGACAGTTGATCGCCTGAATTCAAATCAATATCCAGATTTACTCCGATGATTTGGAAACACACCTTCCAGAAAATTGTACTGGACCGTGACCGACTGGCCCGCAACTTCGGTCCAACGGCTCATATGTTGCATAAACTCGAATGTGTTTTCGGAACTCCATCGCGATGAGAACGACACTGCTGACTCGTTGTCATCGACGAACCCGGTCTGGCTCGGCCCGCGAACGTCCGTCTTGTAGATCATGTAGTCGAAGAAAAAGTTGCTCGTGGCGGGGGTGGTGTCCTCCATGACGAGAGCGTGCTGCCCATGTGGCAACGGGCCAGAGTCCCAGACTGCGCGATGGAATGGTGGATCCGCCGACTCGGGATATGCTGCAGGTTGTTGGGTCCCGTTAATGGTAAACTGCAAGAACGCCGTGTCGCTGCCGAAAAGGGTCCCGAAGATGGTAATTTGCGTGCCTTGCAAATGTCCTGTTAGAGTGCAACAAGTCAAGAAAGCGTGTTACACACCCGTGAAGGTAAACGACGCAGTCGACCCACTCCTCACACCATGCGAAGTGGTCCTGTTGAACTCTTGCGGATCGCCTCGCGGATTTCCGTCGCTGCCGGTGGTGGACCAGGCGGGTTTGTAGATAATTGAAGGGTCTTGGTCGTCAACGATGATATTCATACCCAGCCAGGGGATAGGGAAAAAGGAAGGGAGCATTTGCGCAACTTGAAGTTATACCTGCCTTGGAGAGTTCCCCTTCCTCCGCACTCAGACTGTGCAGCGGCTTGCCATGTCAACGCAGCCAAAAATTATTCCATAGCCCTTGGGTTGAGCACGGTGGGGATGGCGCATTTTTTCGTCCCGAACAGGTGAAAGTGAGTCAAGAGTCGAGATTGATGCCATCACCGAGGTTCCCGGTCTGTTGACCACACTCAAGGTCAGGTCTCTTCAGAAGAAGCCATTGGCACTTGCAAAACTTGCACAATACTCCACAACATCAAGTACGATCAAACAACCCGCTGCGGTCGCGTTTAGTATGGTTTATAATTAATCTCTAGTGAACTCAAACAGTTACTACTCTTTACTACTACTTAGCTACACGAGTGTTATTCCACATATGTACATTCACTGGCCATATAAATTATACCATTTCTGTCCCAGGGTAGCCAGGGGGGTCCTCGTCGTCGTCAAACACCGTTGAATCACGGCGCTGGTACTGGGAATGAAGTATCCGCATACGTCCATCAGTCGGGAGTGCTGACCCTCTTGAGGCTGGGATAGCCGTGGGATAACCATAGACTCGTTCTGCCTGATCGGACAGCCATTGCCTCGTGCGTGGTTGTTCGAGTTGCGGGGGCTTCTCCCAGTCCCACTGGCCATATTTTGCGATGTCGGGAGCGTTAGTGGTATCCGTCAGCACGCTGGAAGCGGTCTGGGAGATAGGCGAGGTAGAGGGATTGATTTCGATGGTCGAACGCAAGTTGATACCGGGGCGGATTTGGACCGAGAGTACATCTGGCCGCGAGCTGATCGATGCCCTTCTCGAGTTCTTCCGCAGACGGCGAATATACAGCAGCGATCCCATGCAAATCAGCAGTATGACCGTCAAAACGGCTGCAATAATTCCCCCCACCAGTTGGCCCATGTGCGAGTTAGAATGACCGGCGGACGGAGGACTCGGACTAAGAGTTGTGCTGGGGCTGAAGGTCGAGCCTGTCGATGTCAGCCCTCCACCAAAAGTTACAGCCTGAGAAGAGGACGCAGGTTTCTGTGTGTCATTTTGCAGCCCCATTGCAGCGACAAGTACTGCGAGAGCTGTTGTCTGGTCTTTGGAGCTAAATGCTGTTGCTGCAGGCCCAACCCAATGTCCGTAAATGTTTTCATCCAAGCCCTGAGACCGCGCAAGGTCAACGACGGCATTGTACTATCAATATTGGGCTTAGCCAATCGAAACATTAGTAGTAAATGGCGGACTTGCCTGGACAGCGAGATAACCTTTGATGTATTCCCGCAGCGGCAAAGTGGTCACGTTGCGGCTATATGCAGCGCTGAGCCCACGAATGATTGAGACATCGCCGCCAGAACCTATAGGACCAGTGTGAATGCCCACAATGAGGACATGAAAGCAAACATACCGTGCGCTTGGTTCGAGATGATTCCATCTGCTTTTTGCCATGCTGTTGAAGTTATTGCAGCCTCAATGAGCGAGGTCAACCTGATTGCAAATTCAGATTGTTATGAATCCCGACACGAGCATGCTTACAAGCTCCGGGACAAAGAGTCCTTGGTGATGTCAACGACAATCGCCAGTGCTTCAATCGCCATACCCGAGTCATAGGGCTGCAATGCCGTGGTTAATGAACACGAATCGTTGTTGCGGCCGGAGATCCCGTCAAGCATGATGTTCTGTGGATTGAGCCAGTGCGACTGCATGAACGCTATCGAGAGCTGTGCAGCAGCGAGGTATTCAGGTTCCGAGGTACTTGCAGCCAACAGCGCGGAAAGACTATGAGAGTATCAAATGCATATTCAGGAAGTAGAAAGAAAAGACCAACATTGCAAACTGCCCGGTCGACAGGCCAGCAATTGAAGGGTCAGATACCGCCGTTATCTATGGCATCAATTGTCAACGCAAGTTTCCAACAAAATAGAAAAATAAAACCCCGAAAGTCCCTCCAGCCATTGTTTCTGTTTGGCGGACGTAAGCATTCGATCAGTGGGACTCGTATCAAGCACGTACTGCCATGACAGGTTTGTGCTAAATCGAAGTTTTTCAGACCACTCTTTTGTCTGCCTGCGTCGATGTCGGCTTGAGAAAGAGTATATTGGTTGCTGATATTCCAGACTCCGATTGCGTATTCAAGGAAAACAGGGTCCTTGTAGGTAACATAGGCTTGAACGGCAGCATAACCGTAGTTCCTGCACTAGTTCTCAGAATCATCTGGGTCCAAGAATCAAGGGTGGTGCTTACAGCGTGTCATGTAGCTGTTACGCCCACAGCCGTTAATGACGGTGCGAAGATACTAGAATCGGAGGACTGACACTGATTCTGACTTGAGCGAGAGGTTAATACCAGATTGACCACGCACTCGGAGTTTGAAAAGTTTGCATGTATCATTGTTGCGTTCTGAAAGTACTGCACCAGACTATCGCGATATTGTTGGCTGCCTGTCGCAGCATCGAATGCCGCGAGCTGTGAGTAGAAGATCGCAGGAACAACATAGTCTGCGGCGTCTGGATTGATGCATTCAATAATTCGGGTGAGGAAACCTATGTAAACGTACCTGGAAACTGACCATTGGCTCCGATGTGCACAATAGTTTCCTGTAGCGCCGCTCTTGCAAAAGCGGTCCTGGCAGCGGCGGAGGTCGTTATATTTGCTTTCTTCAAAAGGTCTGAGCCAGAGGAGGGAGGACGTCTTGGCGCGACTTACACGCCAGGTAGGCAAAGCGAGTTGTGCCCATGACAGTGTAAAGTATCCTGCGAGCAGCAGTGCTCTCGAAAGGGGAGGGGGGAGCGAAACAAACAGCATAGCGCCTTGCCACGTTGAACTTGCATTGATATGAGCCCCATAATACACCTAGCTGAGACAGCAGTTGCTGAAACTTGAGAAGAGGGAACGCTGATGTCACGCCGTGATCTTGGAAAATCTTGTGTAATTACCTCAGTTGCGTCGCGGTTAGGCGCTTTCCTTCCATTCTCCTCAGTTCTCTGTGAGCAAGATCGGGTTCTGTCGTGGTATAAGTAACTCCCGTTCACGAGCAGCGTTTCCAAGTAAGAATATGTGGAAGTACAAGTCGTACTTAATCCGAGTCCCGATCACAGACTTTTCTTCGAATTGATGAAGAGGTTCGAGCAAATCTGCCAGATGGAGAGGATGAGCACTGCCAAACAGCGAATCATCATAGCGCATATATTGTTCAAGTTGTCAAGCCGTTCTTACAGTAACATTACATTAGTACGGGACAAACTTGAACAACGCTCAACTTCTCACTGTCAGGCACTTCAGCCTCTCACGTAGTCCACTATTAGGGGACGCGCAGCCACAGAGTCGACTATGGCGTCGAATTTTCCAAAAATGACACCAGGTCGTGAGGGGCACTGCATAGTATCGACCGAACAAACTCGAACAGCAAATGCCGAGACAGCGCTGCTTGTCTGAGTTTTGACCGGGATTTCTTCAAGAAGGTAAAGAGGGCTGCCACCGGTGGAGAGGCAAGTTGAATAGCATGAGAGGCCAACTATCACCAGGACAGGTACTCAAACCAAATTACGTCTCACGTGTGCCCCGCTCCGTTGGTGGATAATCAGGTGGCTGCTCCTCCCCCCCGCAATCACCACATTACCCCCAAGTCGAGACCGTAAGATCCTAACAAGCTCATCTGTGGGCAACGCCGCTGCGGACACCATCGGCTCCGGCCCTGCATCGTTAGTCTCTGAATTCTCCACCCGCGCAACAGGCAAGTCAACTGTCGTTTCCCGTCCTGCGGCCAATGCTCTCTTCGATAGCGGAAACTGCGCAGTGACTGTGGCTGCTTCAACGTCAAGTGGAACAGCGCGTCGTTGGTTTATACGCTGAATGTTTCTCCTTCGTAGCCAGAATATGGCACCCGATATTAAGAGCAACAGAAGGCTCGCAACGACCCCGCCTACTATTGCGCCAGGGTTAGACAGGTGATTTGAAGAGCTGTGGATAGACGAGTTCATACTGAGGCCAGTGGGGGACGAAGTTGTCCCACTTGTCCCGCCTCCACTATCGCTGCTAAAACTTGAGCTAGGCTCAACAAGGAAGTAGTCCACCCCCAACGGCGTCCCCGAATTGTAGGAGAAGTTGAATGTGTGCAGACCAGCGGTCAACGCGGGCGAGGTATACAACTTCTGATTGAATATTGTCTGATGAAGAGGTGGGGCGTTTTGCGGTGGTAGGTTGAGTGGTGGGGCGCTGTCTATGGAGACAGAAACAGAGAGGGGAGCGTTGACGGCAAGTGTTGTATCCGCGGAAGAGAGCGCACCAAAGAGGGACAATTTGTCGCCTCAAAAAAAATCAAATCAATGGAATGTAAAAGGTAAATTTGCAGACACACCATCCATGAAGTTGTACTGGACTGTGACCGACTCGCCCGCCTGTCCGGTATAACTGCTTGTTTCCTGCATAAAATCGAATGTGTTGTTGTGGCGCCATTCAGACGAGAACACCACTGCCGACTCGTCATCATCAATCAACACGGTTTGGCCTAGTTCGCGCGCATTCGTCTTGTAGATTATGTAGTCGAAGAAAAAGTCGCTCGTGTCGGGAATGGTGTCCTCCATGACGAGAATATGTTGCCCATCTGACAACGAGCCAGAATCCCAAACTAGGCGATGGAAGGGCGGATTCACCACCTCTGGAAATGCTGAATCCTGCCGAATTCCGTCGAGGGTGAACTGCAAGAAGGCGTCGGAGGTGACCTGGTCTACAACTAGGAGGGACCCAAAAATGGTTATTTGTGTGCCTTGCAACTTTTCTGTCAAACTACAACGGGTCACAGAAGAGGGTTACACACCTATGAAGGTAAACGACACAGTCGTATCCTCTTGCACACTGTGCGAAGTGGTCCCCATGAACTCTTGCGGATTACCTCGAGGGCTTCCGTCGTTGCCCTTGGTGCTCCAGGCCGGTGTGTAGTGGAGGGAAGGGTCTTGGTCGTCAACGATGATGTTCATGGCCAGCCAGGGGATCAAAAAAGAACAGAGCGTTTGCGCGAGTTATAGGTGGATAGTTCCCATTCCTCCGCACTCAGACTGCGCAGCGGCTCTCCATGTCAACGCGGCCAAAATAATTTCATAGCCATTGGTTTGAGCAGGGTGGCTTAGGCTGCCGCAGTTTTGTCCTCCCTATCATCCAGTGGTGGTCTTGAGAAGAGCTTTGTGATGCGATCAACTTGAATAACAACAGACAACAACGATAACATTCAAATTGTCTGACGGCCAGGCCAGTCTACTTATATAGATAACGGCATCACCGCACGTTCGGGTCCTGTGGGATTCATGCGGTATGTACCACCTCGCAGTACATAATAATAATAAGACTAGGGTTAGTACAAGTCAGGATCGAAATTTAAAACTCGACTGGAAACTCTCAAGAAGCTCTCGCGCCTTGCTCACCCATGCCCTCCGGATAACTTGGCGGTTCTTCCTGCTCATCAAGCACCACATTCTGCAGTCGAGAGTTCAATATCCGAACCAACTCTTCCGTTGGCAACGATGATCCAGCCACGTTCAAGGCTTCCTCTGGGTCCTGTACCCTTGAGTGAAATGTTGTCTGGCGCTCCCCAGCTAAGGCACGCTTCGACCGAAATCTCGACATTGGCTCAACTGTCCCAAGGTCTAGTGGAACTGGGCGTAGCTGTCTCATCCGCCAAGCATGTCTTCTTTGAAGCCAGAGTATGACCCAAATGCATATAAGAAGGACGACAATGCTGCCAACAGCACCGAACACCGGCGCGAGCGGCACAGCATGAGAATCATGACGTGCTGGAGATGAAACCGGAGCAGTTGTGGGTGCTTCACGCAATGAAGTCCGAGTCGGCAGTATGTTTGTGGACACGCTGATCCGAGTCAAGCTCGTAGCAAGACCTGGATGACCTAAACTTGAGCTCGCCACATCCGTTATAGAGCCCAGGTTGGATCCACCTTGCGAAGAGCCTCCAGAACTCGTGTCCGCCGGTGGCCCTGCTTCGACAAGAAAGTAATCCACTCCCAGGGGTGTGCCCGCATTGTAAGTGAATTTGAATGTGTGCGTACCTGCAGTCAACGGCGGTGAGAAATATAGTTTTTGGTTTACTATCATTTGACCAGGCGGTGGTGCATTCTGGGAGGGCAAGTAGACAGGTTGGCCGTCATCAAACCAGACTGACGCTGAGAGCGAACCCTGCGAGGCAAATTGCTGATCTTGAGAACCAAGAGTGCCAAAGAGAGACAGGATATCACCTAATAAATCCAAGGCTGATGGTCAATATAGCAGACTTATCTGCTGCGTGAGTTTACACACCATCCTGAAATTCATATTTGACCGTGACCCATCCACCCGCCTGCCCAGTATACCTGCTCGTCTGCTGCATAAACAGGGGCGTGTTGTCCAGACGCCACTGGGTCGCCGAAAAAACCACATTTGTAGTATCAGCATCGTCAATGAGCCCAGTGGTGCTCGTGCGCCGGGCGTCCGTTTCATAGATGATGTAGTCAAAGTACAGGCTGCTCTGACTGGGAGAGTTACCCTTCATCACGAGCGTATGCTGTCCGTTGGTCAACGCGTCCGAGATAAACACCGGGCGGTGAAAGAAGGGCGGCGAGTCAGATGCGCTGGTTGTGGTAGGCAGTATTGGCAGGACACGGCCGTCAATACCACATTCGACGAATAAGTCCGAGCTATTGATGCTGGCGAGCGTGGCGAAGACCGTAATTTGCGTGCCTTCCGGTCTATCTTGAGCAAAAGTGATTCTCGTTATGGAAATTGACACGCACCAGTGAATGTGAACGACGCAGTGGCACCCTGCACGGGCTGCGAAGTGGTACCCGCATACTCTTCTGGCCGGCCAAGTGGATGCCCATCTTCTGGCCAGTGTGTGCTCCAGGCGGGTGAGCTTGAATAGAAGATAGACAAGTCCCGGTCATCAACGATGACCTTCATGCCAGGCTACGAGTTGTTGGAAAACTAGAGCGGAGTGGCCAGCAAGAGCATTGAGATTTGAGCCATGACAGCTTTTCTGTTCCTTCGAGTCTTTTCCTCGCAAGATTGACTGTTGGTCGTCAACCGCAGCCCATTGCGCGCGGGAAAGCAACTTACGACCGCATAGGTATCCCAATTCAAGTTCCCTATCATGGTAGTGGTTTTGAAGGACCCCCGAAAATAGACCCAAAGGTGAGAAGTTCGGACAAATTTGGGTCCAGGTTGATGTCTGTTGATGTCACGAGGTCCGGCCAACATTCGGACATTGGGGAGCCGAGCGATGAAAAGGTCAGACAGCAGAGTTCGGACATGGTTGCGAGAGACAGCCGAAAGTTTGACTGAAATCCGACTGTTATGGGCAAGTGAGGAGGGTGGAAATAAGTTTATCAATGATAGCCTGAGCTCTATAGCCTTCACTGTTTTATGTAAGTAGACGAGATTTTCTTGCGTGTAGTTCGAACAAAATCGTGCCGGGCCGGAGGTGCATTATTCGGACGCATCGATTCCAAGTTCGGACAAAAATATCGGGCCGTGATTTTCTGGGCTTATTTTCAGGGAGTCCTGGTTTTTTGAGTCATGATGCTTCAGATCATGACCAAAAGCTACTAGCTACTGATTTCTACTCAAGCGGACACCGCCCAACAGTATCGACGTAATTGCCGAACCTAAGGTTTGGCTCTATAGAATCATGTTGAAACCAGCCCCCCCATATCGGGAATGGCTGTGCATTTCTATAACCCTTTTGGGATGAGCCACGTCATATCACGTGGTGCTGGCCAGGTCTTCCCTGGCTTATTATGTAAGGTTCGGCACCTGCCGCTTGCGGCCTTATCCCTCCTCATAAGTAGTTCAAAGTTGGTTAACTCTAGAGCTCGTAAACTGATGTTGCAACGACTCAACTCAGGTTGGTGTTCGAGAGTCGGAATCAGATCTGCCTTATCGACTCCCAACTTGTGTAGGCGGGTAGCTCGGCGGGTCCTCCTCTCCAACTTGGAACGCCGCGTTGCTCTGCAGTCGCGTGTTCAATATCCGGACCAACTCTTCCGTCGGAACTTGAACAGCAAATGCTGACAATGCTGTTTGTCCCAGCCGTGTTTCTTCTGTTGAAGGTATAGACGACTGCGGCGTCCTTGGAGAGGCAACTCGCTCTCCAGTCAACGCGCTTTTCGACAAATGCGAATGCGGAGTTGCTGTCGCTATCTCCACGTCAAGCGGAGTCGCGCGTTGTTGGTTGACACGTCTTGCGTGTCTCCTTCGCAGCCACATTATGAGGCCTATGGCCAGTAAGAGCAGCAAAATTCCTCCCAGAACACCACCCACAATTGCTCCGGTATGTGATGTGTAATTTCCAGTCGCTGAGGAAGGAGACGGAATTGCAGTACTCGTACCCGGAACACCCCAAGTCAAGCCAGTGGTAGGACTCTGAGTTATAGAAACCGGAAATGCACTCTTGGAGTTGGAGGCTTTCACCGGTCCCGACCCGGGTTCGATGAGAAAGTAGTCAACGCAGAGTGGCGTGCCAGATCGATACGAGAAGTTGAATGTGTGTTGACCAGCTGCTAACGGAGAGGAAGTGTATAATTTCTGGTTGAACAGAGTTTGGCCCGAAGATGGTGCATTTTGCGACGATAACGTCACTGGACCTGCTCCGTCTATCGAGACGGACGCAGAGAGCGGTAACGCGGAGGAAAACTGGGGATCGGCAGCCGTGAGCGGGCCAAATAGTACAAGCTTGTCGCCTGAGAAAAAAAAAAGAAATGTCAATATATCTTCGAACGAAATAAACTGTGGGGACACACCATCCAGAAAGTTATACGAGACAGTGAAGGAGCTCCCAGCCTGCCCAGTATAATGGACTCCGTGCTGCATAAAGTCCAGCGTGTTGTTCTGGCTCCACGACCCCAAGAACAACACGCTTGGATCAGCATCATCGACAAATCCAGTTTGCCCTTGTCCACGAGCATTCGTCTCGTATATCATGTAGTCGAAGAAAAATACGCTTGGTCCAGTGGTGACATCCTGCATAACGAGGGTGTACTGTCCGTCAGCCAAGGGACCTGAGTCAAACGCTGGGTTGTGGAAGACAGGACTGGAGTCGGATACGTTGGGTAGGAGTATGCGTTGTAGACGGCCATCAATACCGATTTCAAGGTCTCCTTGGGGGAGACCAGCCACTGCCGCGAAGACCGTAATCCGTGTGCCTGTTATTCCTATCAATGGTCGTTCAAAGAGTAAAAACAGCGCACCAGTGAAGGCAAACGAAGCACTATTGGTACTACTCTGGATTGGCTGCGACGTGGTCCCCTCAAACTCCTGTTGTCGACTGCGCGGCAGTCCGTCGTTGCCTTGGGTGTTCCACACTGGTGTATAGGTGATACTGGGGTCGCGGTCGTCAACGATGATCTTCATGCCAACTCGACTCGGAAATGCCGCAGGGGCAAAAAGGTAGCCGACAGGACACGGGAAAGAGTGGGGTTCGCCCGAGAAGCCTCATTCGAGCTATACATAGCTCTCATGAAAGCAATCATGCTGTTCGCTCAGATGTAGATGGACAGCATTGGGCTTGGCTCGGTCAAACTGTTCTCTGTCAGTGGAAATCGGTGGAAAGTAAGCCTAGCAGTATACCATGACAGGAAACAATACCGAATTCGAGGAAAGCTTTTGAGGTGATCACGACTCGGAAATGCACAATGCAGAGAGAGACTGTCGATCGTCGGATCATGGTCGGCTCTTCGTCACGGTCAGCCGTTCGTAGTTTGCGTTACATAACTTTCAATGAAAATATACGTCGGTTTTGGGTCGAATAGGCATGTCATTTGCTTACTAGGGCTTGTTTGAAGCCGTTGTGGTCTTCCTACCGATCGCGAAGACAGATAGCATCTTAAAGGACTCCCAATTGAATCAAAAAATCATTTCAAGTTGTTCAGGAGTGGCGGTACATGGTCATACTAAGTATGTCTTTGAATCTATGTACCTCAGCCCTTTGCTATGCTACAGAGGCGCCGTTAACACTCGATGAGCGTTTCTCCGAGAGAGCTACTACTCACCGAGAAAGACCGGCAGCATCTCCGTTGAACAGATCCTGGTCGCCCGGATTCGAACCCGAATCGGCATACTGCCAGAAGGTGGTGAAGCTGGATCGCCATTGAGTCAGATCTGCGTCGGAAGCAACAAGACAATATACCTCCAGCCAGCGGGCAGGGTCCCAATGGCTGAGGCGTAGCGTGCGATCCAGAGCGGGTTGTTGGCGGCGAAGGCGGCGCTGTTACCCGTGCACGTCGTCCACCAGTCCGTAGTGGTATAGATAACTGGGAAGCTGGAAGCAATTGGCATCATGAAGGCCCAAAATATCAGACTTGCCGAGTCGTCGCAGAGTGGTAGGTCGTGGAGAAGTCTTGAATCCAAGAAACCATCGAGGCGGCGCTGAGGCCATAACATTCGGCCCCGTTTGGGTTGTCTAGTTGGACACTGATGAAAAACAGTCAAGTCCGACTCGGATTGACAACGAACATTCGATATCCAATGCGCCAGGAAGCGTGATTCCATCTCCACTCCAACCACCTACAGCTTTTAGTCGAACTCCGAGCGGTGGTCTTTGATCAGACCTCCGTGTGCAAGGAAGAATTTGGCCTGCGTTGCCCCGGAGCTGCTATCCGGATGCGCGAAGTGATAGGCACCACGGATGAGACCGGCGTTAGTCGCTCCGGTGTACTGGGAGGAAAAAGTTGAGCTTATGAACGCTACGGAACGACGTAAGTCAGTAGATGCAATACACTAACAGCAATGACATACTCGTGCCCTCTGTGGCTTTGATGTAAGCAAAAGACACTCCATTTGCCTTAACGGTTGCCCAGTTGACGCTTGGCTGGAACCCCGAGACATCTATGCCCTGTGGCTGAGCACGTTTGGAGTTTTCGATATCGCGAAAGACAACATCGACAGCAACCGCGTCACAAAGACGCGCGAAAGCCGTGAAAATGGTTACAAGTGGTAGAAGAGTTTTCATGGTATGCTCTAACCAGTGTAGCACCCCGCTGACGAGTCTTTTTATACCGCAACTGTGCAGCGCGTGTCCAAAGGCCAACGCACAAGGCGCACCTGTCCATCATTCAGAATGAGAGACGACGATAGGTTGTTGGGTTGGAGTAATGCAAGCGCGACAGCGAAGCTGGGGCAGGAGATAAGATTGCACATGCGCAGCGTGGTGTTGCAGCAGTATTGAATGCAAGTGGGGCTTGTTTTGGGACAGAGAACAACGTTTGAGGGCGGAGCACTGTTGACGAATGTGCAAGGTTGCCGAAATCTCTCCGGACCGTGCTTCCGAGCCGTCAGCGGACTGTCGAGGAAGATTTGCGGAGCCTGATGTTACTGTTACGGGCGTTGTGCAGGAGTCAGAGATGACGTTCGGAATACAGGACGACAAGAGGAATATAGCACGTGACACCAATTGATGGCCTACCCACGAACTCCAGCCTTCCTCCACTTCAGCACAGCGCACAGCAAGCACTGGCAGCGAATAGGCCCCGATGGCTTGAAGGAAACCTTACTATACCTGACAAGGGCTGTTGCGCGCGATGGTGATGATTTTCATTTCAAAAAAAGATTCCTTGGCCTATGCTCTGCCTGAGGATAGTGAGTGTGTCCCGTTGTCCTAATGCCTTACAAGTTACATCGAGCTGACATCCTCCTTAGGAGCTACTTGTATACTCTATATCTATTCTACTTCTTCAAGTTCTTCCCCATCTTCGATGGTCAACCGTCCCAAGCCTGATGACAATCTGCTCTCAACCGTCGGCGGCTCCGCTGACCGCGCCCGTGTTCGCGGTGAACTAGAGGGACTTGAGGAAGCCGCACTACCGAGGAGTGGACTGGCGATGGGGTCCAATGTATTCGACTTCAACTTGAGCTTTCGCGAAAGCGATATGGTGCGCATCAGCTTCCTTCCATTATGATTCGGCAACCCGTCGTCGACTTGTACCTCCAGGCGTAAATCCGGCACAGAAGCAGCTACGGGTAAACCTGGACTACCCAGTCCAGCCCGCTGAGAGATAATTGGAGGCAGTATAACGACCTGCTCGTCGAAATCCATTGGAGGGACCACAATCTCGAAGGTGGACGATGTGAATGATTTGCAGAGGGCCTCAAACAGTTTGCGGGAGGCGTCTGCGTCAAATGTACCTGTTTGCATTGCGTTTACGAGGGTGCTGAGCTTTTGCGAGATGGTGGGAACCTAGTGCATATGGTGAGCAAGCACGTCGAAGTAAAGAAACCGTGACTGACGTTGGCAGCCAAATGCCGCATCATAAGGGCGCAGTCCTGAACGTCTTGTCGAAAAGCGTCTTGTGCGTCGGAATGAGAGCTACTTTCGAATTCGCAAGCATTGGGAAGGTCGGCAAAATAGTATCGGACAGGGTAACGGGTGCGGTCAAAAGATTCGACGGAAGCTGAGCTGCCTGATGCTGTCTCTGGCCCCAGGTCAACCATGTAGCTCCCCAACTCACGACAACCCAGCAAAGCAATATTATGTTCGTGCAAGAATGTCAGTCCCTCCAACACCTGGCGGAAGAAGTCGACATAATTGGCAACGTTATGCAAGGGGGGTTTGTTGAACTCGAGAAGCCGTTGAAGACAGATGAACACATATTCGTCGCGAGGGATAGCGCAAATAATGTGGGGAGTAGGGTTCCATGGATCGTGCCGCAGCTCGCGTTGGTTCAAACGGAGAAGAATAAGGAGTTCAGGCGAGGTTCGATGCAGGCGCTTAATCAGCATCGAGTCGTTGGCTTCTGGCGAGGATGCTTCGACAGCAACAGTATTGCGCGTCTCGCTCAGTGGAAAAGGCTCTTCCGCCAAAAGGTCGTCGATGAGCTGGTCAAAGTCGCTGTTTGCTGTTCGCTAGTCATCACACAGAAAAACGACCACGCACATATCATAAATTACATCTGAATTCGCGGATGTTGAGCTTTCCCCCGAATCTGAATCTCGTCGCGCGGGGACACGCTGCAGTGGGTGACCCTGTAATATCTCAATATCGTCCAGGGTCGCATCGCTTTCGTCAGAGTCATCTGACTGGTTGGGCGAGGCCGAAATGGGCTGGTCAAGAATCGACATCATGGAGCGGAAAGAAGAATTCGCAAATCGGTCAACTACAGGGGTACTCTCGCTTTGTCATCCTATCACAGCTTTTCTTTGAACCACTCAACGCAGGCTCTGAACGCCCCTTCCTTTCCTTCTTTCACTTTAGCGTCGTTGATGTCCCCACGCACCGCAAATCCGTGCCTACAACCCGCGAACCACTCCCGTCTGTATCCCGACACGAATCTCAGGAAGATTTCGTCGGCCATCTTGCACGCTTCGTCAGGAAACGCGGGGTCCACTTCACAACTGTTGATGAGCAATGGGGCTGTGGATGTTGACGCGTATTTTTCGAGATCGGCTGGGTAGGCAATACGCCCTGGATGCGTGATGGCGGACGCGGAGATGTAGTTCCTCATCGCCAGGTCGAATGTTGGGCGGGCTGATAATATTTGGAGCTCAAATTATTGAGGAAAGCGGCGGAGACGCACCACCAAAGCAGTATCCTGTAGCAGCAATCTTCGTTATTCCACGCGCTTGGAGAGCTTTGACGACTCTTTCGACAATGGGCAGCACTTTCTCTGGAGAATGAGCTGCAAACCATCGTTCCCGGTCGAACGAAGGATTCTACACGCGGATTTGGTCAAAAGGATGAGGGAAAGATCAGCGCACCAGACGATGAGTGACCGTGTCCAACGCGTCAGCAGGCACAGGATCACCTTCGAACATGTCTGGCATGACCGTCTACAACGCGATTTCTGTCAGCGTTCGTTTCTCGATCTAACGTTGTAGAGAATGTCGTACATAAAAACCGTTGCGAGCGAAGTCATCGACGAGGAGCTGTCCGTGTTCACCAGCTATTCCAGTTCCTGAACACGAAATTACCTTGTTGTTCTGCAACTCTAGATCTGATCCGAACACGTCTGTCAGAAACAACACCACTTGGTTTGGTGCGTATTCTTCGCCTGGCACAGAAACATAGCATTCAACATCAGCGAATTGTTCGAGATGACCTTGAGATCTAGCTTAAAACTCAACAACTTTGCATTATATTGACTGACCTTCTGGCGTGCCTTCATGGCGAACACCTTTGAAGCAATTCTCGCAATGGCTCCCAGTCATGCTAGACAGGAAGGCTCCCTTGTCGACTCGATTTATACATGCGCTTCTGATTTAGAGTGCGGAAAAGTTCCGTTCGGTATCAACCGGAGCCACATCGTGAACCGCCTTGCTGAGAAATATCTTTTGCGTCAGCATAATCGCACTTGCATGCGCCATCTTAAATATGTCGTCGTCATCCATATCGTGAAGAAGAAAACACTTCTGCGTAAGTTAGTTAGTTTATGGCGAGTAAATACGACCTAAAATACTGGGTTTTATCTTAGAGCTTGGCTTTAACGCCCAGTTCACCCCGTTCTGCCTCTTGCTTAGCCACCTCTCTCAACTCTTTCCTCAAAATCTTCCCCGCAGCACTCTTCGGGATGGCGTCTACCACCGCAACTCCACCGCGCAAAAACTTGTGTTTGGCGACCTTGCTCTCCATCCACTTCTGCACGCTCTTGGAAAACGCAGCAGTTTTAGCTGGGGTATTGACTTTGGTGGGGTTTGCATGGACGACATAGGCCCGAGGCAGCTCTGTCGCTTCTGAGACGCTGTTTACACCAATCACAGCAGCATCAGCGATGTCAGGGTGGGTTAACAGGATCGCTTCAAGTTCAGCAGGAGGGACTTGTAAACGGGATTAGCATAGAAAGACGTAAGAGACAAAAAGAACGAAGACACACCCTGGAATCCCTTGTACTTGATCAACTCCTTCTTCCGATCCACAATGAAATAATACCCATCTTTGTCCCGGATTGCAATATCCCCGGTCTTGAACCACTTGTCGGGCGTGATTGAGTTATTTGTGGCGGTGGGGTTGTTGAGATAGCCTTTCATGACTGTCTTGCCGCGAATCCAAAGCTCTCCACGCTTGCCAACCTCGGCATCCACCACCTCATCGCCCTCGTCGTCCGCCACAAGTCGGGCCTCAAGAGTTGCCAGAAGTTGCCCGATGCTGCCCACATGTTGCTCGCATACTTTAAAGTCGAGTGTGTGGGTAGAAGGCGACGTTTCGGTGAGTCCGTAGCCTTGGGTGATGAGGCACTTTGACCCCTTCTTCCTTTTGGAGAGTAATCGTTTCTGAACCATTCGCATTAGGTCGGCCCCTAGCGGCGCTGCACCGGACAGCAGATACTCAAGCGATGACAAGTCGTATTGGTCGACAGCAGGATGTCTGGCCAAGACAACGAGGACAGGGGGGACAAGGAGCACATATCCAACCGTATAGCGCTCAATATTGCGGCAGAATTCGACGGGTTCGAAGCGCGTTTGAATGACGGCGGTGGCCCCGACAGAAAGAGCGCCGTTTAGCACGTTGGTAATGCCGTAGATGTGGTAGAACGGAAGGATAGCGAGAAGGGTTTGTTCGGGTCGCAAGGGGGGGAAACTCCCTGTCCGTGATGTCCATGAGTGTAGTAATGTTCTGGTGGGTGGTTTCGACGCCCTACGAGGAGGTTCGGAACACAGTCGGAAAAAGAGTATTTTTTCAAGACGAACCTTTGGCTTTCCCGTTGTCCCAGAGCTGTAACACAGGAGCGCCGTCTCCTTATCGGCCACACCGTCAAATGACTCCTCCTTTTCCAGCGTCCCAAGACCAAGTAAGTCCACGAGGTTGAGATGGTCGGGCCGTGGTGAAGCGGGGCCCCCAGCCCAAGAGAGGTCGTCAGGAACGACAACAATACGCTTGCCCGCTTCAGCGGAGGATAAACCAAGTTGCTTGGTCAACATCTCCAGCACGACTGGAACCAACTCCTGCGCCGCTAGAATGAGTTTTGCCCCACTGTCTGTATACTGGTGTGCGAGCTCGGGTGGAGTATAAGCACTGTTGGCGAGCGTGCATCGTAGGCCAGCAGCAAGACCTGTTTCTTATGAGTAAGATGACGTGGAAAAAAAGGCAAAAAAGCGCACTTCCATGGAGCAAGACCGGCCACGCGAGGGAATTGGGAGAGAAGATCAGCACTGTATCGCCACGCTTCGCGAAGACACTGGTCGTAGGGTGCTCTTTGAGACCATACGCCAGGGACAGGCAAAGGTGCTTGAGTTGTCCCCGGGTAATGGTCGTGCCGGTCCGGCCGTCGATGAAGGCTTTGGCACTGGCGGGGTGCCGGCCAACGTCGGTTGAGCCCGGTCTACTACCGAGTAGATGGGTAAAAAAGCTGTGGTTCACAAATGGAACTGCAGGGGCCGGGGAGGTGTAAATGCGGGGGCGGGGGCATGGCGGGAAGAAGGAAGAGCGACAAGCCTAAGCGGGATTGGCGCATCTGCGCTTCATAAGTATGTCAAATGTCGATCAATGATCGGATCTTGAACCGGACAGCGGGTGAGACAAATTTTTTCTTGGTCAGTCAACATAACCCATGACCGGACGAGGAACGGAAGGACCTTTTCGTAGCAAATACGGGCACTTTAGCTGACATGCAATTGATACAGAGAGCAAAACAACACCTTGAACTTGCCTTGAACCCTACACCATCTCCGGGTAAAACATTGATCCTTTGTGATGCGTGCACAAGCGACCGGCTACTTACGACCGGATAACAGTGTAAGTGGCGCCGGCTCGATAATCATAATGAGGCTGCTGCTGCCGTCTTGAAGATATTTGAATTGGCAAAGCCTGCAGGCAGCAATCCGATGAACTCTTATATTGCTCAGGATCATCGTCTCAAAATCTAGGGACCTATGCCGTAGGGATTCCTAAGAGATGTACTTTAGTATGAAAGTGAACCATAATCCTCTGTTTGTATTCAAGTTGTGAGGTCTTGCAGTGATCACGCATGCAATCAGTTCAATTGATGTGTTGATGGGAGCGCTGATGGCAGTCGCTATGCTGCTACGACGGGAGGAGGAGCTTCGAAATGAAGTAGCGCAAAATGGTCGGGGGATGAGAAGCAAGCGTGGAGGAGAAAGCGCAAGTAATCATATTCTTACTGCTTCAAAGGATTTCCATGGCCGCCTGGCGAAATGGCATCGCGTCTGACTACGATTTGCTGTCCCGCGACGTAAATTTGGCATCAGGAGATTGTAGGTTCGACCCCTACGGTGGTCACGTGCTTTTTGATTTTTTTGGAGGCCTAAACATGCTAATATTACATTAAAAAACCCGCCAAGTTGTGTTCTGGCGCTAAACACATTTTGACAGTTTATAGGGGTTTGTGACAGTGTCACACAGTTCTGAGACATGATTTTGATGGGGGGAAGCACAAGTAGGGTCTTACAATTTTTTATACAATTCCAGTATAGCCTTAAAATGGTTTGTTAGCTTGAAAATGAATATTTGATCAATTTACCCTTTTCACAATGCTTGCTGTTCCTATTATGAATGTCCATTAGGTTTTCATATCTTTTGTGGCTGGTGATGAGGATGAGGAGACAGACTTGTCCTTTCAAGCTCAAGTCAGTGCCAAACCTAGCAATCTTGTCCAGTTATGGTTTGACTTGGGCTGTCAGGCCGACATACCTATCAGGCCTGACTGCCTGACCTGATGACCCAACGACACCCCTCCCCCTGTCATGTACATATGAGACCCTGCCCATCCTCTCCAGTGCTGGTGCTTGCACTTTGCAGTGTGCAGACACAGATCACAGCCCACGTGAGGGATCCCACAGGCTATCCACACCTCATCACCCTTTCATCTGCACTGCAGCACTGTTGCTCGGTCACGTGCGCCAAATTCTGGCCTCTCCCGGCCCTCGTTTCCACCTCACAATGTGTTCTAGACATGTTACTTTGTCTCCCACATGTATTTGCCTTCATGGTCAAAATGCCCCATGCCCTAGGGTATATTATAGTTCATAGGCCAAGGGCCACTGGCTGTTTCCGAAGCCCACCAGGGCCACTGCCTTGCTGCCAGCCCGGCCCATCATGATCTCTCACCAGCCCACCCCCATGCCATCTTCACTGCAATCCTTGTGAGGATGTGCTAATACCATCTACATAGTCACCAAGGGTGCACAAATTCTATGCTCTTGAGCATCCCGGGGTCTGATACCCACTGGATGAAACATCTCCAGATCAATTTCTATGCTAGCTGTTGGCTTAACTTGGCTAGCTGAGCTATGCTGTATACTGTACTATTTAGATCAAGTGTCCGCGTTACGCGTTACACGCGGTCGCGGCGCGGACACTTGTGGTCTCTGTTACGCGTTCAAGGCCGGATTCCCATCAAGAACAGGCCGAAAAAGGAAATTTTTCGGTCCGGCTGACGCCGGACTTGCCTTTTTTGGGAATCCGGACACCTTGTCCAGCGGACAGTGTCCGTTTACGCGTTACACACGGCGGACACTTGATCTAAATAGTACAGTACTGTAGCATTTTAATCAATTTGGCAGTCACATGTCATACTGTTTTAAAACACTAACATTTTTTTTGGCAGTCACACGCAACAGCAACAAACACTGAATTCACCTGGTAAATTGACCATTTTCGACTAGCGCGGCCCTGTAATGTGCCGAAAATTTTTGGTGGTCACACTCAGTGGATGCCTCAGATGCCAAATTGATTAAAATGCCATGGTATATGGCTACCATCCCTGTATACACAATGAGATTTAGAGTGTCACTGATGTCCCATCAACTTGGTCCCCAGATACCTTACAGTACACATTACACTGGGCCAGCTGGCTCTACACCATATATTATGGTAATGGCCAATAGCCCTACTTGCATGGCCTGACCCAAAGCCTGACACCCATTGGATTTGGTAGCATTGAATGAGATTGTCATGGTCCAAAGAGGGAAGCTCAGGCTAACTTATGGTCAATTATTTAAATTCTCCTACAATATAGTATAAGTATATACTGTACTATTTTATTCAATTCGTCGGTCACGCGTCACACCCCGGCTGATCTGACGAATTTTTTTCGTCAGTCACAGGGTGCGGAAGGGACCGACGAAATGGCCTGGCTGGTGCCATCACCGGCCGGAGGAGGGCTGTGAGCTCCGTGCGACGAATTTTTTTGTTAGTCACGCAGCCGATTAAAATAGTACAGTATATATATATTATATTGATCCATAGCATCTATGCTACTACAGGAATACTAATATCCTGCCTCCCCTTGAAGATAACTGGGTGGCACTTCATCCACATCAAATGGCACCTGGTTGCTCTGCAGTCGTGAGTTCAAGATCCGCACCAACTCCTGTGTTGGAAGGTCTGAAGCTGCTACTACTGGCATAGTCTGCTGCTGCAAACCAGAGGGTGTCTCATCTTGTACATGATCAGCAATGGGTTTTTGCCAGTGTGGCCCCTTCTCGGTGACTGAAGGCTCCCAACTAGCTGCTAGTATTGCTGTGTTTTCTGGAACAGCTTCAGATTCTAGTGGTGGTACAGGAAAGGGATTGGGTGCTGTTGCATGTGCAATGTGCTCAGCTTTGACCATACTAGTATTTGGTTCCAACCTATGCCTTCTCCACAGGCATATGAACATGCCTACACAGAACAGCAGCACACATATAGCTCCAATGACAGCACCAGCAATCAATCCGGTATGACTTTTAGAAGAGTTGGCCATAATAGCACTGCTGGATGGAGTTGCAGAGTTCATATTAGGCGCAGTTTCAATGATAGTGGTGGTATGTGGTGCTCCCAGGTTATCAGTACTCACACTCACAATTGTGCTTAGAATAGGAGTCAAAGAGGAGGCCGAGTTGGAAGTGGACCCTTGCGAGGAACCAGTAGAGCCAGTCTCGATAAGGAAGTAGTCGATGGTCAGTTGTGGCCCTGTATTATGCACAAATTTGAATGTGTGCGGCCCGGCGCTCATCGCAGGAGAGCCGTAAAGCCGCTGGTTTAACGCTGCGACACCTGAAGATGGCAACACAGGAACAGGGGCAGCTCCGTCAATCGACACAGCGGCAGAAAGCGCCAACGGGAGGGTCCCGAAGAGGGAGAGTTTGTCGCCTGGAATGCTCTGCTTAACATTGACGGAGATAGTGGAGTTACTGTATGCGTACCATCCGAAAAGTTATAGCTAATGGTTGCTGTGTCCCCTGCTGTCCCTGTGTAGTGGCTAGTTTGTTGGAAGAAATTATATGTGTTGTTTTGACTCCAAGCGCCGGAGAATGTGATGCTTGCATCGGTCTCGTCGACAAAGATGGTCTGGCCCGCGTTCCGCTTGCCCGTCTTGTAGATAAGATAGTCAAGAAAGAAGCCGTCGCCGGTGCTGGCGGTGTTGGTGATGGTCAGTGTGTGTTCCCCGTCAGGAAGTGCATCCGAGACAAACACGGGCTGGTGGAACAGCTGCTGCCCCTCGGGGGTTGGAATGAGCCGGGACGTTGCGTGACCGTCGATGGTGAGAGAGAGGTTGGTCTGCGTGGCGGAGATCGTCCCGTAGACGGAGATTTGAGTGCCTGAACAATCTATCAGCCCAACCCGCCTTTCTATCAAAATTCGATACGCACCGGTGAACGTGAACGAAGCCGCAGCACCCTGGCTGCCCGCATGGGAGGTGGTCCCAGCATACTCGCGGGCCTGGCCAAGCGGGCCGCCCTTGGTCGTTGTTGTTCTCCACGCAGGCTGATATGAGATGGCCGGGTCCCGATCATCCACGATGATGTTCATAGGCTTGCCGGTGGTGAGGGATGAGAACTTGGAGGGTAGGGTGAAAGGAGCGGAAGGCAGGGACGCGGAGGCTAGATAGTGGCGCTGGTTATATCTTTCGATGAGACGCCATGCATCAATTCTATTCTTGGGAAAGATGAAAGACCGACAGTTGGCGATGGGAGGCTGTGGTGACGAGCCCGGGGTAGCACCGTTGCAGGTCTAAAACATACGTACCTTGAGCGCTTTGAAGATTTGGTCCAGGTCGGCGGAGACCAACCCGAGCACTTGAGCTCTTCCACAAGATACACCAAAACGCCGTGGTTTGGAGAATGGAAGAATCAAGATGCAACGGCGGCCGCAGTGATACAGCCTAGGACGACGCTGGTAGCGTTACAACTGTCAGAGATTTGAGAAGGCGGCGACGGAAGTGTCATGGGGAAAGAAGGCGAGAATGACCAGCAATTGGCATTATTGGTGTGTGTTGCAAAGACAACTTGCAGCTCGAGCCCTTCACTGCTGCAACGTTACTGATCAGAGTCGGTGGCAGAACTTGTGGCCATGGCAACACTAGCCACGGAAGAGCTAGTTTCTCTAACGTCAGACTCGGCCGCGTTGGCCATGGACTGAAGATTCTGCAAGGAGTGGCACCGGCATCCATACCCCTCAGTCTCACTGATACTGTGGGAGAGTATTCAGGAAAGCGACCGGCAACAATATGGTACACAACGACTCGGATGGTTCGGAAGAGAGAGTGAGCGAAGATGAGTCACGCCAACCGCCGATCGCGAGCCAAATTCCCACCGATCACCCGTCGTCGGTCTTACGTCGTGACCTCACTCTTCCCCAACTCTCATGTCCTCGGACGATTAGCAGGCCCCAGAGCGCCATTTGACGTGCCAGGTTCAACCAAAAGCCGCAAAGGGACGCTTCTCGGTTCCCTTCTCGATGCCGTAGCCACCTGTACCGTCGGTAAAGCAAGGTTTCTTGTGGGGAGTAATTGGTTGACCGTCGATCCAGAGAGCGTGCAAGCTTTCGCCTTCCACTGTTCGGGGCCCTCAATCGAGGCCATGGATGTACCTTGGTAGAGGCCAACTTCAACAAACTCGCAATCAACACAACGAGCACTCTATTTCATCACGAGTGTGAACCGATGTCGCATCCCGCCTTCCTCTCCGGGAAATGCCGGGCTATGAAGCCATATTGGGCGTGTTCCTCCCATGCCGCGCTGCCATCCCGCTGCTTTGGGCGGAAAATGCGGAATTGAGAATTTGAGAGATTATGGCAGGATATTCGGGGCCTTCGGCAGTACGTGTTAATTATAAAGAGGGCAACCGACGAGGGAGAATAGACCACCATCCTTCCCCCCCCCCTGCTTCGTTCCTTGCTCTGGCCCAGCTTGTTCACTTCGTTCTCATTCACCCCCTTTCACGAATCCTCCATTGACAGAATCTATCACGCCACCAAACACCCACAATGACGCGCTACGAACTGCCTTACATCCTCGAGGACAAAACCGGCACGCTATCGAGCGGCTCCGAGTTTATCGACATCCACGAGCGAATGCATCTCACAATGCGCTGTACCGCCCCACGCTCTTTCATGCTCTACAATGGGCCGTGGCCCCCGCCTTCTTCCCGCTCATGTACCGGCCACCCCACGCGACCAGTGCTCCCCCATCCACTCGCTTCACTCCAGTTTAGCACGACCAGAGACAACGCAATTGCCCTTGGCACGATCAGCGTCCACAACGTTCCAATGTCGATGCGCGCCTATCTGGTGAAGCCGCCCGGACCCGCGACAAGGTATGTTTTCCCTCCTGATCCCAGTGCTTACCACTTGGGCTAATCGCTTCTCCATAGCATTCGGAGATTTGTCGCGTCCGACGGTCAGCAATACCAGTGGTCTAGGCGGACCCAGCCGAACCAGGAGTGGACGGTGCGTTGCCGGTTGTCGCCGTTCTCATTGCTCTGACTGATGGTGATACTTAGTGCACGAATAACACGAACTACATCATCGCGTCCTACAGCCTCAAGACGCCGGGGGAGCCCGAGTATGCCGAGTCGTCGGGATGCATCCTTGAGATCGCAGAGCAGTTTGGCCGGCTTGCCCCAGGTGCGTCATTAGGCCTCGCTTTCCCCAATGTCCAGCTGATTCCTCTGGGCCAGAAATCCTCGCATCGCTGTGGATCATGCGCCATATCGCTGCGTACGACTTGTGAATGCCCGAAACCAGATGCGAGCCCGGCCTGTTGAATGCTGAACAGACCGGGCTCGCATCTTGCTTCAAAAAATGTACTTTTATCAGTTCCGTTACCGTTGAAGCTAATCTACTAATTGCTGGTACTTACGACTTGTGTATATAGTCTTTACATCCTTCCCCTTGTACATAGTTACCTGTAGCCATACTGTAAAAATTGAAACACGGACATCGTACATGCTACAGCCGGATCAACTTCGGTGCAATATCTTTTTCTGGTAAAAAAACCAGCCTACTCCTCAAGCTGAGTATATAGTGATTATAAGCAAAAAGTACAAGCAACGCTGTGCCAAATGTCCTTTGATATCCAAATAACGATATAACACACAAATACATAGGATAAACCACATCAAGCGTCCTGGTGATATAAATACCGCGTCTTGCCAATCGCCCGCTCGTCGTCGTCGACGCCGAACTGCCCGGCAGCCTTTTCGTCGCCCGGCCCGTAGCCCGGCAGCGCGTCCCCGTGGCCGCCGGCGCTCGGGTCGGTGAGGGTGACGAGCGAGTCACGCGGGCCGTAGTAGACCGGCGGGTACGCGCCGCTTGTGGCGGCAGCGGGGTGGATGAGGAGGAAGTCGTCCACGGCCACTGGAAGCGTTAATTAGCTGATCGTGAGGACGATGCATAAAATGCAACATACGTTTCCGTTGCCGTCGGCGTTTCCGCCAGATGCACAAGAGCAGCAGGAGCGCGAGGAAAAGAGTCAGTGCACCGCAAACAACGCCAGCGATGAGCGGGATGCGCGAGGAAGAGGCTTTTGCGGCGCTTGTGGGGCCCTGCGCTTGTAGCCCACCAGGCGTAGAAGTGCTTGTCTGCAGCCCGGTTTCGACTTGTACGATAGTTGTCGTGACGGAGTGTACCCCACCACCGGGATCTGTGCTGAGGCTGACGCTCGCGATGGTCTTCGAGGTAACAAAGGAGGTTATATTGACGCTGCTAAGAGGGCTGTGTGTGGGATCGCTGTTGGTACCGCTTGCGGACGCGGCATTGGTGTTAGTGCCGTTGGAGCCACTGGCAGAGCCAGCTCCGCTGCCACCGGAGGACCCACCAGAAGAGCCAGAGCCAGGTCCAATGAGGAAGTAGTCAACGCCAAGCGGCGTGCCCGAGTTGTAGGAAAATTCGAATGTGTGCGCGCCAGCGGACAACGGCGATGAGCTGAATAGTTTCTGATTGAATATCGTTTGACCAGGAGACGGTGTATCGTGCGATGGCAATGATACAGGCCCGCCACCGTCTATCGAGACTGTGGCAGAGAGTGGCCCGGAAGAGGAGAACTGTGGGTCGGCAGAGGTGAGCGCGCCAAAAAGGGTTAGCGTATCGCCTGAAAGAAGTCTCAATGATTATGCACACACACAGAGAGATCGCTTGAACACGCACCGTCCAGGAAATTGCTGTATGTGACCATGGCCGACCCCGGGCCGGGCCCTCCCTGCTGACCAATATAGCGGGATGTCTGCTGCATAAAGTCGAACGTGTTGTTTTGCTTCCATGGACCCGGAAAAGACACGACAGGTCCTGGATCTTGATCGTCGATGAGAACCGTCTGCCCCGAGTTGGCACGGCTATTGGTCTTATAGATCAGGTAGTCGAAGAAGAAGGGACTGGCGTCGGGACTGTTAACCTTCATGAGGAGCATATGCTGACCGTCGGATAACGGATTTGAACTGAATATTGGCTGGTGGAACTTTGCATTTGCGGCGCTGGGTGTCATTACAGGTGTTACTTTCCCGTCGATGGTGAACTCCAGATTAACTTGCTTTTGATTGTTGAGCGTCCCAAAGACCGCAATTTGGTTCCCTTCCAAAATAATTCGTGGGGTTCGACTGGAAGGCCTAAGTATCACGCACCAGTGAAAGTGAATGAAGCAGTCGAGCCTTGTTCTCCAGACTGCGAAGTAGTTCCCTGAAACTCCTGCACTTGGCCTCGCGAGCTTCTATCTTTATCCGTAGTAATCCACCCAGAGCTATACCTTATAGACGGGTCGCGGTCGTCAACAATGATATTCATGGCCATGATGGCGGCGCCTCTAGGCGGAGATTCCGCAACGGCGCCGACTCGCAAAAAAAGAGGAAGGGTGAAGAACGAAAGACGAGCTGAATGAAGGTGGAGGGCGGGAGAGAAACGAAGACGATGGCGCCGGAAGCGAGGCGCTGCTGCTGGGAAGATCCCGGCGCCATTTAGTCGTTAGCATATATCTGTGCGAGCATCATTGAGGCAACCATCGCCGGGTTCGGCGCGATGGAGAGATGGGATGGCCGTGACAGTTGAGATGGTATATATAGGCTATTAGGGCGTCGGGAGGACCGGAGAATTCGGGCGACGGCTAATTTCGGGGTTAGTTGGGCTAGAAGTTCATGCTTCGTGGTATCAGAGGATACAGCAGGACTATCACTATCTGCGAGGGCAAGAGAGCGCGTGCCAGTGCATTGGATGTTGGCTATTTCAATTTTGGTGCAGTGATTTTGAGCTCACGAACGGAGGAAGCAGCAAGCAGCTTGATGACATCGTTGACATGTGATGTGTATCGTGGTTGCTTCTGGCCTTCACCTTCCAAGATTGTTAGAACAATCTGCAAATAGCCAGCTATACATGCCATTCCTCAACATAGGACGTCTCCAAAGCGTCGTCGAACGCGCCTCGACACGCGTTGATGGGCCCTCGGGAGGCAACGATAAACTTTCCATGTGGCCACCCTAAACCGATCGTAGTCGTTTATAACGGACAACTCGTGGTGCTACGATTTTCTACGACAGTTTTGGAAGCATCCCTCGACAAGCCTCATCTGCCATTCTTGGAATGGAATGCTCGTGCCTGGCCACTGTGGAAATCGCACGAATCGCACGCGGTGTCTCTGTTGGCGTTGCCAACACAGAGCGGATACGTACTTCGCTCACCGACGAGGACTTAGGAGCCTGAAAGACATCTGTGCCATCTGCGTATAAGCAGCACGAGCCCATAAGTATGCCGGATGGAAAGCTAGTCGATCACCCTGAAGCAACAGTATAACTCCCAATCCTTCCATTCATTCTCGTGTCGTCTCTCCCGTCTCCCCCCCTTTTTTACGGCTACCGAGACGTTTACCAGTGGCATCGACATGAACATCATCATTGATGACCGCGACTCGTCGATACTCTATACGCCAGCATGGATTACTCGCGATACAGATGGGAGCCCGCGGGGAAAGCCACAAGAGTTTGCAGGGACGAATTCGCAGTCCGTAGCTCCAGGATCTACTGCTTCTTTTACTTTCACCGGTATGTGATAAGCAGCAAAACAGAACGCCATTTTATTAATAATACTGTGGAAGGCACGCAAATAAGCGTCTTCGGGACACTCGCGGATGCAAGACAAGCGTTGCTTCAGTTCACTATTGACGGGATAGTGACGCCTCTGTTGTTACTCGGCGTAAACCCTCCATTCCACCGACTCGTGTTCAATTCTGTCATTTTGCCACGCAAACAGCACGTTCTAGTCATCCAGGACAACACTCTTGGTCCGAGCTCTTTCTCGTTGGACTATATAATCTACAAAACCGACAATCGGGATGCTAGCCAGACTGTGCTCCTCGATGATCAGAGTCCTGGTGTCTCTTTCGCCGGCGCATGGCCCCAGAACAATACATTTGACTTCATGCAGCAGACTTCCCACCATACCGGGCAGGCGGGCGGCTCAGTCATCGTCACATATGACAATTTCGAGGACAGTGCGTATGCAAACTTTTGATTATAAGCAGACCATAATCGACAGCCTCTTCAGACGACACACTGTCCTTGTTTGGTCCTTTGTCGTCGGCCGACCCCAATTTGCCCTCCAACTCGCCATTCTCTGTATCAGCATCGATAGATAATGGCGAACCTGTTGATCTACCGTCACAAAACGCTCCACCTTCAGCCTGAGGTCAAACCACATTCAATCACAAACTCTACACGTCCCCGCCGCTCTCCGCTGGCCAACACACGTTCCAGTTCTCATATAACTTTGGAACCTCGCTTGGGGTGGACTACTTCCTTGTTGAACCCGGCCCGAAAGTCACTGCTACTAGTAGTCCCAGTATCAGTGGCACGAAGTCTAGCATTATTTCATCTAAATCCTCCAGCACAAGATATTCTCTTCCGGCTACAGCTACAACTTCATCAAATGTGGTGGCTAGCACGAACCATTCATCCCCTTCACATCCACCCCCTTCAAGGTCTTCCTTACTCGCCAGTCCAACTACTCGGACAGCCGGCAGTGTTTCCGCTAATCACACCTCTCATATCGCACCGATAGTGGGCGGTGTCCTCGGAGGCATATTGCTCCTGGTGGCTGTTGGAACTGCGATATACGCCCAAAGACGAGCGATATTGGCGTTCCTGAACCAACACCGCCCTTTGCGAGATAGAGAAGCGGTCGTTGCCACTCCGTTCTGTCTTCCCGCCGGAACCACCCCATTCCCTCCACTGGCATCAAAAAGTGCGCTTGTCGGAGAATTCCGAACGAGTGTGAGAGGCGTGTCTCCCATCGTCGCTTCGGATCCACAAATACCACCGCAAGCGGCGTTGTCCACTTTGGTGCTGCAAGTTCCGACAGAGGAGCTGGCGAGGATGTTGTATTCCCGATTGCAAAGTAATCTGATGCCTCACGTTGACGAGGAAGAGCCGCCCAGTTATCTCCCAAATGTCCAAATACTTGACTGAGACGGTGCCTTGACTAGAACCGGTATATGTTTTCATACGAATGGCAGTACTTATTAATCGTCTTGACTTACTGTAGTCGCCGCATAAGTATGTACGTACATAATGATAATGACTTGGGTGGAATGAGAATTACAGTTGCGGTAATGCAGGCCGACATCATGCTGCCCCAAACTCACCGTTCAGGAGGATGTAGATTCGTTCGAGGAATCATAACACAATGCACTAGAACTGGAGGAGACATGGGTTTCTGAAAACAGACTAATTCCTCAGCGTGGCAAGGTTACTTTCGACCCTCATCATGATCTGCCTGCAATTCGCCAGACATGTCCCTCTTGTCCCATTCATCTTCTCTCTCTCCAACAGTCGCCTTGATGAAGATGAAATGAAATGACTACTGCTTCAGCGAAACCTGACGATATAATCCTCGCAATTCATCTTCTGGCCATCATCGCCGATGACCACGTCCGTCCATTGTCTACACACTCACGCTACTCAAGTTTGACGGAACGACTTCGCTGCCAGTGCTGAGTTACACGGGTGCAGCGCGTCGACTTCAATTACTTGCGGGTGTGTTACTTGCTCGTGGAGATGAATCAACGCTGATATTTACAACTTTCCAGGCACACAACATTCGCGTCAGCATCAACTTGAGAGAACGCAATGCTCTCGGCGGAGGACAGCAACTTCCACCTCGACTACATCCAGAATGACGACGGGGATGAAGTCGTCTGGTTCTCGAGTGTGGAAGCAGAATAACACGGCCCACTTCATTCAGAGCAAGAGCCACTATATATGGACTTAGGGGAGTTGGTTACAGTATACTTTCCTAGAGGTGCGCAAAACAGGTCTTCTAATGTGTACTGGATGCTGACGACTCCCAGGCTACGCGCTCTCTCTCTGTTTGACCTCTCACCTCTCCGCTTCAGCACCAAACTGCCATGGCAATGCACCACTCTGTTCACATTCGAATATTCCCTGTTGTCATTTGCGCGATGTCTGGAGAACAGTCACGGTATTTTGCTCGCTTTCAAGTTTCGATGTCCATACGTATTAATATCAGAGCTCAGTGCTGTTGTTCAAACATCGCAATGGGACCGTATGGTTTCTCTCATGGGAGCTATGTATAGGCTTTTTGCTGAATCACCATCCGTGGCTTAAGCCTATCACCTACTTTCTGCAACTCTTGCTGTTCGGATAGTTGTTCAAGTTGACGTGTTGACGACCGTCAGTCCGCCCTTGCAATTGTCGGATGGACCACATCGTCTGATTTAGGCAGTGTCTTTTCGGAGAATGCGGTCATGTCCTGCGATTGTGTTTGGGCTTGTTCGCACCCTCTGGCTCGTTTCTCTATTCCTGGAATAGAGGCACGCACCCCTCCCGACTCGGTCTTGTCTTGTTACCGCCAATGAGTAAGACAAGATTTTGGCGGTCCAGGTTCCGAAATACTCTCGGGATGAGATCTGTCAAGAGTTCATCTTCATGATAGTATCTCAATCACGGTGAACAGAATCTGCAATTTTGGAGGAGCGTTGAACATATAATCAGCTTGCTCAGTCACTCTCGTAGGCCGCATAGCGCTCATTCGTGTTCGATGAAAATCATCGTTGACGACCGCGACCCAGCTATCAAATATGCACCAGCCTGGAAAACTCAAGGCAGCAATGGGAACCCGCATGGCCAACTACAAGAGTTTCAACAAACCACTTCGCAGTCCGGAGGAACGGGATCTACTGCTTCATTTACTTTTACTGGTGTGTAATATGCAAATGAAGATCCCTTCACTCACCCACATTGGAAGGTACGCAAGTCAATGTCTCCGGGACACTTGGCGGTGCGAACGAAGCTCATCTGGAGTTTATCCTTGACGGACAACGGACACCCATAACAATATCCAGTGCACCAAATCCCCGGTTTCACTACCCGGTCTTCACCTCAGCGCCGTTAGTCGACGGGCAACATACCCTGGTCATGACGGACAACAGCTCTGACCCTAGCCCTTTCTTTTTCGACTACCTGATCTACACAACCAACAGCCGAAATTCGGGGCAGACGGTGCTCATCGATGATGCCGATGACACTAAAGAGTTTGCGCTGGCAGTTCTTGGGCCCTGGCACCAGAACAACACCTTTGACTTCATGCAGCAGACATCTCAATATGTCGGGTCGCAGGACGCGGGAGGCGCGATCCAACTCAGCTTGATCCTCCAGGACGGTGCGTACGCAAGTCTTCTATCAAACAAAAAATATGTGCATTGACTACTAGTACCTTCAGGCGACACACTCTCCCTTTTTGGCCCACTCACTTCTACCGACCCACAATTTACTTCCGGTTTGCCACTCTTCGTTGAGGTTACAATAAACGGGAACCCCAGCCCATTCCTGTCGGAGGACGCCCCACTTTCTGGTCAAATAACATTCAATCAACGGCTGTTTAAATCATCGTCCTTATCCGCTGGCCGGTATGCTGTTTCATTCGAGTACATCTCAGGCACGCCATTTGGCTTTGATTACATGCTTATCGAGCCGGGGCCAGGGTCAAGTCGTAGTTCCAGCACCAGCAGTCTATCCCCTTCTTCTACATTATCCACGAACTTGACCGCGGCTTCAACTACCGCCACTAACAGTAAAGCAAGTTCTTCAAGTTCCTCTTTGGCAAGGCCAACGGCTCCCAATCATACCTCTCATACCGGAGCAATTGTGGGCGGTGTTGTCGGGGGCGTCTTATTGCTCCTGATAGTATGTGTTTGGACCATGAGATGGGCAAGAAACTCCCGTTTGGGACCCGGAAATCAGGGACGAGCTCCGAGTCAGGTCATCCAGCCCGACGTCGAAACAGCCATTGGGACAATCACTCCATTCCCGCTATCTAAAAGCGCAGTCGCCGACTTGGAGCACCTCCGGACAAGAGCTGCCTCTCCAGAGCCCGTCACACTGGAGCCGGAATCAGTCGATGTGCGGGAGTTATCGGTCGGCGAGCATATCCAGCCACACCCCTTCCAACGAACAGTCGCTCTGCCAACAACGGAGTTGGTGCGGATTTTAAACGAGCGATTGCGGAGTGATGGGCTGTTTGACGAGGACGAGCAACCACCCAGTTATCCACCGACGGAGGCTGGGAATCGAGTCAGTCGATAGCAAGTTGCAGTTGACTTTGGGGTTGATTTCGGGATGACTTTACTATGAGCTCTTACTACATCGTCAAGGGTTGGTTGAGGGATGGACCCAGGACATGGATGCTAGTTGGACAGGTAGTTGTTATAAGCACAGTTAGAGTAGAGTCTGAGAACACCTGGACCAACAGTGATGTTCTTGATTCGGCAACCGGCAACGAGGCTGCTTCTGACCTTCATCTTCATCGTCTCAGATTTGTCTGCGTTTCTGCAAATAGCCAGGAATGCCCCCGCCGACGCTCGGCCCATTGAACACATCTTCTCGAGGGATCTTCCCAGCTCAGATGCTGACGATATAACGCCAGCAAGCCGCCAGGCCTCAGGCTGGGGTCGATTCTGATGAACGTCATCGTCGACGACCGGGCCCCGTCCCTTGTTTATACCCCGCCTTGGAATGTCGAGAACGTCGTAGGGCAGCCGCTCGGAACGCCACTCGAGTTTGAGGGGACGACCTCGCTGCCGAGTTACACGGGATGCAGCGCATCGTTCACTTTTACTGGTGTGTTGTCTGCTTGTGGCACTAAACCTTATCCGCCCAACAGTGTCGCAGCGTCCGATGATCGGACATCAGCTCCGACGTCAATGACACAGCACTTGTTGGTCATCGCTCCGGCGTCGCGCACGTCGCTAAGTCGAATGTCGGTACTGGTTGTGTAGCGTAGTGTCAACCACGTTGAGTCACATCATGTGCCGCGAACGCGGTCACACCACATCAAGCTTCTCTGCCCACCGATGGGAGAAGAACTACACCGCCGCTGTACTCGGTGTCGTAAGCAAAAGCCTGTCTCAGCCCAGGACTGGAAAGCCAAGTTCGACGCGTCAGGACTAGCAATCACTGGCAGCTGCCGCGCCTGTGCCGACCGCGACAAGAATGCCAAACGCGCCAAACGCGCAGCGCAGAACCCTGGCGGGATTACTGAAGACGGCGATCAAGATTCCGACAAGGAGAACATCACCAAAAAGTCTCGCGGCAATGGCGGCATTGACTCGGAGGCAACAGAGTTTTTGGACTTGCCAGTACTGACACCCGACGCGTTCTCTGAGGCTATGTCGACTGCTGGTGACATTCATCAACTCTCAGCAATTGTCGACATATCAGATTTGGATCCAGAACCAACAGACGCCAAAGAATGCTGCGATGCCATCTCACAGCGCGTGTGGGAGAGTACAGAATATCGATTCCAGTCAGTTCTTGGTTGACAAGCCACGTATCTATGTGCTCATTACTCCCAATAGCTACCATAGTCTCCACAAGTACAAGAAAGGAAATGGAAACTACGCACGCTATACATACCACTGTGCGCAATCCTCGGATCGGCAGCTCAAGCCACAAAAGATGGCAGAACCATCAAAACAGCGCGATAAGGGCCAAATGGATGTCTTCGATTGTGATGGATGGCTCGACATATGGGCATCTCCAGACGAAAGCAATGTCTATGTACGTCTGCGTCATCGTGACTGCCATCTGCCGTATGCATCACTTGAGCTCCCGGACGATGTGAAGAAGTATATCACGGAGAACCCAAAGATGACCGTTCCTCAGGTAACAGTGCACTTTAACTTAAGCTTATCTCAACTCGACTCATTATTGCTTCCCTTAGCTCTGGGGTGAAATTATCAAGAAGTATCCATTGCCCAACTTCAAATATCACACTGTATACAACTTCTACGCAAAGGAGCATCAAATTCGCTGGAAGTGTGACCCGGACGAGCTCAAATCGGCGAAAGCCTTGATGGAATCGAGGCCGGAGTTGGAGCCGATCGATCTCCCGCAGGTACCAGATGACGGCTGTGTTGCGCTAGCATTCGCCATTCCAAAGTTCATCGAAAAATGGTCCGGTATCATTCGGGAAATAGGGCTGGATTCAACTTGTAATCTTCTGTTACCTTCGAGTTGTTGACAAGTGCTGATGTTCAGCAGTCAAGACAACGCACTCGGGCTATGAGTGCTATGCCTTGCTGGGTGAGGTCTTGGGCTCAGGTGTACCCTTGGGCTTTCTATTACTCAAATCAAAAAACCCCGACCCCGGAGCAAAGGAGCAATACCTGCGTGCCTTTATTCGGCATTTCCTTGAGCGCCATCACCTGCGCGTTCGCCAGTGTCTGACTGACAAGGACATCACAGAAATCAACGCACTGCTGGCTGAGCTACCGAAAACCGTCAAGTACCAAGTGTGTTTCTGGCATGCCATCCGAGTTGTGAAAGGCCGCTTGTGTGTTCTTGCACGCCGGCCGGCCTTCTATGATGCCGATGAAGCATTCCGCGAATTCGATTGGATCGATCGCAGCTTTCTGCCAGTGGCCCAAATGGACCCTAAACTTCGCACACCTGTATGTTATCTACTTATCCGGGTTCCGATGTCTTAATGCGCTTTCCTCCGAATAGGAAAATCTGCAAGTCGCGCAGTCTGTTCTGCCAATTTTCAAGATCCACTTCAATGGGCAGACCGTTGTCGCGCCGTCACGGCCAAAAATTATCATTAACTTGAATGGACTCGCTACACCAGCAGCCTCACCCGACTCCGAGTCAACCGGGCCTTCCACCCTCCAACGCGTTCTGGATTCCTTCGACGAAGATGATCCCGACAGCCTCAACGTGGATCTTGATGACCGCGACGGCATCGATCGTTTCGATGGCCCCGCGACATGGTTCGAGCCGGGAGAGACGGCCTTTGCTGAAGATAAGTCATATGTCTTCTGTGGCGCCCCACATCGCAAGCAGGTGCTGCACATGTTCATCCGCCACTTCTGCGAGCATCCGTTACTGCCTGACCGGCGCGGGAAAACACGGACGGCCGCCAAGATTCGAGAAGACGCGGTACATGAGATGTATACGTTCTGCAAGCAACGGGGCCTGCGCGAGCTGTGGGCATATATGTGGGGGGCCTGGTATTGTCCCGCAAAGTACAAACTCTGGGCGCGATCGACACAACCTGATTTCATTGGCCACTGGCGAACAACGATGGCTGTCGAAAATTTCTGGCGCTATCTCAAGCATGGCATCCTTCATAATCTCCTCCATCCGCGTCTCGACCAATTCATGTTTTTGATCGTTACTGATGTAATTCCCGCGACAGAGGCAAGGATGCAAATATTCGACCCGAACCATCTCCTTGGACGTGTCAAGCCACTTACTCCATTCCAAAAGGCATTCAAAAAGAGCTTCAAGTTGCTCTCTACCCGTTCTGTGGGCACGCAGGTCTATCACACTGATGTTCAGCGCTGGGTCTGCACTTGCGGGCAACAAAAATACAACCCCTACATCCTCTGCAAGCATCTCGTGCAGGCAGTTCATCCTCCCAACGCCAATTTCTTTCGACAGGTTGTCCGCCGCCGTGTCATTCCGTTCTATCAGCACCCGTTGTTGCAGGCGAAGGACGGATCGCTGAGCGCTGACGACGATATGGAGCCCGGCAGCATCACAGACGGAGATCTTCCCGCTCGACCCTCAACCTCCGGCTCACGCGGAATCAAGCGCAAACGCGCCCGGTCACCCATCCCGACCCCGATCCTGACAACCTCTGATGATGTTATGGAGGAGAACGCAGTCACTGAGCTGCTAAATGTGTCGTCTCGCTCCTCCTCACCTGTTGCGGCAGATGAATATGATGATGTTTGTCGCATTCCCATTCCGTGACGAGTTTCACTTAAGGACATGACAGGAAACAGCGGATGCGGTCGACTGGGTACATGACCGCATCGCTAAATTGGAAACGGCCATCAAACTGATGCGAGAGCAAGCTGCCCATCCCGCGCAAGCCAAAGTCTGGCTTCGATCGGTCAAGCGCCGTAACATCGGCGCAGACGTCGTCCAGATGGTTGCCGACGTTCGGCACTCGACGGAAACTGGTCAGATACGACCATCAACCTGGGCGCAGGGAAAGGGGAAAAGGGCATCAAAATATGCAGCAAATACTATGGGATATGATGGGTAATACATTGTACATTGCATACACTTGCTTCACCAATGTTCGCGACGACGCCGGAGCGCTCGGCGACAACAAAACCACTTAGCGCGACGCCGGAGCGATGACCAACAAGTGCTGTGTCATTGACGTCGGAGCTGATGTCCGATCATCGGACGCTGCGACACTGTTGGGCGGATAAGGTTTAGTCTTGAGGCCAATGAAACAGCTCTGATATAAAACCCTAGATACACAAGTCACTGTTTTTGGCACAGTTTCGGGCCAGGGCCAGCCACCTACCTTTGGATTCACGCTCGACAACCAGGAGGTACAAGGCCAGCAATTGCCTAGCGCGTCTGCGTCGAGTTCACATCCCCACCAACAAGCATTTGCGTCGGATGTCCTCGCGGACGGGCAGTATACCCTCACGATAAAGTACAACACTCCTGGCACAGAGGACAGCAATTTCTACCTCGACTACATCATTTATCAGACGAACACTCGCACAGTTGGGCAGACGTTGCTTGTCGACGACGGAGATGGAGCTGTCTCGTTCTCGGGTGCTTGGAAGCAGAATAATACAGCGGACTTTATGCAGGGTACGAGCCGCTATACGTGGACCGAGGGGGGAGTCGGTTACAGTCAGGTATAATTTCCAAGACGGTGCGCGAAATGAGACTCCAAGTTGAACTCAATGCTGACGATGAGCAGGCGACACACTCTCCCTTTTTGGTCCCCTCACCGCCGCAGACCCACAATTTACCCCACATTCTCCACTCTCTGCCTCTGTCTCTATCGACGGAGGTAGCTCGATCGCTTTACCACAGCAAAATGCACCACTTCCTGGCTCAATCGTCTTCAATCACCAATTGTTCACGTCGTCGCCATTGAGCGCTGGCCAACACACGTTCAAGTTTGTGTACGCTTCAGGAACTCCACTCGCGGTAGACTATTTTCTGGTCCAGTCTGGATCCGGTAGTCCTTTGACGGGTGGTAACGGAGCTGCCACCTCCGCGCTGAATCCCGCGTCAACTGCTCCCACACCGAAGAGCAACAACTCCTCCGCGTCTCCTGTAACGGTTTCGTCGAGAACTATCATTTCAAGTTCTACTGTGATCAGCCTGAGCCTCAGTACCGACACGAGTGGAGTAGTGCATACTATCTCTCAAGCTCCCGCATCGTCACAGACCTCTCTCCCAAATGTTCCGACCTTGAATAGCCATCATTCCTCTCGAATCGGAGTGCTTGTGGGCGGAATTATCGGAAGTATCTTGCTGTTGCTTTTGTTGTGCCTTGGGCTAGTGATGTTGCTGCGAAGGAGGGCGACCGTCGTATCGAGCATGTATCTGGCGCATGATATCGATATGGGCGGAACGACATCTATGGCGATGACTCCGTTTCCCCGCTCCAAAAGCGCCTTGCTTGCGGAGTCCCGGGAATCGCTAGCCCCAGGCCACATCCTGCAGGAGGAACTGGTGGAATCGCAGGCTGAACTTGAATTACCCGTGCCAACGCAAACACAAACACAACCGAGGGTGTCAGTAAGTGATATTCCAACGGAGGAGCTGATGCGGGTGTTGCATGCGCGGTTGGGGAGTGGCTTGAATGCGATGTTGGATGAGGAAGAGGAGGGGCCGCCGAGTTATCCGGGAACGGAGGCTGGGAGCGAATGATCGGGTGAGGTTGTGTTGGCTTTTCAATGAGACCTATTGATATCCTCTGACTGGCCATACGTGGAACCATCGCCCGCTATGATATTCGTCTGTGTGCTTATGTCCATGCCTGAGGCAACCACAATTAATTTGCGGTATTGATGGATAGGATCATCGAGCGAACGACGGTTCCAGGGAGTATGTCGGAGACAAAACTCATCGGGATTGTGATGTCACCATGCGACTTGACTGTCTTCACATTGTGCCAGTGACCTTACCACCATGGACATTTGCGAGACAACACGGCCTCTGCAGGGAACCTTTCGAAACCACGCTCACTCGCTTGGCTTTGGCATCTCATCGTCTGTGAACCGCCTATAAGTGGAACGGGACAAAATCTTAGCTAAATCGGTCCTCCTCTAGATCTCAAGGGATGCAATCTGTTCATGTCTTAAATGCAGCGTAATGATCTAGAAACATGGATGGTTGCCATTGTCCAAGATATAACTCGAGTGGGTTCACTTGTTTGGCTAACTTTGTACCCAGTCCCATTCCTTCTTGCATCCAACTGCAACGCCGCTCGCTTTTGCCAGTCAAGTTTAAGTTGGGGATGAACATCGTCGTCGACGACCGTGACCCATCCATAAGGTATAGCTCGGGGTGGATTACTTCAGGTGACCATGAAAGAGGCTTGCGGGACCAAATGCAGGAGTTCCAACAGACCACTTCGCAGTCGGGCGAACAAGGCTCAACTGCTTCGTTTACTTTCAATGGTGCGTAATATGTAATACTAGACTAGTAGGCCTTCAATCAGCCGAACCCCACCAATCATTTCATAAGGAACCCAAATTATGGTCTTTGGAACGCTCAACAGTCAAACACAAGCTATTCTGGAGTTCAGCCTCGACGGAAGAGTGACGTCTATATTGACACCCGGCACGCTAAATCCACAGTTCCACCAGGAAATCTTCAACTCGAATCTGTTATCGGACAGTGAGCATACCCTCGTTATCAAGGACAACAGCACCAGCCCCAGCCCAAGCCCCTTCTTCTTCGACTACCTTATCTACAAGACAAACAGTCGGAGCTCGGGGCAGACGGTGCTCATCGACGATCAAGATCAAGAACCTGTCGTGTCTTTTCCGGGTCCATGGCAGCAAAACAACACGTTTTATTTCATGCAGCAGTCATCCCGTTATGTTGGGCAAAAGGGAGGGTCGGCTATGGTTACATACAATTTTCAAGAGGGTGCGTGTTCAAGCGCACACAAATAACTTGAATTATTGACATTTTCTCCAGGCGACACGCTGTCCCTCTTTGGCGCGCTCACCTCTGCCGACCCACAATTTTCTTCCTCCTCGCCACTCTCTGCCACAGTCTCGATAGACGGTGACGGGCATGTATCATTGCCATCGCACGACGCACCGCCGTCTGGTCAAACAATATTCAATCAGCAGTTATTCAGCTCATCACCATTGTCCGCTGGCCCGCACACATTTGAATTCTCGTATAACTCGGGCACGCCGCTTGGAGTCGATTACTTCCTCATTGGGGCCGGTTCAGGCTCTCCTGCCAGTGGTGGATCCTCTGGCAGTGGAGCTGGCACCGCGAGCTCGGTTCACAGCGGTCTTGTCCAAACCGCGTCCGCTGGCACTTCTAGTCGGTTACCATCACCAAGCCCCTCGAACGCCACAGAAAGCCACGCGCCATCGCATACCGCACTCATTGCTGGTGTTGTTTGTGGCTTGTTCTTCCTTCTTCTAGGGCTCTTACTGGTTTTGTGCTTCTTGCGGCAACGACGACGCCGGAAAGATTGTATGTGACATTTTATCAGAAACCTGAGTCCAAACCAAAACTCACCATTTTATCAGTGGTTGCTGTTAAACTTGACGTTGAAACAGCTAGAGTCGTTACTCCCTTTCCCTTGTCGAAACGCGCATTGGGCGAACTCTGGGACTCGGCACAGCCGAGAGTAGCTGCCGAGTCTCCAGCTGCCGAGTCGGACGCCAGGGCTGAGCTAGAAGCTGCGCGCTACTCGGAAACCAGACCTGAACTTCAAACGCCTGAACAAATGCTTCTCTCTGCGGTTTCGACGGCGGCGCTGGTTCGCACATTGAACAACCGGCTCCAGAGTAATGCAGTGTTTGACGATGAGGAGGAACCGCCGAGTTATCCGCCGACGGAGGCCGGGAGTCAGGTTAGTCGATAGTGCAGTGAGAGGTTGAGGGAGAATGAAAAGTAATCGCGACAAGATCATGATATTTTGATGGAAAAGATGCAAGTCATCAGAATTATGATGTCACGATGTGGTCTTCACCTTACCACCATGTACAACACGGCTTCGCTGGCCCGCACCTTTGCCTATGTAGGGAACCCACCGCAACAAAGCAGTCACGGTGGGTTTTGCTAATCCATTGCCTGTGAGCGACCTCAGGCTATAAGCGGAGCGGGACAAAATCTCAGCTAAATTGGTTGGGCCTCTCACTGGCAAGGAATGTAATCTGTTCATGTCTTGACTGCAGGGTAGAAATCTGTCGGAATCCTGGATGGTCGTCCATCGTCCACGATATAACGTGAGCGTGTTCGCTCGCTAGGCTACTAGACCATTCGTTCATATTTCCATTCCCTCTTTTGTCCAACTACTTCAACGCTCGCTTTTAGAATCTGTGATGAACATCATCGTCGACGACCGCGACCCGTCCATCAGGTATAGCTCGGGGTGGATTACTACGGATAGCGATGGAAAGCAGCGAGGTCAAGCGCAGGAGTTCCAGCAAACCACTTCGCAGTCTAAAGTACAAGGCTCGACTGCTTCATTTACTTTCAGTGGTGCGTGATAGACCTTCCAGTCGACTCGAAACTAATTGTTTGGGAAGGGACTCAAATTACCGTCTTTGGAACGCTCAGCAGTCAAAATCAAGCCCTTTTAGAGCTCACCATCGACGGGAAAGAGGCACCTATATCGTTGCCCAGCGCACCAAATCCCCCGTTTCACCGGCCGGCTTTCGACTCAGGTCCGTTATCCGACGGTGAACATACGCTCGTAATGAAGGACAACACCCCAGGCCCAAGCCCCTTCTTCTTCGACTACCTTATGTACAATACAAGCAGCCGGGGGTCGGGGCAGACGGTGCTTATCGACGATCAAGATCCAGGACCTGCCGTATTTTTTCCGGGTCCATGGCAGCAAAACAACTCGTTCGACTTCATGCAGCACACTTACCACTATGTCGGGCAAAAGGGAGGTTCGGCCACTGTTACCTATAATTTCCAAGACGGTGCGTGTTCAAATGATGATTCCAGAAAATATCGACATTACATCAGGCGACACACTCTCCCTCTTTGGAGCGCTCACCTCTGCCGACCCACAGCTCTCCTCCGACTCACCACTCTCTGCCACAGTTTTGATAGATGGCAGCAACCCCATCGCATTGCCATCGCAATATCCACCATCTTCTGGTCAAACGATATTCAACCAGAAGCTATTCAGCTCATCGCCGTTGTCCGCTGGCTCACACACATTTCAATTCTCGTACAACTCGGGCACCCCGCTTGGGGTAGACTATTTTCTCATTGGACCCGGCTCTGCCAGTGGCTCTTCTGGTGGTTCCTCTGGTAACGGAGCTGGCACCGCGAGCTCCCAGCTCAGCCCAGACGCGAGTGGATCGATTCATACTAGCGTTGTCCAAACCGCGTCAGCTTCCTCTTCCACTTCTGATGGGTTACCAACGCCAGGCCCCACGAGCGCCACAGACAGCCACGCGCCATCGCATGCCGGCCTCATTGCTGGCGTGGTATGTGGCTTGTTCTTCCTTCTTCTAGGGTTTCTACTGGTCTTGTACTTCTTACGGCAACGAAGACGCCGGAAAGATGGTATGTGGCATTTTACCAGAAATTTAAACAAGAACTCACCGTTTTGTCAGTGGCGGCTATTGAAGTTGACATCGAATCGTCCGCCGTTACTCCCTTTCCGTTGTCGAAACGCGCGTTGGCCGAACGCTGGGAAGCGCAGACGGAAACGGTGTCTCTAGCTGCCGACGCCCCCGCTGAGCGAGATCCGGAATCCGGACCGCCAACGTCGAACCAAATGCTGCTATCTGCGTTTGCCGTGCAGGTTCCGACAGCGGAGCTGGTCCGTATACTGAACGACCGGCTGCAGAGTGATGCGGTGTTTGACGCGGAGGAGGAGCCTCCGAGTTATCCGCCGACGGAGGCTGGGAGTCGGGTTAGCAGATAGTGAGAGGTTCAAGCCGAGGGAGTCATGGAAAGGGAACTCCAAGTCTTACTTGGAGTGATTTGTCACGGTTGTGGAGCATGACTTGGGAGCTTCTTCGTGTTCTTGTTGCAGACTTTGCTGGGATTATCAAACTGAAGATTGATTCCAAAAATGGCGCACGCCGGCGGTAGCAGGATTTGTTTGCTCTTTTTGTTTGTAGTCGGCTGATACCCCTGGGACCATTAGGCCTTATTATTATCATTATCAAGCATTACCGCTCCAGTCATGGGCCGAAGCAGCCTTAGCCGGCGCCGGCAGCCGAGACTCGGCCCGAGAGCGGGGCTAAAAAGTGCATCCCAAGACGCGCGTTTGAGGCATGAGTCATGTAAGCTGGGGTTCAGCAAGGGTCTAGGGAGGTGTTCAAGCTGGGCTGTATCGGTTTGGTATGCAAAACGCGTCGATAGTTTTTGGAATCATGCCGGAGTCACGCATCACATCAACATCAACATCACCCGAGTCTTGCCCGAGTCACGCATCACTGCTTGCAAAGATCTTCGACGACCGGACTCTCAACTTGCAGAAGGTGCACCAACGGTCGCGTTACAGGCTTGAGGTTATATTCCTTAGCAAGTCCAAACATGTCCCATTTTCGTCCCACTTTTTTTGTGACCGCACGGTCCGCACCCACAAACCATTTTCACCAAGTCACAGCCGAATACATGTGGCATTTAAACGCCGCTTTTTTGCTCTCCCAAATATCGCATGACCGTCTTTTTCACCGAAAGCTGGCGCCTCGGTCCCGCCGACACCAACTTCTACGTGCGAGTCTACGAAGCTAGCGACGCTCGCGCCATCCTCGTCTTTGTGCATGGCGCGGCTGAACATTGTGGCCGCTACACCGACATGCACACCGCGCTTGCGCGTGATCACGGCATTTTGGTGTTTGCCTACGACCTCCGCGGCTATGGTCGGACTGCGAAGGATGGCACCCACAAGAGCCCTGCCTCTCGGTACGGACGAACGTGGTCAGGCGCTCAGATGGACGACCTTGAATGGGCTATTCAGGAGGCTCAACAGCAATATAAGCTTCTTCCGGTCTTCGTTATGGGCTGTTCATTCGTGGGTCGCACATCTAGTAATGTCCCAGGCCAGGCAGGGTATTGTTTTCTGACTGTAATTGTTCTACAGGGCGGGACGACGGTGCTCGGGTTGATGACCGACCCTGCTCGCAAAGAGAATCCGGCGGTCAAGCTTGTCCGCGGGGTTGTCGCCGGCAGCGCCACGCTTGCACTCACCAAGCCCCCGCCCGCACCCGTCGTGTGGCTGTTAACGCAGATTGCTCGTGTTTCCCCATGGACGTTGTTTCCCGTGCGCAACAAGACTGAAGTAAGCATGCACAGCACTGCTTTCACCATACTGAATTCTTTAGGACTTGTCGCGTAACACGACGACCGGACAAGAGTACGAGGACGACCCTCTTGTCGGCGTTCCCGGCAGTCTCAGGTGTCTTTCGTCCATGATCAAGCAGGTGAGTCAGTCTGATTGCATCCATCGCCGCTGCTGATCCCCGTCGAGGGTGAATTAATCCAACGCACGCCGGATAATTGGCCCAGCGCTCTCCCAGTAAGTTCTGTTTTGCCGATGACACACTTCTTGACCGTTCGCTAGATTCTCTTCGTTCACGGTGACGCCGACGCGGTGAGTGTACCGCCGACAGAGTGCAGTTGGTAACTAAACCCGACTCAAGCTTGCATCCCATACCGCCACTCAGAAGTTTTATATGAACATTTCTGCTGACGACAAAACCTGGATAACCTATGCAGTAAGTAAGTCGTCGAGGTTTGCGTATTGCACTTAAATATGGTATTGCAGGGAGGTACGCATGAGTTGCACAATGAGCCTGATGGGATCCGGGAGAAGTCGCTGAGGGACATAGCCGTGTTCATTCAAAGTCACTGCTGACGATATTTGATGATGCTTTCGGTGTTTTGTTCACTTCAGTTAGTCGTATCAGAATAACTGGCACTACATAGTGATTAACAGTTTGTTTTGTAAATGCAGAAGGCCATCCCGTAGTAAAAGGAAAAGCTATAGACCGGTTCCAGGGTACATCGGCGGAGCCTCGTTGTCATAGAACATAGTTTGCGGGCGGGATTGCATAGTCCGAACATGGTCATCTGAGGCCAACGCAGGCCGGGGCACTGGCTGGACTGGTGCGGCGATGGATATCGATGTGTCATCCGTCCGCGAGCGATCCGACATTGATTGACTGGGGGGCTTCCAATGTCTTGACACCGTGACGGGAGTAGTTGGGAGTCCGTTGAAGGATGTTTGCGAGACGGGAGAGGTGAAGGGACTGATCGTGGTCATGCTGGTCGGCGGCGCATCAATGCTTGGGCTAACGGAGAGTGCATCTGAATTGCGCTGCTGCCGCTGCCACTGCCGCCGCCGGATCCAGAACATACATCCCGCACAAAGCAGCGCCACGACGAATATTGCAGCGACAGTGACACCCGCTACGGCCCCGATGCGTGATCCATGATGGGGTGCGGAAGCCGTCGTGGTGCTGGATATCGACGTAGGCGATGCTAGTGACGGCGTCGACCCACCACCACCACCAGTCATGGCAGTGCTTAAAATCACGGGGCATGATGGTGGCTCAGCCTGCGTCTCATTGTGCAACCCGATTCCGGCAACAAGCACGCCAAGGGCCGCTGTCTGGACAAACGATGCGAATGATGTGGCTGCGGGTCCTATCCATAGGCCATAGTTGTTGTTGTCTGGGCCTGACGATCGCGCAAGGTCAAGGACAGCATTGTACTGTGAATATCAGCTCCACCCAAAGTTGAATATTGAATGGAGGCGTACTTGGACAGCGAGATATGCCTTGATATATTCCTTCAGTGGAGGGGTCGTCACGTTGCGGCTATATGCAGCGCTTAGCCCACGAACGAGGAACAGATCACCGGTATTACCTGGGCCAGATGTAAGTAAGCACTGCGTATTTAGATAGAAGTAAACATACTGTGCGCTCGGTTTGCGATGACTCCATTCGCGCCTTGCCACACCGTTGAAGTTGTTGCGGCTTCAATGAGCGTGTTCAACCTAGCCATCAGATTCGACATGTTCGAGAAAATATTGCTTATACTTACGAGCGCTGGTACGCAGGATCATGGGTTATGTCAATGAGAATCGCCAGCGCCTCAATTGCCATGCCCGAGTCGTAGGGCTGCAGCGATGCATCCGTCGAACACGAGTCGTTGCTCCGCCCAGACATATAATCGAGCATGACATTCTGTGGATTCAGCCAGTGCGACAGCATAAAAGCCGTCGAAAGCTGTGCAGCAGCAAGGTATCTAGGTTCGGAGGTACTTGAAGCCAAGAGAGCAGAAAGACTACGACAGTGTCAAGCGTATATCTGAGGAAATTGGGCAAGAAAGACAAACATCGCAAAATGGCCAGTTGGCAGAGCGTCGATCGAAGGGTCGGACACCGCCGTTATCTATGGCATCAATTGTCAACGCAAGTTTCCAACAAAATAGAAAAATAAAACCCCGAAAGTCCCTCCAGCCATTGTTTCTGTTTGGCGGACGTAAGCATTCGATCAGTGGGACTCGTATCAAGCACGTACTGCCATGACAGGTTTGTGCTAAATCGAAGTTTTTCAGACCACTCTTTTGTCTGCCTGCGTCGATGTCGGCTTGAGAAAGAGTATATTGGTTGCTGATATTCCAGACTCCGATTGCGTATTCAAGGAAAACAGGGTCCTTGTAGGTAACATAGGCTTGAACGGCAGCATAACCGTAGTTCCTGCACTAGTTCTCAGAATCATCTGGGTCCAAGAATCAAGGGTGGTGCTTACAGCGTGTCATGTAGCTGTTACGCCCACAGCCGTTAATGACGGTGCGAAGATACTAGAATCGGAGGACTGACACTGATTCTGACTTGAGCGAGAGGTTAATACCAGATTGACCACGCACTCGGAGTTTGAAAAGTTTGCATGTATCATTGTTGCGTTCTGAAAGTACTGCACCAGACTATCGCGATATTGTTGGCTGCCTGTCGCAGCATCGAATGCCGCGAGCTGTGAGTAGAAGATCGCAGGAACAACATAGTCTGCGGCGTCTGGATTGATGCATTCAATAATTCGGGTGAGGAAACCTATGTAAACGTACCTGGAAACTGACCATTGGCTCCGATGTGCACAATAGTTTCCTGTAGCGCCGCTCTTGCAAAAGCGGTCCTGGCAGCGGCGGAGGTCGTTATATTTGCTTTCTTCAAAAGGTCTGAGCCAGAGGAGGGAGGACGTCTTGGCGCGACTTACACGCCAGGTAGGCAAAGCGAGTTGTGCCCATGACAGTGTAAAGTATCCTGCGAGCAGCAGTGCTCTCGAAAGGGGAGGGGGGAGCGAAACAAACAGCATAGCGCCTTGCCACGTTGAACTTGCATTGATATGAGCCCCATAATACACCTAGCTGAGACAGCAGTTGCTGAAACTTGAGAAGAGGGAACGCTGATGTCACGCCGTGATCTTGGAAAATCTTGTGTAATTACCTCAGTTGCGTCGCGGTTAGGCGCTTTCCTTCCATTCTCCTCAGTTCTCTGTGAGCAAGATCGGGTTCTGTCGTGGTATAAGTAACTCCCGTTCACGAGCAGCGTTTCCAAGTAAGAATATGTGGAAGTACAAGTCGTACTTAATCCGAGTCCCGATCACAGACTTTTCTTCGAATTGATGAAGCAACCTGTGCCCATGAGAGGACGGGGCATCCCGCCAGCAGCAGCAAAGCAAGCCTCCAAAGAACACGGCTAGACGAAGCAAACGGCATAGCGACGAGCATATTGATGTAGGCGCTATAGCTTAAGTATATTCGGGCGGCGTTGCATGCACTGATTGGCGTCAATTGGATGGCGAAAACGGCCAGGGGAGCTGTACCTACGGTGAAAGCGATTGGAGGCGGAGGCAGACGTGGGAATACGATTAAATATGCCGGGTCTGTATCCAGTCCTTCATGGGTTTTTCGGCGGTCGCTTCAAGACTTTGGTCCATTCGTGATGAATGTTGGGGATGAGATGGGCCCATCACGTGTTGCCAACAGATTTATGTCAATTCCGTCACTGACCAATCAGAACTCCGAGTCACGGTCATCGAAAACAATTATCCTGCTGTGGGTGCTGATTCATCTGCAGGTACGTCGATCCAATAAACCATAACCTGGCTCAGGTAACGTTTTGTTTGACCCAAGTAGTCTCCACTTGGTCTCCAGCTCCGCTTTGCTTACTAGTATAGTCACTCCGAATTCGCTCATTGATTGTGACAATAGCCTATCTAGCATATGCATGTCTGTACATAGGGTTCTTCAGCTTGGAAAATTTCTGTTAGAGACTGCTGATTCGGGCCAAATCACGTTCATTCCTTCCTAATCTCGAGCTCTCACTGGCAGGCTGGCGCTTCTGTCAAGTAACTCAAGTTGAGAGCGACTGATTTCCGTCCGATACTTCCCTGGCAATAGGAAATGCAATTATGCCCCGTTGACGTACAACATTCCTTATCAGCTCGAATCATTGGGATGTATAGCTCGCTAAGGACTCCTTATAACAAAGATACAGAGACGCGAAGCGCTATCGTAGCACAATCTCATCGATTTTCCGACATTAAGTCCAAGCCATGAATATGGGCGACTCGCCATAATCGCGCAGCCGTACACCCGGCGCTTCCCGAGCAGTCGAACAGTCAGTCCGCAAATACGCGTCCAATCATTGGCAAACGTGTCACGGATGTTGTCCATTCTAGCTAGATTCTGGCTCGGCACTGTATCCCTGCTGAGCCAGACTCGTCTCTGAATGTCTGCCACCAACGGATATGAACTGCGATTGCGTTATTTCCACACCCGAGGGTTCTCCGTGATGAGGAAAAGAAATTTGTTGACGTGCTCGAGTCAAGGACCAGATATATAAGTAGCTCAGGCTCTGCTTTCATGTCCAGCAGACGAAACCACAGTCCCAAACCCTCAGCATAATGCCAGTCAAGGTTAATACTGGGAGTTTCCTTGCCAAACCCGCGCTGACGAGGCCACATAGCCGAAAGCCCCCGCCGCCGCCACCACTACCAAGGCGCCAGCCAAGCCCTCCTCGGGAAGCCCACCAACGTCCGTAGAATTTGCGCCTCCAACGCCCGCGGTTGCTAACGTCGTATAGTTCCAGTGCAGGCCCCGCCAAGAGTAGCGCTAAGAAGGAGACCGACAGCACACCCTCAAGTCCGCCCAAGACCAAGGCTCCGTGCGTTCCTACATCTTTTGACTCCGTTCTGCCGCTAACGTGCGACCAGGGCAAAAACGGCCAAGAAAGCGGCGAAGTAGTATCGCGAGCATATACGAAGGGCGATACTAGCTGACGCTGCGCGTCGTGGTGGGAGTTGTACGAATATAGTCAAATACGTGTTTTTTTTTTTGTCTGGTGGTGCCCATTATCTAGAATATCGTCAACGCAATAATCTCGCGTCCAGACCAAGGTCGCAAAGGTCGTTAAAGCCACGAGCAACCTCGGGCTCTATCTCAGCGATGTGCAGCGACATTCGGAGATACTTCAGTCTGCGAGGTAGCCCCGAGTGAAAATAACCATCGTTAAAGCGCGACCGGACGACTCGCAGGAGGAGTTCAGGGGTGAAACGCGTATCTTGTAAAGCGAGAAAGTCCAGTAAGGGTATAAGGACATCAGCAGGTTGTAAAATGAGAGCCATAAGGACATCGTCCATAATGATAGCCTCTGATATAACCAAATGAGATAGATGCGGTATTTGGCGCAGGACAGGAATGAGCTCGGATGCAAACAGCGGGGAGTCGCAGGACAAAGATAACGACGTGAGAGGATGAGAGGTACGGGCAGAGCGTTGGAACAATGCTGCCATTTGGTGGCAAATCGAAGAATCAAGAGTTTCGAGGGAGAGCGTGGTTAATATTGGGAGACGGATGCCGTCCAAAAGAGCGCCGCGATAGGAGTCTGCGGCACTGTCCGAAATCCTGAGGGTGAGTGTTTCAAGGCTCGAAAGAGACCATGTTCGTCTATGGAGAGATGGGCTGGGAGAGGGTGTCGTGTCGTCCATTCCAATGGCACGAAGACTAAGCGTCCTAAGATTTGGGATAGCATGTAGTGTCCGCAGCATGGGATCGACGAGCAAGTCAATGTAGTCTGTCGTCAAAGTCGTGAGCTGGTGCCAAGGGAAGAGGCCGTCGCCCAGTATGCCTGCGGGGAGGACGGGAAGAAATGCCACTTGCAGTCGTGGTGCATGAGCAAAGAAATTTAACAGGGTGTTTGAAACTTCTGTCCGAGCAAGGTTGACTTGAGTGAGCATTGTTAGACAGCCAGGTCCATCGATACTAGCCAGTGATTGCTCCCATTTGTTGTCACAACCAAAGCTTATTATGTGAAGGTGAGTCCAGCGATGGGATTGCTCAGTAACCAAAGAGATAAGTTGACGATGAGCGGGCAAGAAGTTCACGCCGTCATCACAAATAACGAGTGAGAAAGGAAAGGATGCAGAACGACGAAGAAATGCTCTGGTGAGTTCGGTAACATTTTCGGGGAAAGGGGAGAAATATATGCACAGTTTTCGCCAGAGACTTGGAGTCGAGAGGGCGATAGTTCTCCATTCATGAGATACAAGGGAAAGCAACCAAGGAGATTCTCGCATTAGATTTCCAGTCGGGAAGCCAACTTGGTGTGGCTCCTGGCAGAGTTCGAATACCTCTATAAGTAGTTCGATGGGTACTGCAGCACCATAAGCCTAAGATTTGAATGTTGGAAAGTCTTACACATTGTGGCGGGATCCATGATAAGCCTCAGTACGTGACCGCGCGTCAACATCTTGCTTCGCTTCTACCATGACTCCGTTGCACCGGTGCGTCCAACTACCTCGAAGTTTACCTTTTCAAACTAGCTTACAGGCCAGACCCGATTCTTCTCGCTTCCCAAGCTTCCTTGTGCCTATTCGACGCAACAGCTTGGGGATAGTGCCAATTACGCAAAACCTCTGCCTCTTCTTCGACTAAACCCCGCTTCTTGGCCTTTCCGACGTCCACCGGACTAACCACGTGTGCCTCGTTGCCTCCTTCTTTCATCGTCAACACCGATTTTCTGTCTCACTTTCTCCTTTCTTGCGTTCACTCCTCAACCACCATCATGGCACAACACCGCCCTGGCCCCTCCAGTCGGGCTAATTCATCGGGCCTGGCAGACGCATTGGACATAATCAAAAATGAGTTCGAGATGCTCAGTGCCGAAGTAGTTGTGGCCAGACGGGAAAGGGATGAATGCGAAGCCACACGTGTGTTATTTCCAACTTCCGCTTGTATCTGACTAACAGAATTACTCAGTTAACTCGCAAGTAGACGAACTCAATCTCATTCGCCAGGCCCTCTATGACCTTGAAACACAACATGGCAAGCTGCGACACCAGTATGAAGAAGACCTTGCACGACTAAAAGGAGAACTACATGTCGTTCGACAAGCGATTCCTCATGGTCATCATGGGGAACCGCTGCCCCCCTCCGATCATCGAGCTTGGCGTTCACGAGATAGAGAGAGAGAGCGAGACAGAGAACGAGAACGAGACCCCAAGCGAATGAAATTAGATCATCGACGCAGTCATGGTGGACCTGGACCTACACTCAACATCCCTCCTACTACACCGATTCCGGTTCCAGTTCTTCCTCCCCCTCCTGCTGTCTTTCTTGATGATCTTGACATCACAACCCTCCCTCCACACCTCAAGAAAGAGGCTACCAACGACTGGACGGTGGTCTGGAACCCTAGTATCAAGCCGAAACGCATCTCAGACATATCACTCATGCACACATTCATGCACGAATCGTAAGTAGTGCTTTCTTGTCTTTCAACTCGGCTTAACTGTGGAGTTGCTAGCGTTGTCTGCTGCGTACGCTTCTCGCGCGATGGGCGATTCCTGGCAACCGGTTGTAATCGTACCGCACAAGTCTTTGACACCCGAACAGGCGCCAAAGTGTGGTATGTGCCCTTCCTTCGTGTAGTAGACTCAATCTAAGTCATAGCTCTAGCTCGTTGTTGGACCCATCCGTTCCGAAGGGCGGTGACCTTTACATCCGGAGTGTCTGCTTCTCTCCAGATGGTGTTTTACTCGCGACAGGAGCGGAAGATGCTCAGATTAGAGTGCGTGGGCTTTTTCGATGATAGTTTCCAATTAATATTTCGAAGGTTTGGGACATCGCTAAGAAGCGAATCGTCGCAGTTCTTTCCGGACACCAGCAGGAGATCTATGCTTTAGATTTCTCTATCGACGGCCGTTTCGTAGTTTCAGGTTCGGGGGACAAAACTGTCCGGATTTGGAATATGACTGGAGTGTCGACATCCACTCCAGCTATAGGGACCCCTGGCACCCATCCTATCCATTGTCAAGTCCTTACCATCAAGGATAACGTTAACCCGACAAGCTCAACTCCTGCTCCGACTCCGATGCAAACAATCCCCGCACAACGAACCTCGCCTGGCCCTACTCCTGACAGTGGTATCACGTCAGTCGCAATATCCCCATCAGGGACACGGGTTGCAGCTGGTGCTCTCGATGCACTTGTCCGCGTTTGGGATGTCCGCACTGGCCAACTGATCAGACGACTGCGTGGTCATGGGGACAGCGTGTATAGCGTTGCCTTCATTCCTTCAGCGGATGGAAGTGCATCACACAGAGGTGGAATGACTTTGCTCAGCGGCGGGTTGGACAAGACCGTGAGGGGTTGGGATTTGGCGCTACCCATGCCTGTCACGGTTAGTCCTGTGGTTCATGGCTGGAAAGAGCCCGGTCCATCAAAAAACGACGCCATACCCAGCCCGGCTGTCAAGAGGGACCGTCCAGGAAGCAAGGATGGTCCTGTCGATGAAGATATCGACGGTGGCCGTATGATGATGACGTTCATGGGCCACAAGGATTACGTACTTTCGGTCGCAGTGTCCCATGATGGCGAATGGGTTGTGTCGGGTTCCAAAGATCGAGGTGTCCAATTTTGGGATGCGAAAACTGGCGTTGTTCAGTGCATGTTGCAGGTGTGTTCTCTGTGGAATGCAATGAGCCGCGGAGCTAATGTTGGTCGCAGGGTCACAAAAATTCGGGTGAGCGGTCTTTTGATTGAGCTTTCCCCTTCACGCAGCTAATTGAAACAGTCATATCCATTGACCTTAGTCCTTCCAGCAATCTTCTTGCGACCGGCAGTGGGGACTGGCACACGAGGATATGTGTGTTGTTTGCCTCCCCCTTGTAGTTGGATTGCTGACTGTGTTTTAGGGAGCTACGACGTTGCTTCCGTCTAAGTATACTTATGGTTGCGTTGTATCGTTAAATGTTTCTCTGTTCTCGTCTACAATCGTATAATACTAGCAACTTTCTCTGAATCGTCACGTGGTACTAATCCACGATCTCTCCTTCTTCTATCTCAACCATCTTCATTTCTCCAAGCAATGTCAACTTGTCCAATTCGATCTCCACCACACCACTCCCCTCGAAAGGCGTAACTAAGACCTTCTCGGCTTCGGTCGAGTCTTCACGCAAACGCACAATCATCCCCTTCATAGGGCCGTCAATAACCAACGCCTCGTCCTCAGTAAATTTCGGGGCCAATGGCAGGAGGTATTCCACTGGGAAACCTGCCCTTTTAGTACCATCTTCGAACTGGAGCATTGCTGTTTGTGCAAACTCCGTTGCCACGCGTGCCGCGGTGACGATCTGGCTAACTTTGTTCTCGTAGATGCCTTCGAGATAGGGAGGCGATGCGTTTTTTGTGCCGCAGATGCGGACCATTATGCGGGGACGGCAAGAGGCGAATGCGGAGTCAAGAAGCCAATCTTTGGGGGGATCTGGCGGGGGGTGAGTTAGCTTATTGACTCCTTGACATGGTCTTACCGTATGGCACAGTGTTTATAGCGACTGGAGTTAGTGCAGCGAATACACTGGGAGAGAAAGCCTCGCTGCTTGGAAGGCCCCATGACCAACCGTCATCCTGCGGAGTTTGGACTACGTTTGGAGAAAATGTTGGGGCGGTCGCTGGCGGGGCAAAAGCTTCGGCAGCCCATGCTGGAGATTTTCCTCCCCATGGGTTGGTGTCGAAACTACTGGGACCTTTTGGAATAGGACTCGCTGCAGTAGCTGGTGGTGGTGCGGTCCATGCCGGAGTCTGTCCTCCCCATACACTGGTGTTGGCACCTGGAACTTGCGAAGTTGGACTCCATGCCGGTGTCGAATTGCCTCCACCAACGTATGGAGTTTTACTGCCGTTGTCCCACCTCGGGCTCGTGGTTTGGCCCCATTGTGCGGGACTGCTACTCCCGGCTAATGGAGACGCCCAGCCTGTTGCATTGCGCTGCCCGACTGGGATTGAATTCGATGCTGTTTTCTGAGCAGTGGTGTCCGTTGGGGAGTCATCAATCAGACGACGCAAGGTCCGTGGCGGTCTGAACGTGCTTAATTCTGCTAGCCGTCCATTTTCTCTATCCTGTTGTCAGTTTGTCCATCCCAAGATAAGTATATATGACTCACAATCTCAATTTCAGGCTCGTCTGCTCCACAGTGACATCTCCAGGGTAGCCTGAGCTCAGCGTAGCTTGAACTTCAACGCGCGCCGTTGTCCCTTGTGTGTGTTTGATAATGCCCCAATACCCCTTCCAACGGCCCTTGACGATTATAACATTCGCTCCTGCCAGATACCCCGGGCCATGCCTGAAATCACCGATCATATGGCCCGCACTATCGATATCTCCTTGGCTTTGTGCGACCAGCGTTTTCGGCCTGGCCGTGAAAACTCCGTTTGTTTTGTTTTGCAATTGTGGGTCGTAGAGAAAGACTTGGGCTACTCGGGAAATGGCGCCGATAACGCGTCCACGTCTGCCCTAACAAGACGTCAATAACATTGTAGCCTCCTGGACACTTCCGTCTACCGGCAAGGCAAGCTCCTTCATCAGTTCTCCGACCTGAATTCGCTGTCCATCTGCGTCCCGCATCCCGCTGCCAAACCGCTCGTCGGGAAAAATAGCGAACGAAACATGTTGCGACTGGAGCTGGCGAATGTCGTCGTTCACATCCAGTATCTGCAAAGTGTTGCCTTGAATGTTGAAGATAACACCCTCGAGTTGCGAGCTATGAACGTCCAAATTACAACAGCTTCAGGGACAACCTCTCAACGCACTTGAGCTCCACCAGCTGGTGCATCTTATAGCTGCCTGCATGATTAGCCCCCGTGCCAACCTCTGGCGATACTTGAATGGCTTCAGATCGCACGGTTATCTTCAAGCGGGGCATGTAGTATCTTTCAAAGTAAAAAAAAAATCTGACCTCTTCCAGGGTCATGTCCGAGACGAGGGTGACCATATCCGAGACTGCACCGACAGAAACAACTAGACCCGTCTCGCCTCTACCTTGGCCATCGATGATCTTGACGTGGTCACCAGCCTTGAAAATCTTGCGGACGGCTCCGAGGGATACCTCGATCATTTCCTCATCACGGACATGGACAGTCACAATCTCTTTCTGAAATTGTGCAACATGACCATATACTCCAGCCTGCTCGCCTTCGATTACTTGTACTCTGTCCCCTGGTTGCAATGCCACCGTCCCCGATGTCTTCTTCGCCAGTTGCTTTACCCCAGATAAGTCCAGAGTGGTATCTCCTGTGCCTTTGAAGTACATGAACTCCTCCACTGTTGGGGTGACGTCTACCCAGATCAGATGCAGTCTCTTCACTTCTTTCTCCACGAAACCGTCGATGAATATTTCTCCCTCGAACAAAAATGCTTGATTGCGTTTCTGCACACTCCTGGCACCGTATACCTTCTGCACCTCCTGGTCATTGAAAAGTTTCTGAGGCGGTCGAATCTTGTTGGTACCGGCCCAACCCATAAAGCTCTTTGCTTTGCGCCGTGTACTAGCAACATCGTCTTCGTTGTCTTTCTTTGCCCCGGCATCGTAGTCTCCAACTTGTAAATCAATTCTCGGAACAAACCGAACCTTGATGAATTCGCCGGGTTCGAAGACTTCTACCACTTGTGCGAGGTCTCCCTGGTATGTTCCTTTGCGTTTGAAGCGTACCCAATTGCCTTTCGCAAGATCAGTAGTCTCACGTGGCTTCAACTGCAGCAACGCTGCGCGTTCTTCGATCGCCACGAGTTGAACTGCGCCAGGGCGAGCGTGATAAACACCGACCAAGCCGTCGCATGCGAACGAGATGTATTCAGCCCGACGGGCCTCGATGTAGATGCTGCCTTGAATGGCGTCGCGCGCAAAGACTGATAGAATTGGCAACGGCGTCGATGTCGCGGCTAGGTCGATCGCTTTACGCAGGAGACGGAAGACCAATTCGCGCTCCTTACCAGGCTGTGACACCGTTTTACACTTGCGGACAGGCGATGCACGTGGGGCCTAAACTCACCTTCACGCTCACCTTCCACAGCGCTGGGTCGTTGATCGACGGAATCAGCAGGCGCTGAGGGACACTGTATCCCTCGCCGGTGGACTGAAGTGCTGCCCGTTGAGCCTTGTACCGTTCCTCAATTTCCTTAGCGAGCTGTTCGGCACTTTTTTCGTCTTCTTTGTCTTGCCAGTGAACTTTTCTTGTAACTCCATCCAACATAGAACGATATTGGTTCGAGTCAAGTTCTCCCTCTGTATCTTCGATAAAGTCGTCTAGATAATAATATATTTAGTCGTTTTCGCCGGAGGGGGGCGAAGAAAAACCTGTTCCGGCGTCATCGTCCTGGTCATATTCGCTGTCGTCGCCGTCGTCGCTGACGGCCGCCAAGTCGAGGTATTGCCGCGCTGACCCGGCCCCGCGGCTTGATGTGCGCTGATCAAGGAAAGTCGATTTGCACGACGCGCACCAGAAGAAAGAAAAAAAACGACGAACCTTCTGTTTTTTGCGGGGACTTCCTTCTTCTGTAGCCATTTCCGAGGCCATTGCCAGTGGTGCTTGATCGTGATTTGCTTCCTTCACGTCGGAGGCCCGTGTGAGCGTTGGGACAGGGAGGCCTCGTCTTGTCGCAGTGATTTTGCGAGGGGCGCGATCTTTTGCAGGGGTCGACATGGGCGACGGAAAGAAAAAGACGAAGTGCTGCGGTGATGGAAATGAAGTTCAATGCAATCCGACTCAGAGTCGTCGCGTGATCATCGAGGCTAAGCTTAAGCTTCAAGCTCGCCGCAAGACTCCGAGTTGGACTGATGTTCTAGATTTTCGAGTTCTGCTGTAGGATCCAGATTGTTCTTCAGTTATTTCAAATGAGGAGTATTGAGGACGCAGAGGAGCAGCGTGCATTGCAAGGTTACAACATTACAGGGACTTACTCCAACTAGTGCTAGAGTGGCATATGTATCAGCCCAAGAAGCCTTGGGAAGAATGCGGAAACATCCTTGTCAGCTCCCCAGAGGCATTGACTCTGCTGCGGCACGACGATCTAAGAGATGTATCATAATAATAATATCACTTATTGTTTGACAGTGCTTTCGAGAGCGTACTACTAGTAGCTTGTGCCCAGCCAAGCACGCGCTATGCTCGCTATTGGCTTCGTTAGTGACCAGCTGTGAATGCGCAACCAACTCACCTCCAGATCATCTCATGTTGCCGGCTTCCAGCACCAACGGCGATGGTCCTGGCTGGCTAGCAGGTGGTGGTCAAAAAGCAACCGGCAGTCCGGATCAAAAACCGGCGTCTAAAGCACGTGCCCCGGCGACACTCTTCTTCCGTCACCCGCCCGCTTGAACTTCAAACGCCCCACGCGCCGGCTGAGAGCGGCTGGAGCGGCTCTCTCTCTCTACTGACTATTAGTATATATGACTGCCGCCCATCTAAAGCTATGGCCCGCAATGCTGCCGCGCAAGACAAAGTACTTCCAAGTCAAGTCAGCGTTACGCTCTACGACAGAAAATCACCCAACAACTCCCCGCTTGGCTAAAACGACAGCGGCAGCACACAATACATTGTCGTCCAAGACTGAGCAAAAGAGCACAGTCCTCCTGTCTTTCGCGCGCAAACACTGGAGAAAGGCCATAACCAGCACGGAACAACGACCACATCTACTGCCCCTGCAACTACTCTCGCTCCCTGACTTGCATTGCGACTACACCCTTTTACTCAACTTTAGCGATTCCCAGTTTGAATCATCAAACTCGTCGTTTCTTCCCTCCTTGACAGTGTGTCCCTTCTCATTTTCAGTACTCATTTACTCATTCTCCCGGTCATCACCAACCCAAGGGCCGCATTGGATTCGCTATCAAGAGACCACTCTGACAACTTGGGCGGCGGGCATGCTCACCAAACATGCAACTCCAAACTGGCTGGCACCGAACAACACTCAACGCGTAAGTGCTCCTCAGCCTCGAATCATGAATGGCAGGTATGTAGCAGCTGTGAGTTACTTCTACTATCTTTTCTTGCTCTCCACTAAGTGTTCTTTCAGATTTGGCACCCATGAACCCACTATTGCTGCGCTAACCAACGATGACGGACCTCTGCTTGTATATCAGTATGTCTTTATTACTACAGTCCCTGAATACATGCACATCTACTTGTATATCCAAGCCTATGATTTTCCATTTGGACTAGATATACCAACAGGTTGTTGCTTGAATTGCTTTTCCTGCCTGAATTGTTTGACCAAAAATATCAGGCCTAAAGCATATAATACCCAGAACACCTATGAAATTGAGTTAGCCAGCAGGTAGTTGGCGACAACATCAAACTCACAATGATAAGTGCAAGCCAAGCATGCTTTGCCATATTTGGCACTGGAAAAAGTCCACCAGATGCAAACTCCCATTCAATCCAAAGTCCATAATGCACTTGGTATGCAGCAAGAGCCAAAATAGCTAACCCAAGCAAGACATGGAGGTAATTATGTGGTGCACGGCGCAGACCACCAGGGAAAGTGCGCGGGAATTTTGCAAGATGGACGAAAACGCCGAGTGCCAGTTGAGTTACATACAACGTGAGAAGTATGATGCCGATCTTCTGGTGGGTGTCAAGACTGTTTACAGGGAATTCCAAGGACCGGGCAAGCTGAAAGCCTATTGCCCAGCCAGTGAAAATAAGCGGACCAGAAATAACAAGTTGGATGAAGGCATGATTCCAGAACCAGCTGTAAGACATTGAGAAGACATATGAATCATGAACTTGGTGCCTACTAGCGATTCCAGGTCCGAGTGTAGCGAGCAATGAGCACGCCCAATGGAAGCAGAATGAGAAAGCCAATAGAGCATAGCAGAGCATGGGTGCGTCCGTTGAGGAGGGAAAAATCATCATCACCAAGTTCTGGTCCGCCTCCGCCACCGCCGCCGCCACCGCCTCCTCCCATGACACCTCCGTCGGCACCATCAGCAGCTTCAGCAGCACCGCCATCTGCACCGCCTCCACCTCCACCTCCACCCTTGCCACTACCACCATGCGAACGGATGTAGAGGCTCAGGAGATCCGCAAAGTCAAATTTCATGTTTGTGGAGAGAAGGATGTGCAACGGGGGTGAGGCATGGCTGGGGTGTGATTATAAGTAGTCCTGCAGGGTTCGCCGGTAATATGGCAAGTTGTCTCACAGTGGTGAGAGGAAGACCCACACACGAGCTAAAACTATCCATGCTCCCCACAGTTCAACTTGTGCCGATCGCGAACGAGCTCGAGTCCTGGTGGTAATCCCGATTGATTGTCACCACGAAAATGACTCGACCGGCGCATCAGTGAGTCAGGCTATCAAATGATGCGCCGTCCGCCATCACGTGATGCCACACCTACAAGCCATTCGTCACGCATCACAGCGCGTTACTTACCTCTCCTTTCCTCCTCCCACAACTGAACTTACCCCACTTGCGATACCATGACCCGAGGACGCTCCCGCTCCCTCAAAGCGCCCAAGGCAACATATGCTGAACGTAAGTCGCGTGTTTTCATCGTGCCACTCGGTCCTCTGCAGTTTGGGATTATGCTGACCTGTGATTTGAAGGGGTTCTCGGCTCTTTCACTCAGATACAACGCGACCATAAACGGCATTCTATTCACATAGCTACGCTCCGTGCTCAGGGTTCGTCGTAACTTGAGTTGCCCAAGTTCTTGCTCGCGCTAACAGTGGCGTCATACATCAACAGTTCAAAAGAATGCCGCTGCGCAGAAGGACAAACTTGGACCCCATTGGAAAAGCTGGGTTGGGAAAGCCGTCCACAAACTTGTGCGCCATCTGCCCCTTTTTGCTTGCTGTTATTGATGAGATGTCGCGGCCTAGCAAGACGAAGGGTTCTTTGAACCTTCTGAGCCAGCAGGCTCGGTGGTTTTGACGCCGGAAGGCAGGAAAGCGTGAGTACTGCTATTATCGTTTTGTCATTCAGACATAGCTGAGGTAATCCAGCATTCAAGCTGCTCGACGAGCCCTCGACCTGCCGAGCAACAATGAGGATGTAACCCATCACGACGAATCTCTATTATGGAAAGAGGCCCTTAATCCCGGCTCCGTCATTCACATGTCTACTTCGACGTCCATTGCGACGCCAAGCCCCAGCAAACGTCGTACCCGCCACTCTTTGGCCAGTCAGGCCATAGACGACGGTGACTCTGAGTCGGAGGAGTTATCGAGGCCAAGCCGCAAACGCCCACGGACTTCCATGATGTCGTCTGTTTCCACCCGAAGCCCTCGTAAACCTTTGCCAACGAATTATCGTTATTTTACCAAGGCTCAGGCATGTACTATATTTGTTCGGGTATTGAAAAACTTATACGCCTTAGCTTATCCAAGAGATTACCTCTCTCAATGCTACTCGAGAGGCAGAACGTCTTGCGGGCAGTCGCGCCGAATCGCCTCTTACCGAGTTGGACGACGACGACGTTCCTGACCACACATCCCTCGACTTTCCAGGGCCTGGTCTCGGGGAAGCGGAAGGGATTCGAACGAAATTTGCCACAGCACCCGTCATGCGGACCCAATCTGGCTCCCTTATCAACCTTCTCAGCAAGCGTCCTACTCCGGCCCCGACCGAAATCGACCCCAACGAGCAGATGGATATGCAGCTTGACGAGCAAATCGCGCCACAAGCCATTGCGTTCGACAATACCACCGTCACGGACCGCAATCCTTTCCATGTCGGTTCGCATGGGCTCGAATTTGCCGACCTCCGAGCCAAGTATTCCTCATTGGAGTCCACTCTTGCAACACGCACCCGCGAAGCTCAAGACCATGCCAACCTCCTCCAAGATCGCGAGGCTGAACTTGCAACTTTGAGAGATACTCTTGCCGCGCGTTCTGGCCAGCTCGAAGAGGCCAAAATTTCCGGAGAGGAGTTGGCGGCAGCACGAAGTTTGTTGCAGAAGGAGATGGAGCAATTGACAACGCGGATTTCAGAGTTAGACCGCACCAATGCGTCACTCACTGCGGACAATGGGAGTCTCGAGATGGAGCAGGGTCAACTGATTTCGCGACTCGAAGATGCTCAAGGGAAGGTTGTTCAGCTTTCTTCTGTTCTGGCTTCGCTCGAGATACAAGCCGGCGAAGCTGAAGCGGAGAACAGTCGACTCGTCGATGAGAAGAATAAACTTCTGCAAGAACGCGATAATGCTGTTGCTGAAAAGGCCGTGACAGAGGCTGAGCTCGGAAATATGAAAACAGAGCATGCTCAGACGCAGCAACGTCTAGTTACCGCCCAGACTGAGCTCAGCGATACCCGCACAACGATTGAACAAAAGCTTCGCCCACAGTTGGAAGCATTGGACCGGGAGTTGACGAAACACGTCGATGCTGAAAGAGTTGCTGGGGCGAAAATTGCCGAGGCTGGGAAGGAAATGAAGGAGCTGAGGCTTCGCTTCGAGCTGGCGGAGAAGGAATTGAAGAAGGCGAAGGATGACAACGAGCGAGTCAAAACTGATTTCGCCGTCTCCGAGGGGGAGAAGGAGAAGTTGGGTCTCGATATCGTGACGATGCAGGCCAAGCAGTCTTCGCTCATTAAGGAGGCGGAAGACGCCCAGGCGCAGTTTCAAGCTGAGATTCAAGAAGCCCAGAGGAGGATTTCGGTTCTTGATGACGAATTGAACGCCGAACGGGGCAAACGGAAGGAGGTTGAGCAAGAGATGGCAGCCCTGCGGGAAACCCTGAATGGAGAGCAAGAGATGGCTAGGCGGATGCGCAATGCTTGGAAAGAGTGGAAGGAAGGAATGGCAAGTGTCGACGAAGCGATGGGGATGTGTTAGATGACGCATTTGGACTTGAATCTTCTGTATATAACCCGTATGTAGCAATTCTGTGTAGCGTTAATGGAAATCGAGATTTCTTGATTAAATACAGAGTTACTAGTGGCCAACCTGGCAGCGGGTGTGAGGCCACGAAACAGAAGAGGATCAGTGACACGGCGGACAACATCAAGTCCCTTGGCTGATGTGTCGACGCTGTCCTTTTCCACTCCATAGGGTGCTTTGTTTATACAAAGCACCCAAGCACCCTATGATTTTTTTAAGTCTTTTACTTAATGTGAATCATAGTATATGAAATCCAATTGTTCTTTTGCACACTTTTTTTCACCGATGTCACAATGATGTGACATCGTTACGGTCACAGTGCCAAGTCCGCGGCTTCGTTAGGCTCGGACCGAGAGCTGTTGACATGGATGAAGTAGGAACTATTATCACTTATCAATCTCCCCCTCACCCATCTTGCTCTCAACCACCATGGCAAGCTCTAGTAATGCCCCAACCTATATGGAATTAGAACCAGATCCTAAAGAAAACAAGGAATATTACAGAGTTTGCACCTGTATTTCTAAAGATTGCAGATCAAAAGTCTGGATGTCAGCTGATGGCTCTTTGCGCAGGGGGCAATGGCTCCATAGGTCAACAGTTTCTAAGCACACAAAAGCAGATGCAGAATATGAGGCTCAACAAAATCAGGTACCCTTTCAACTTATATAGTATAATTTAAATAGAATTAACTCTGTTTTAGCAACCTTCTCAGGCTCAGCCTGCTATACCACAGGCTCAGCCTACTGTACCCCAGGCTCAAGCTGAGTATGTGCAGCCTGTTGCTCTGCAAATTGCACAAGGTGGCCCAACTGGTAAGCTTATACTAAATGAATGCAGTACATAGCTGATTTTTTTTTTTAAAAAAAGTATCTTCTAAGCAGAGAATTCAGTTTCTAGCAAGTTCTCTGGCTTCTTGGCTGCACCTTGTTTCTGGTGTTAGCAGAGAGACAAGTAGCCGTGTATTGAAAGTTCTCAACATTCTTATCCGCCTGACAGCTCAAGATAACACAGCATCACCCCAGCAATATAATGTCCCAACAGATGTTTGAACTGCAATAGGTCATTTATCTATAGAGCCTACAATTGTCCGCAGTATCTGCTGTCCCAAATGCTTCCGGGCCTATTCAATACAGGATCTTCCTCAGACATGTCTTGCCAGAAATGGAAATACTACATGTTCTACACCTCTCTGGACAGAACGTCAAACCCGTGGTGGACCAAAGATTGTCCCACGGCGCTTATATAGCACACAGAGCTTTTCAACATTTCTAGAACATTTTTTAGGCCGTCCTGGAATGGAAGAGCTTCTTAGCAAATCTGTTCATCATCAGCCAGATCCTCTCTGGGCGCATGCACTCTATCTGGGATAGCCCAGCATGGAAGAGTCTCCCTAATGACTTTACATCCAAGCCACACAATCTTGTCTTTAGCTTTTATGTAGATTGGTTCAACCCATTCCTGAACAAGATTGCAGGGAAGAAGGCCTCATGTGGTGCCATTATAGCAGTTTGTTTAAACTTGCCTTATGAGCTCTGGCACTTAACAGGCAATGCATACTTTGCTGGGATTACTCCACCACCTCATGAACCAACAGTTGACACTGTCAATGGTCTTATGGAGACACCCGTTAAGGAGTTTGTTGATATGTGGAAAGGAAAATGCTTACGGACATTCAATCATCCTACTGAGGGCATCTACTATCGGGCCGCTGTACTCTGTGCCTTAGGAGACCTTCTGGCTCTTGCAAAGTTTTTAGGAGCTGCAGGGCTTGCTTCACTAAAGAATTTCTGTTTTCTGTGCAAGCTTCCTAGAAATGAGATTACTCGTACAGATTATCAAAACTTTGTTCTTAGAAAAGGTTCAGAGGCTCGTCTTGCAGCATACAAACACCTTATTGCAAAAACTAAACGAGAGCGGGAGCAGATTGTCCGTGATGAAGGTCATCGATTTTCAGCACTTCATTTTTTAGAATATCGGGATCCTATCAAGCATACTACTCTGGGTATCATGCATGGATGGCTGGAAGGAGTTGTGCAACATCATTGCAGGTTAAAATGGGGAATTGGAAATTCTGTTCAAAATAAAGAAGCTGCAGAAAATTCAGGAGATGATGATATGATGGATATAGATGAAACAGATATTCAAGAAGAAATTGAAGGACTAGGTTTAGTTGAACTTTTTGCAAGCTCTTCACAGGTTCCTCAAGGAATACCTGAGGCAGAG